CACCCACCCACTCACCCATCCACCCACTCACTAACCCACTCACCCACTCACTCACTCAATAACGCACTCGCTCACCCACTCGCTCAACCGCACACTCAGCCGCTCAATAACTCACTCACCCGCTCACCCACTCACTCACCCACTCGATAACTCACTCACCTGCACACTCACCCACTCGCTCACCCACTCGCTCACTCACCCACTCGCTCACTCACTCACCCACTCACCCACCCACCCACTCACCCATCCACCCACTCACTAACCCACTCACTCACCCACTCACCCACTCACTCAATAATGCACTCGCTCACTCACTCACCTGCACACCCACACTGTGGATGTATATGTGTCTCTGTGGGTGTCTATGAGTCTCTGTGGGTGTATGGGTGTCTATGATGGTGTTGATGGTGATGATGATGACGGTGATGGTGTTGATGGTGATGGTGTTGATGGTGGTGATGGTGATGATGGTGTTGATGGTGATGATGGTGATGATGGTGTTGTTGATGGTGATGATGGTGATGGTGTTAGTGGTGTTGATGGTGATGATGGTGATGATGGTGATGATAGTGTTGATGGTGATGATGGTGATAATAGTGTTGATGGTGATGATGGTGATGGTGATGATGTTGATGATAGTGTTGATGATGATGATGGTGATAATAGTGTTGATGGTGATGATGTCGATGGTGATGATGTTGATGGTGATGATGGTGATAATGGTGTTGATGGTGGCGATGGTGTTGATGGTGGTGATGTTAATGGTGATGATGGTGTTGCTGGTGATGATGGTGATGATGGTGGTGATGGTGGTGGTGATGGTGTTTATGGTGGTGATGGTGGTGATGGTGATGATGGTGGTGATGGTGGTGATGGTGATGATGGTGTTGATGGTGATGATGGTGATGATGGTGATGATGGTGATGGACCAGACCTTAGCTGGTAACATGACAAATATAGTTGTAGTTTGGGTCTTGATGGGTCTCTGTGGGTCTCTATGATTCTACACGAGTAGCTGTGAGTGTCTATGGGTCTCTGTGGGTCTCTTTGATTCTACACGAGTCTCTTGGGGTCTCTATGAGTCTGTGAATATGGACCATTCGCTCTGTGTATCTATGAGTATGGGTCTGTATGGGTCTGTATGGGTCTCTATGGGTCTCTGTGGGTCTCTATGGGTCTCTATGGGTCTATGTGGGTCTCTGTGGTTCTACACGAGTATCTGTGAGTGTCTATGGATCTGTGAGTATGGACCATTCGCTCTGTTTATCTATGAGTGTGGGTCTCTATGGGTCTCTATGGGTCTCTGTGAGTCTGTGAGTATGGACCATTCGCTTTGTGTATTTATGAGTATGGGTCTCTATGGGTCTCTGTGGGTCTCTGTGGTTCTACACGAGTATCTGTGAGTGTCTATGGATCTGTGAGTATGGACCATTCGCTATGTGTATCTATGAGTATGGGTCTCTATGTGCCTCTATGGCTCTCTGTGTGTCTCTGTGGGTCTCTGTGGGTCTCTGTGGTTCTCTATGATTCTATATGAGTCTTTTGGGGGTCTCTATGGGTGTCTATGAATCTGTAGAAACTCGCGTTTAGAGATATGGCGACGCTGCTTATCAGCCACGCGGCGGCTTGAGCTGAAATCAACAACGCGTGTGGGATCAGGTAGCTTGTTTGACAGAGGGCCAAGTCAGCTCAGCGGGATCGTCCTGCGCGGGGAGAATGATCATCATCATCGTCGTCGTCGTTTAGTTTGAGCACAAAGAGGATGATGGGAGGCGCTGGAGCAGCTGTCGGGAGTGGCTGAATGAATTTCGGCGGCGGTGGTGGTGGTGATTAAACGTCCGAATTTGGCTCTAAATTGGCTGGTTGGGAGCTAATTGCAGGGTCCACGAGAACAGAATTTATAGAGGGTCGTGTGAGTGCGTTTGTTAGTGTGTGTGAGTCAGTGTGTGTGTGTTTGTGTGTGTGTGTGAGTCTGTGTGTGAGTCTGTGTGTGTGCGTTTGTGTGTGTGTGAGTCTGTGTGTGTGTGAGTCTGTGTGTGTGAGTCTGTGTGTGTGTCTGTGTGTGTGTGAGTTTGTGTGTGTGTGAGTCTGTGTGTGTGTGAGTCTGTGTGTGTGTAAGTGTGAGTGAGTGAGTTTCTGTGTGTGTGAGAGTCTGTGTGTGTAAGTGTGAGTCTATATGTGTGTAAGTGTGTGTGTGTGGCACAGTTGGGGGCACAGGTGGTGCATCAGCCACTCAGCTCAGTAATCTCAGTGAGTCGACCCGTGGCACCTGGGTCTGCCCCGTGACCTCCTGCCAGCGGGCGTTCGACACTTCAAGTGGCCTCAAGGTGCACATGGCCTGGCACAAGCGTCGTGGTGACGTCACCGCCACTTTGTGGCGAATGGCGGTTGTTGTTGTTGTGTAAGTGTGTGTGAGTGAGAATGTGTGACTCTGTGTGTGTATTGGTTTTAACCAGGCTGGATTGTGTGAGGAGCTCACAAATCCTTGAACGATCTGGGCAAGGTCCCATCGGTGAGCTCCTCCGGCAGGCAAGGCTGCGATGGCTGGGTCATGTAGCCCGCATGCCCAATCACCGCATGCCGAAACAGCTTTTGTTCGGCCGGATAGAGGGGGCTAAACGGGCGCGGTACGGGATAGAGGAGAGATGGAGTGATGTGTGAGTGAATGGGTGAGTCGGTGAGTGAGTGACACGGGCTAGAGAAGAGATGGAGTGATGGGTGAGTGGGTGGGTGAGTGTGTGGGTGAGTGACACGGGCTAGAGAAGAGATGGAGTGATGGGGTACAGGAGGACGTGGAGCTGAGTGGACTTGCCGATGACCGGTACCAGCGGTGTCAAGATCGGCCTCTGTGGAGGAGGCTCGTGAAGGACGCTACTGGGCAGTTGGAGGCAGTCGCCCTCCAACAACAACGGAGGACGGAGGAGCGACGCTCACAACAACGAGCGGAGCGCCGGGTGGCTAAAGCACAGCAGGTTGGCTCAGTAGGGGGCACAGGTGGTGCATCAGCCAGTCATCTCAGTCAGTCGACCCGTGGCACCTGGGTCTGCCCCGTGACCTCCTGTCAGCGGGCGTTCGACACTTCACGTGGCCTCAAGGTGCACCTAGCCTGGCACAAGCGTCGTGGTGACGTCACCGCCACAGACTCACAAAGACAAAGATCCCCCGTGTAGCCTTAACAGACTGTAGGGGCAAGTGCTGTTAGCGATCAGCACCTGTGAAGGCCGGAACTGTGGCACACGAGAGGGTGGGTGGCCAGCACCACGCCCGGCCGCCTTTGTCTCCTCTGTGCTAGCGATGTTCACTACACACAGCACCAGGTACTCAGTTGAGGCTGAGTCGACCTAGGGGAGGCCCAGGATCGGTTCAGATAATCGTCACCGGTGATTGCAGTGAGCGGGAATCGAACTCGGGTCGCCAGGTTCATAGCGCAGCGTAGCGCTAACCACTACACCCACCGCTCCCCACACACACACACAGACACACACACATACATATACACACACCCGCTCACACACTCACACAGACTCACGACACAGAGACCCACAGACTCACCACACAGAGACCCACAGACTCACCACACAGAGACCCACAGACTCACCACACAGAGACCCACAGAATCACCACACAGAGACCCACAGACTCACCACACAGAGACCCACAGAATCACCACACAGAGACCCACAGACTCACCACACAGAGACCCACAGACTCACCACACAGAGACCTACAGACACCACACAGAGACCCACAGACTCACCACACAGAGACCCACAGACTCACGACACAGAGACCCACAGACTCATCACACAGAGACCCACAGACTCACAACACAGAGACCCACAGACTCACCACACAGAGACCCACATAATCACCACACAGAGACCCACAGACTCACCACACAGAGACCCACAGACTCACCACACAGAGACCCACAGAATCACCACACAGAGACCCACAGACTCACCACACAGAGACCCACAGACTCACCACACAGAGACCCACAGACTCACGACACAGAGACCCACAGACTCACCACACAGAGACCCACAGACTCACCACACAGAGACCCACAGACTCACCACACAGAGACCCACAGACTCACGAAACAGAGACCCACAGACTCACCACACAGAGACCCACAGACTCACCACACAGAGACCCACAGAATCACCACACAGAGACCCACAGACTCAACACACAGAGACCCACAGACTCACCACACAGAGACCCACAGACGCACCACACAGAGACCCACAGACTCATCATACAGAGACCCACAGACTCATCACACAGAGACCCACAGACTCACCACACAGAGACCCACAGACTCACCACACAGAGACCCACAGACTCACCACACAGAGACCCACAGAATCACCACACAGAGACCCACAGACTCATCACACAGAGACCCACAGACTCACCACACAGAGACCCACAGACTCATCACACAGAGACCCACAGACTCACCACACAGAGACCCACAGACTCACCACACAGAGACCCACAGACTCACCACACAGAGACCCACAGACTCATCACACAGAGACCCACAGACTCATCATACAGAGACCCACAGACTCACCACACAGAGACCCACAGACTCACCACACAGAGACCCACAGACTCATCACACAGAGACCCACAGATTCACCACACAGAGACCCACAGACTCACCACACAGAGACCCACAGACTCATCACACAGAGACCCACAGACTCACCACACAGAGACCCACAGATTCACCACACAGAGACCCGCAGACTCACCACACAGAAACCCACAGACTGAAAAAAACATCATTAACATTAATTACTGTCTCGACGAATAGAGAGTCAGTGTTTCTGATTTCGTCATTAACATAATGCTACCATCTTGACCAATCACAACAGAGTTTTCAGTTCCGGGTCGTTCCCATTGGTTAACTGGACCCTCATTACGATAATATATGTCAATGTAGCTCACCCTTCCTGCCTTCTGACGCGTTGGGGGCGGAGTTTACACGTGTTAATATATGTCAATATATGGTAATCATATGCAGGGGTGGTTCCCTGAGGCGTGGCGTCGTATGCAAATTTTATGTTAACGTGTCGTTCCTTGGGCTTCATCCACTCACCGGTCGTGGTTGGCCAAATGTTGATGTTGTTGATGTTGTTGGTGGTTGCTGATGTTGTTGATGTTGTTGGTGGTTGATGTTGTTGATGTTGTTGGTGGTTGTTGATGTTGTTGGTGGTTGATGTTGTTGGTGGTTGATGTTGTTGATGTTGGCGGCTTGATGGCGGTGATGGTGATGATGATGGTGATGCCGATGGTGATGTCGATGATGATGATGGTGATGATGGTGGTGATGGTGGTGATGGTGGCGATGATGCCCACGGCGGCGATCGCGACCGCTGACGAACCGAGGCTCAAGTTCGCCACCGTGGTGAGTCGAGAACCGCTCCGGTTTTGTTTGTTCCGCTCGCGAAACCGGTAACCGATTGTTTCGGGGAGCGGTGGTGCAGCACTTGCCCCTACAGCCCTCCTAGAGGCTACACGGGGGAGCTTTGTCTGTGTTTGGATGGGTGACTTGGTGAGTGGGTGAGTGGGTGAGTGAGTGGGTGGGTGAGTGGGTGGATGAGTGAGTGAGAGTGAGAGAGTGAGTGAGAGAGTGAGAGAGTGAGTGAGTGGGTAAGTGGGTGTGTGAGTGGGTGAGTGAGTGAGTGGGTGAGTGAGTGAGTGGGTAAGTGGGTGAGTGGGTGAGTGAGTGAGTGAGCGAGTGGGTGAGTGAGTGAGCGTGTGGGTGGGTGAGTGAGTGAGTGGGTGAATGGGTGAGTGAGTGAGTGGGTGAGTGAGTGGGTGAGTGAGAGAGTGAGTGAGAGAGTGAGAGAGTGAGTGAGTGGGTGTGTAAGTGGGTGAGTGAGTGAGTGGGTGAGTGAGTGGGTGTGTGAGTGGGTGAGTGAGTGGGTGTGTGAGTGGGTGAGTGAGTGAGTGGGTGAGTGAGTGGGTGGGTGAGTAAGTGGGTGAGTGAGTGAGCGTGTGGGTGGGTGAGTGGGTGGGTGAGTGAGTGGGTGAGTGACTGAGTGGGTGAGTGAGTGGGTGAGTGAGTGGGTGAGCGTCTGGGTGAGTGGGTGAGTGAGTGGGTGGGTGAGCGTGTGGGTGGGTGAGCGTGTGGGTGAGCGTGTGGGTGAGTGGATGAGCGTCTGGGTGAGTGAGTGAGTGAGTGGGTGAGCGTTTGGGTGAGTGGGTGAGTGAGTGAGTAAATGGGTGAGTGGGTGAGTGTCTGAGTGAGTGTGTGAGGGAGTGGGTGAGCGTGTGGGTGAGTGAGTGGGTGAGCGTGTGGGTGAGTGAGTGGGTGAGTAAGTGGATGAGCGTGTGGGTGAGTAGGTGAGCGTCTGGGTGAGTGTGTGAGTGAGTGGGTGAGCGTGTGGGTGAGTGAGTGGGTGAGTAAGTGGGTGAGCGTGTGGGTGAGTGGGTGAGCGTCTGGGTGACTGTGTGAGTGAGTGGGTGAGAGTGTGGGTGAGTGAGTGGGTGAGGGTGTGGTTGAGTGAGTGGGTGAGCGTGTGGGTGAGTGGGTGAGCGCCTGGGTGAGTGACTGGGTGAGCGTCTGGGTGAGTGAGTGGGTGGGTGAGCGTCTGGGTGAGTGAGTGGGAGGGTGATCGTGTGGGTGAGTGGGTGAGTGAGTGGGTGAGCGTGTGGGTGAGTGGGTGAGTGGATGGATGAGTGAGTGGGTGAGTGGGCGGGTGAGTGGATGGGTGAGTGAGTGGCTGAGTGAGTGGGTGAGTGGATGGGTGTGTGAGTGGGTGAGTGGATGGGTGAGTGAGTAAGTGAGTGAGCTGCTGAGTGGATGGGTGAGTGGATGGGTGAGTGGATGGGTGAGTGGGTGAGTGAGTGAGTGGGTGAGTGAGTTGGATAGGTGAGTGAGTGGATGTTTGAGTGAGTGAGTGAACGGGTTAGTGAGTGAGTGAATGGGTGAGTGAGTCGGTGAGTGAGTGAGTCGGTGAGTGGATGGGAGAGTGAGTGGATGGGTGAGTGAGCTGGTGAGTGGATGGGTGTGTAAGTGGGTGAGTGGATTGGTGAGTGAGTGAGTGGGTTTGCGGATTGGTGAGTGAGGGCGCTGGTGAGTGAGTGGGTGAGTGAGTGGTTGGGTGAGTTAGCTGGTGAGTGGATGGATGAGTGAGTGGGTGAGTGAGTGGGTGAGTGAGTGGGTGAGTGGATGGGTGAGTGAGTGGGTGAGTGGATGGGTGAGTGAGTGGGTGAGTGGATGGATGGGAGAGTGAGTGAGTGGATGGGTGAGTGAGTGAGAGGATGGGTGAGTGAGTGAGTGAGCGGGTGAGTGAGCTGGTGAGTGGATGGGTGAGTTAGTGGGTGAGTAAGTGAGTGAGTGGGTGAGTGAGTGGGTGAGTGAGTCGGTGAGTGGATGGGTGAGTGAGTGGATGGGTGAGTGAGCTGGTGAGTGTTTGGGTGAGTTAGTGGGTTAGTGAGTGGGTGAGTGGATGGGTGAGTGAGTGGGTGAGTGAGTGGGTGAGTGGATGGGTGAGTGAGTGGGTGAGTGGATGTTTGAGTGAGTGGGTGAGTGAGTGAGTGGGTGCGTGGATGGGTGAGTGGATGGGTGAGTGAGTGAGTGAGCGGGTGAGTGAGCTGGTGAGTGAGTGGGTTAGTGAGTGGGTGAGTGGATGGGTGAGTGTGCTGGTGAGTGGATGGGTGAGTAAGCTGGTGAGTGGATGAGTGAGTGAGTGGGTGAGTGGATGGGTGAGTGAGTGGGTGAGTGGATGGGTGAGTGAGTGGGTGAGTGGATGGGTGATTGAGTGGGTGAGTGGATGGGTGAGTGGATGGGTGAGTGAGCTGGTGAGTGGATGGGTAAGTGAGTGGGTGAGTGAGTGGTTGGGTGAGCGAGTGAGTGGATGGGTGAGTGAGTGAATGAGTGGGCGGGTGAGTGAGCTGGTGAGTGGATGGGTGAGTGAGTGAGTGGGTGAGTGAGTGGGTCAGTGAGTCCGTGAGTGGATGGGTGAGTGAGTGGATGGGTGAGTGAGCTGGTGAGTGAGTGGGTGAGTGGATGTGTGAGTGGATGTGTGAGTGAGTGGGTGAGTGAGTGAGTGAGTGGGTGAGTGGATGGGTGAGTGGGGTGAGTGAATGGGTGAGTGAGCTGGTGAGTGAGCTGGTGAGTGGATGGGTGAGTGACTGGGTGAGTGAGTGGGTGAGTGAGTGGATGGGTGAGTGAGTGAGTGAGCTGGTGAGTGGATGGGTGAGTGAGTGGGTGAGTGAGTGGATGGGTGAGTGAGTGGATGGGTGAGTGAGTGAGTGAGCGGGTGAGTGAGCTGGTGAGTGGATGGGTGAGAGAGTGCGTGAGTGAGTGAGTGAGTGGATGGGTGAGTGAGCTAGTGAGTGGATGGGTGAGTGAGTGGATGGGTGAGTGAGCTGGTGAGTGGATGGGTGGGTGAGTGAGTGAGTGAGTGGGTGAGTGAGTGGGTGAGTGAGTGGGTGAGTGAGTGAGTGAGTGGATGGGTGGGTGGGTGAGTGAGTGAGCTGGTGGGTGAGTGAGCTGGTGGGTGAGTGAGTGAGTGGGTGAGTGAGTGAGTGAGTGGGTGAGTGAGTGAGTGAGTGGATGGGTGGGTGAGTGAGTGAGCTGGTGAGTGAGTGAGTGGGTGAGTGAGTGAGTGAGTGGATGGGTGGGTGGGTGAGTGAGTGAGCTGGTGGGTGAGTGAGCTGGTGGGTGAGTGAGTGAGTGGGTGAGTGAGTGAGTGAGTGGGTGAGTGAGTGAGTGAGTGGATGGGTGGGTGGGTGAGTGAGTGAGCTGGTGAGTGAGTGGGTGAGTGAGTGAGTGGGTGAGTGAGTGAGTGGGTGAGTGAGTGAGTGGGTGAGTGAGTGAGTGGATGGGTGGGTGGGTGAGTGAGTGAGCTGGTGAGTGGGTGAGTGAGTGGGTGAGTGAGTGAGTGAGTTTTGCTGATGTTCGCTACGAGCAGGGGAGGCATCTGACTCACTCGCTCGTGATTTGAGTTTTAGGGAAGATTACTTAGGGGCAAGTGCTGTTAGTGTGTGTATGTACACACACTGTTAGTGTATGTGTACACACACACTGTTAGTGTATGTGTACACATACACTAACAGTGTGTGTGCGCATACTGTTAGTGTATGTGTACATACATACACTGTTAGTGTGTGTGTGTACATACACTGTTAGTGTGTGTATCTGTGGGTCTCTGTGAATCTCTGTGAATCTCTGTGGGTCTCTGTGGGTCTCTATGAATCTCTATGAATCTCTGTGGGTCTCTATGACTCTCTGTGGGTCTCTATGGGTCTCTATGAATCTCTATGAATCTCTGTGGATCTCTATGGGTCTCTATGAATCTCTATGAATCTCTGTGGGTCTCTATGAATCTCTATGAATCTCTGTGGGTTTCTATGAATCTCTGTGGGTCTCTGTGGGTCTCTATGAATCTCTGTGGGTCTCTATGAATCTCTATGAATCTCTGTGGGTCTCTATGAATCTCTATGAATCTCTGTGGGTCTCTATGAATCTGTATGAATCTCTATGGGTCTCTTTGAATCTCTGTGGGTCTCTATGAATCTCTATGAATCTCTGTGGGTCTCTATGAATCTCTGTGGGTCTCTATGGGTCTCTATGAATCTCTATGAATCTCTATGAATCTCTGTGGGTCTCTGTGAATCTCTGTGGGTCTCTATGAATCTCTGTGGCTCTCTATGAATCTCTATGAATCTCTATGAATCTCTGTGGGTCTCTATGAATCTCTATGAATCTCTGTGGGTCTCTATGAATCTCTGTGGGTCTCTGTGGGTCTCTATGAATCTCTGTGGGTCTCTATGAATCTCTATGAATCTCTGTGGGTCTCTATGAATCTCTATGAATCTCTGTGGGTCTCTATGAATCTGTATGAATCTCTATGGGTCTCTTTGAATCTCTGTGGGTCTCTATGAATCTCTATGAATCTCTGTGGGTCTCTATGAATCTCTGTGGGTCTCTATGGGTCTCTATGAATCTCTATGAATCTCTATGAATCTCTGTGGGTCTCTGTGAATCTCTGTGGGTCTCTATGAATCTCTGTGGCTCTCTATGAATCTCTATGAATCTCTATGAATCTCTGTGGGTCTCTATGGGTCTCTATGAATCTCTGTAGGTCTCTATGAATCTCTATGAATCTCTGTGGGTCTCTATGAATCTCTGTGCGTCTCTATGGGTCTCTATGAATCTCTATGAATCTCTATGAATCTCTGTGGGTCTCTATGAATCTCTATGAATCTCTGTGGGTCTCTATGAATCTCTATGAATCTCTATGGGTCTCTATGAATCTCTGTGGGTCTCTATGAATCTCTATGAATCTCTGTGGGTCTCTATGAATCTCTATGAATCTCTATGGGTCTCTATGAATCTCTATGAATCTCTGTGGGTCTCTATGAATCTCTGTGGGTCTCTGTGGGTCTCTATGAATCTCTGTGGGTCTCTGTGGGTCTCTATGAATCTCTGTAGGTCTCTATGACTCTCTATGAATCTCTGTGGGTCTCAATGAATCTCTGTGGGTCTCTATGCATCTCTATGAATCTCTATGAATCTCTATGAATCTCTGTGGGTCTCTGTGAATCTCTGTGGGTCTCTGTGTGTCTCTATGAATCTCTATGAATCTCTGTGGGTCTCTGTGGGTCTCTATGAATCTCTGTGGGTCTCTATGAATCTCTATGAATCTCTGTGGGTCTCTATGAATCTCTGTGGGTCTCTATGAATCTCTATGAATCTCTATGAATCTCTGTGGGTCTCTGTGAATCTCTGTGGGTCTCTATGAATCTCTATGAATCTCTATGAATCTCTGTGTGTCTCTGTGGGTCTCTATGGGTCTCTATGAATCTCTATGAATCTCTGTGGATCTCTATGGGTCTCTATGAATCTCTATGAATCTCTGTGGGTCTCTATGAATCTCTATGAATCTCTGTGGGTCTCTATGAATCTCTGTGGGTCTCTGTGGGTCTCTATGAATCTCTGTGGGTCTCTATGAATCTCTATGAATCTCTGTGGGTCTCTATGAATCTCTATGAATCTCTGTGGGTCTCTATGAATCTGTATGAATCTCTATGGGTCTCTTTGAATCTCTGTGGGTCTCTATGAATCTCTAAGAATCTCTGTGGGTCTCTATCAATCTCTGTGGGTCTCTATGGGTCTCTATGAATCTCTATGAATCTCTATGAATCTCTGTGGGTCTCTGTGAATCTCTGTGGGTCTCTATGAATCTCTGTGACTCTCTATGAATCTCTATGAATCTCTATGCATCTCTGTGGGTCTCTATGGGTCTCTATGAATCTCTGTGGGTCTCTATGAATCTCTATGAATCTCTGTGGGTCTCTATGAATCTCTGTGGGTCTCTATGAATCTCTATGAATCTCTGTGGGTCTATATGAATCTCTATGGGTATCTATGAATCTCTATGAATCTCTGTGGGTCTCTATGAATCTCTATGAATCTCTGTGGGTCTCTATGAATCTCTATGAATCTCTATCGGTCTCTATGAATCTCTATAAATCTCTGTGGGTCTCTATGAATCTATGTGGGTCTCTGTGGGTCTCTATGAATCTCTATGAATCTCTGAGGGTCTCTGTGGGTCTCTATGAATCTCTGTGGGTCTCTATGAATCTCTATGAATCTCTGTGGGTCTCTATGAATCTCTGTGGGTCTCTATGGGTCTCTATGAATCTCTATGAATCTCTATGAATCTCTGTGGGTCTCTATGAATCTCTATGAATCTCTGTGGGTCTATATGAATCTCTATGAATCTCTATGGGTCTCTATGAATCTCTATGAATCTCTGTGGGTCTCTATGAATCTCTATGAATCTATGTGGGTCTCTATGAATCTCTATGGGTCTCTATGAATCTCTATGAATCTCTGTGGGTCTCTATGAATCTCTGTGGGTCTCTGTGGGTCTCTATGAATCTCTATGAATCTCTGTGGGTCTCTGTGGGTCTCTATGAATCTCTGTGGGTCTCTATGAATCTCTATGAATCTCTGTGGGTCTCTATGAATCTCTGTGGGTCTCTATGGGTCTCTATGCATCTCTATGAATCTCTATGAATCTCTGTGGGTCTCTGTGAATCTCTGTGGGTCTCTGTGGGTCTCTATGAATCTCTATGAATCTCTGTGGGTCTCTGTGGGTCTCTATGAATCTCTGTGGGTCTCTATGAATCTCTATGAATCTCTATGAATCTCTGTGTGTCTCTGTGGGTCTCTATGGGTCTCTATGAATCTCTATGAATCTCTGTGGATCTCTATGGGTCTCTATGAATCTCTATGAATCTCTGTGGGTCTCTATGAATCTCTATGAATCTCTGTGGGTCTCTATGAATCTCTGTGGGTCTCTGTGGGTCTCTATGAATCTCGGTGGGTCTCTATGAATCTCTATGAATCTCTGTGGGTCTCTATGAATCTCTATGAATCTCTGTGGGTCTCTTTGAATCTGTATGAATCTCTATGGGTCTCTTTGAATCTCTGTGGGTCTCTATGAATCTCTATGAATCTCTGTGGGTCTCTATGAATCTCTGTGGGTCTCTATGGGTCTCTATGAATCTCTATGAATCTCTGTGGGTCTCTGTGAATCTCTGTGGGTCTCTATGAATCTCTGTGGCTCTCTATGAATCTCTATGAATCTCTATGCATCTCTGTGGGTCTCTATGGGTCACTATGAATCTCTGTGGGTCTCTATGAATCTCTATGAATCTCTGTGGGTCTCTATGAATCTCTGTGGGTCTCTATGGGTCTCTATGAATCTCTATGAATCTCTATGAATCTCTATGAATCTCTTTGGGTCTCTATGAATCTCTATGAATCTCTGTGGGTCTATATGAATCTCTATGGGTCTCTATGAATCTCTATGAATCTCTGTGGGTCTCTATGAATCTCTATGAATCTCTGTGGGTCTCTATGAATCTCTATGAATCTCTATGGGTCTCTATGAATCTCTATGAATCTCTGTGGGTCTCTATGAATCTCTGTGGGTCTCTGTGGGTCTCTGTGGGTCTCTATGAATCTCTATGAATCTCTGTGGGTCTCTGTGGGTCTCTATGAATCTCTGTGGGTCTCTATGAATCTCTATGAATCTCTGTGGGTCTCTATGAATCTCTGTGGGTCTCTATGGGTCTCTATGAATCTCTATGAATCTCTATGAATCTCTGTGGGTCTCTGTGAATCTCTGTGGGTCTCTATGAATCTCTATGAATCTCTGTGGGTCTCTGTGGGTCTCTATGAATCTCTGTGGGTCTCTATGAATCTCTATGAATCTCTATGAATCTCTGTGTGTCTCTGTGGGTCTCTATGGGTCTCTATGAATCTCTATGAATCTCTGTGGGTCTCTATGAATCTCTATGAATCTCTGTGGGTCTCTATGAATCTCTATGAATCTCTGTGGGTCTCTATGAATCTCTGTGGGTCTCTGTGGGTCTCTATGAATCTCTGTGGGTCTCTATGAATCTCTATGAATCTCTGTGGGTCTCTATGAATCTCTATGAATCTCTGTGGGTCTCTATGAATCTGTATGAATCTCTATGGGTCTCTTTGAATCTCTGTGGGTCTCTATGAATCTCTATGAATCTCTGTGGGTCTCTATGAATCTCTGTGGGTCTCTATGGGTCTCTATGAATCTCTATGAATCTCTGTGGGTCTCTGTGAATCTCTGTGGGTCTCTATGAATCTCTGTGGCTCTCTATGAATCTCTATGAATCTCTATGAATCTCTGTGGGTCTCTATGGGTCTCTATCAATCTCTGTGGGTCTCTATGAATCTCTATGAATCTCTGTGGGTCTCTATGAATCTCTGTGGGTCTCTATGGGTCTCTATGAATCTCTATGAATCTCTATGAATCTCTGTGGGTCTCTATGAATCTCTATGAATCTCTGTGGGTCTCTATGAATCTCTATGAATCTCTATGGGTCTCTATGAATCTCTATGAATCTCTGTGGGTCTCTATGAATCTCTATGAATCTCTGTGGGTCTCTATGAATCTCTATGAATCTCTATGGGTCTCTATGAATCTCTATGAATCTCTGTGGGTCTCTATGAATCTCTGTGGGTCTCTATGAATCTCTATGAATCTCTGTGGGTCTCTGTGGGTCTCTATGAATCTCTGTGGGTCTCTATGAATCTCTATGAATCTCTGTGGGTCTCTGTGAATCTCTGTGGGTCTCTGTGGGTCTCTATGAATCTCTATGAATCTCTGTGGGTCTCTGTGGGTCTCTATGAATCTCTGTCGGTCTCTCTGAATCTCTATGAATCTCTGTGGGTCTCTATGAATCTTTGTGGGTCTCTATGGGTCTCTATGAATCTCTATGAATCTCTGTGGGTCTCTGTGAATCTCTGTGGGTCTCTATGAATCTCTATGAATCTCTGTGTGTCTCTGTGAATCTCTATGGGTCTCTATGAATCTCTATGAATCTCTGTGTGTCTCTATGAATCTCTATGAATCTCTGTGGGTCTCTATGAATCTCTATTAATCTCTGTGGGTCTCTATGAATCTCTGTGGGTCTCTGTGGGTCTCTATGAATCTCTATGAATCTCTATTGGTCTCTATGAATCTCTATGAATCTCTGTGGGTCTCTATGGGTCTCTATGAATCTCTGTGGGTCTCTATGGGTCTCTATGAATCTCTATGAATCTCTGTGTGTCTCTGTGGTTCTCTATGGGTCTCTATGAATCTCTATGAATCTCTGTGGATCTCTATGGGTCTCTATGAATCTCTATGAATCTCTATGGGTCTCTATGAATCTCTATGAATCTCTGTGGGTCTCTATGGGTCTGTATGAATCTCTATGAATCTCTGTGTGTCTCTCTCCTGAGGTGTTCCGCCATGGGGACCGCTCCCCAATGGGCAGCTACCCCACCGACCCCCACTCAGAGAGAGACTGGCCTCAGGGGTTCGGACAACTCACCCAGGTACTCACCCACTCCCTCACCACTCACTCACCACTCACTCACCACTCACTCACCACTTACTCACCCAGTCACTCACCCAGGTACTCACCACTCACTCACCACTCACTCACCCACTCACTCACTCACTCACCCACTCACTCACTCACCCACTCACTCACTCACTCACCACTCACTCACCACTCACTCACCCACTCACTCACTCACTCACCACTCACTCACCACTCACTCACCCAGGTACTCACTCACCCACTCACTCACTCACCACTCACCCACTCACTCACCCACTCACTCACTCACCCACTCACTCACCACTCACTCACCCACTCACTCACCACTCACTCACCACTCACTCACCCAGGTACTCACCCACTCACTCACCACTCACTCACCACTCACTCACCCACTCACTCACTCACTCACCACTCACTCACCACTCACTCACCCACTCACCCACTCACTCACTCACCCACTCACTCACCCACCCACCCACCCACTCACTCACCACTCACTCACCACTCACTCACCCACTCACTCACTCACTCACCACTCACTCACCACTCACTCACCCAGGTACTCACTCACCCACTCACTCACTCACCACTCACCCACTCACTCACCCACTCACTCACTCACTCACCCACTCACTCACCACTCACTCACTCACTTACCCACTCACCCACTCACTCACTCACTCACCCACCCACTCACTCACCCACTCACTCACTCACTCACCCACTCACCCACTCACTCACTCACCCACTCACTCACCCACCCACCCACTCACCCACTCACCCACCCACCCACTCACCCACTCACCCACCCACTCACCCACCCGCTCACACACCCACTCACCCACTCACCCACCCACTCACCCACCCGCTCACACACCCACTCACTCACTCACCCACTCACTCACACACCCACTCACCCACCCACCCACCCACTCACTCACCCACTCACCCACCCACCCACTCACTCACCCACTCATTCACCCATCCACTCACCCACTCACACTAACTCACTCACCCACCCACTCACTCACACACTCACCCACCCACTCACCCACCCACTCACTCACCCACCCACCCACTCACTCACCCACTCACTCACCCACCCACCCACTCACTCACCCACTCACCCACCCACCCACTCACCCACCCACTCACCCACCCACCCACTCACTCACCCACCCACCCACTCACCCACTCACCCACCCACCCACCCACTCACCCCCCCACTCTCCCCGTGTGCCCCTCTCCCCACCACTGCCTACCAGCTGGGTATGCGGCAGCAGTTTGAGTTGGGGCGCTTCCTACGGCACAGATACTCAGAGCTCATCAACAGCACCTACCTCCACTCACAGGTAGGTGCCTACCACACCTACATCCACTCACAGGTAGGTGCCTACCACACCTACATCCACTCACAGGTAGGTGCCTACCACACCTACATCCACTCACAGGTAGGTGCCTACCACACCTACATCCACTCACAGGTAGGTGCCTACCACACCTACATCCACTCACAGGTAGGTGCCTACCACACCTACCTCCACTCACAGGTAGGTGCCTACCACACCTACCTCCACTCACAGGTAGGTGCCTACCACACCTACATCCACTCACAGGTAGGTGCCTACCACACCTACCTCCACTCACAGGTAGGTGCCTACCACACCAACACCTACATCCACTCACAGGTAGGTGCCTACCACACCTACCTCCACTCACAGGTAGGTGCCTACCACACCTACATCCACTCACAGGTAGGTGCCTACCACACCTACATCCACTCACAGGTAGGTGCCTACCACACCTACCTCCACTCACAGGTAGGTGCCTACCACACCAACACCTACATCCACTCACAGGTAGGTGCCTACCACACCTACCTCCACTCACAGGTAGGTGCCTACCACACCTACATCCACTCACAGGTAGGTGCCTACCACACCTACATCCACTCACAGGTAGGTGCCTACCACACCAACACCTACATCCACTCACAGGTAGGTGCCTACCACACCTACCTCCACTCACAGGTAGGTGCCTACCACACCTACATCCACTCACAGGTAGGTGCCTACCACACCTACCTCCACTCACAGGTAGGTGCCTACCACACCTACATCCACTCACAGGTAGGTGCCTACCACACCTACATCCACTCACAGGTAGGTGCCTACCACACCTACATCCACTCACAGGTAGGTGCCTACCACACCTACATCCACTCCCAGGTAGGTGCCTACCACACCTACATCCACTCACAGGTAGGTGCCTACCACACCTACATCCACTCACAGGTAGGTGCCTACCACACCTACATCCACTCACAGGTAGGTGCCTACCACACCTACCTCCACTCACAGGTAGGTGCCTACCACACCTACATCCACTCACAGGTAGGTGCCTACCACACCTACCTCCACTCACAGGTAGGTGCCTACCACACCTACATCCACTCACAGGTAGGTGCCTACCACACCTACATCCACTCACAGGTAGGTGCCTACCACACCTACATCCACTCACAGGTAGGTGCCTACCACACCTACCTCCACTCACAGGTAGGTGCCTACCACACCTACATCCACTCACAGGTAGGTGCCTACCACACCTACATCCACTCACAGGTAGGTGCCTACCACACCTACCTCCACTCACAGGTAGGTGCCTACCACACCTACCTCCACTCACAGGTAGGTGCCTACCACACCTACCTCCACTCACAGGTAGGTGCCTACCACACCTACCTCCACTCACAGGTAGGTGCCTACCACACCAACACCTACCTCCACTCACAGGTAGGTGCCTACCACACCTACATCCACTCACAGATAGGTGCCTACCACACCTACCTCCACTCACAGGTAGGTGCCTACCACACCCACACCTACCTCCACTCACAGGTAGGTGCCTACCACACCTACATCCACTCACAGGTAGGTACCTACCACACCCACACCTACCTCCACTCACAGGTAGGTGCCTACCACATCTACATCCACTCACAGGTAGGTACCTACCACACCTACCTCCACTCACAGGTAGGTGCCTACCACACCCACACCAACACTACTCACAGGTAGGTGCCTAGCACACCTACATCCACTCACAGGTAGGTGCCTACCACACCTACATCCACTCACAGGTAGGTGCCTACCACACCTACCTCCACTCACAGGTAGGTGCCTACCACACCTACATCCACTCACAGGTAGGTGCCTACCACACCCACATCCACTCACAGGTAGGTACCTACCACACCTACCTCCACTCACAGGTAGGTGCCTACCACACCTACCTCCACTCACAGGTAGGTGCCTACCACACCTACCTCCACTCACAGGTAGGTGCCTACCACACCTACCTCCACTCACAGGTAGGTGCCTACCACACCTACATCCACTCACAGGTAGGTGCCTACCACACCTACCTCCACTCACAGGTAGGTGCCTACCACACCTACACCTACCTCCACTCACAGGTAGGTGCCTAGCACACCTACATCCACTCACAGGTAGGTGCCTACCACACCTACCTCCACTCACAGGTAGGTGCCTACCACACCTACCTCCACTCACAGGTAGGTGCCTACCACACCTACCTCCACTCACAGGTAGGTGCCTACCACACCTACATCCACTCACAGGTAGGTTGCTACCACACCTACATCCACTCACAGGTAGGTGCCTACCACACCTACCTCCACTCACAGGTAGGTGCCTACCACACCTACCTCCACTCACAGGTAGGTGCCTACCACCCCTCCCTCCACTCACAGGTAGGTGCCTACCACACCTACCTCCACTCACAGGTAGGTGCCTACCACACCTACCTCCACTCACAGGTAGGTGCCTACCACACCTACATCCACTCACAGGTAGGTGCCTACCACACCTACATCCACTCACAGGTAGGTGCCTACCACACCTACATCCACTCACAGGTAGGTGCCTACCACACCTACCTCCACTCACAGGTAGGTGCCTACCACACCTACCTCCACTCACAGATAGGTGCCTACCACACCTACATCCACTCACAGATAGGTGCCTACCACACCTACCTCCACTCACAGGTAGGTGCCTACCACACCTACCTCCACTCACAGATAGGTGCCTACCACACCTACCTCCACTCACAGATAGGTGCCTACCACACCTACATCCACTCACAGATAGGTGCCTACCACACCTACCTCCACTCACAGGTAGGTGCCTACCACACCCACACCTACCTCCACTCACAGGTAGGTGCCTACCACACCTACATCCACTCACAGGTAGGTACCTACCACACCCACACCTACCTCCACTCACAGATAGGTGCCTACCACACCTACATCCACTCACAGGTAGGTGCCTACCACACCTACCTCCACTCACAGGTAGGTGCCTACCACACCTACATCCACTCACAGGTAGGTGCCTACCACACCTACCTCCACTCACAGGTAGGTGCCTACCACACCTACCTCCACTCACAGGTAGGTGCCTACCACACCTACCTCCACTCACAGATAGGTGCCTACCACACCTACATCCACTCACAGATAGGTGCCTACCACACCTACCTCCACTCACAGGTAGGTGCCTACCACACCCACACCTACCTCCACTCACAGGTAGGTGCCTACCACACCTACATCCACTCACAGGTAGGTACCTACCACACCCACACCTACCTCCACTCACAGGTAGGTGCCTACCACATCTACATCCACTAACAGGTAGGTACCTACCACACCTACCTCCACTCACAGGTAGGTGCCTACCACACCTACATCCACTCACAGGTAGGTGCCTACCACACCTACATCCACTCACAGGTAGGTGCCTACCACACCTACCTCCACTCACAGGTAGGTGCCTACCACACCTACCTCCACTCACAGGTAGGTGCCTACCACACCTACCTCCACTCACAGATAGGTGCCTACCACACCTACATCCACTCACAGATAGGTGCCTACCACACCTACCTCCACTCACAGGTAGGTGCCTACCACACCTACATCCACTCACAGGTAGGTGCCTACCACACCTACCTCCACTCACAGGTAGGTGCCTACCACACCTACCTCCACTCACAGGTAGGTGCCTACCACACCTACATCCACTCACAGGTAGGTGCCTACCACACCTACCTCCACTCACAGGTAGGTGCCTACCACACCCACACCTACCTCCACTCACAGGTAGGTACCTACCACACCCACAACTACCTCCACTCACAGGTAGGTGCCTACCACACCTACCCGCTAGTGTCTCTCTGTCTCTGTGGCTCCATGCCACTCACTGTGTGTACCCCTCCCACCCCGTGTCTCCCCCGTCTCTCCCCCGTCTCTTCCCACGTGTCTCCCTCGTGTCTGCCCCCGTGTCTCCCCCGTGTCTCCCCCCGTGTCTCCCCCGTGTCTCCCCCGTGTCTCCCCCGTGTCACCCCCGTGTCTCCCCCGTGTCTCCCCCGTGTCTCCCCCCGTGTCTCCCCCGTGTCTCCCCCGTGTCACCCCCGTGTCTCCCCCGTGTCTCCCCCGTGTCTCCCCCCGTGTCTCCGCCGTGTCTCCCCCGTGTCTCCCCCGTGTCTCCCCCCGTGTCTCCCCCGTGTCTCCCCCGTGTCACCCCCGTGTCTCCCCCGTGTCTCCCCCCCGTGTCTCCCCCCCGTGTCTCCCCCGTGTCTCCCCTGTGTCTCCCCCGTGTCTCCCCCCGTGTCTCCCCCCGTGTCTCCCCCCGTGTCTCCCCACGTGTCTCCCCCGTGTCTCCCTCCGTGTCTCCCCCGTGTCTCCCCCCCGTGTCTCCCCCCGTGTCTCCCCCCGTGTCTCCCCCCCGTGTCTCCCACGTGTCTCCCCCTGTCTCTCCCCCCTGTCTCTCCCCCCGTGTCTCCCCACGTCTCTCCCCCCGTGTCTCCCCTCGTGTCTCCCCCGTGTCTCCCCCCGTGTCTCCCCCGTGTCTCCCACGTGTCTCCCCCGTGTCTCCCCCGTGTCTCTCCCCCGTGTCTCCCACGTGTCTCCCCCTGTCTCTCCCCCCTGTCTCTCCCACCTGTCTCTCCCCCCGTGTCTCCCTACGTCTCTCCCCCCGTGTCTCTCCGCGTGTCTCCCCCGTGTCTCCCCCCGTGTCTCCCCCGTGTCTCCCCCGTGTCCCCCCGTGTCTCCCCCCCGTGTCTCCCCCGTCTCTCCCCCCCCTGTCTCCCCCGTGTCTCCCACGTGTCTCCCCCCCGTGTCCCCACATGTCCCCACGTGTCTCCACGTGTCTCCCCCGTGTCCCAGCTGTTCGTGAGAAGCACTGATGTGGACCGCACGTTGATGAGTGCCCAAGTCAACCTGGCTGGGCTGTTCCCTCCTCAGGGGGCACAGCAGTGGAACCCAGAGATCACCTGGCAACCACTGCCGGTGCATACCCAGTCCCAGGACACGGACATGGTACTCACTCTCAATCGCTCACTCAGTCAGTCACTCAGTCACTCAGTCACTCAGTCAGTCACTCACACACTCACTCAGTCACTCAGTCACTCAGTCACTCGCTCAGTCACTCACTCAGTCACTCGGTCAGTCACTCAGTCACTCAGTCACTCACTCAGTCACTCACTCAGTCACTCAGTCAGTCACTCAGTCAGTCACTCAGTCACTCACTCGCTCACTCACTCACACACTCAGTCACTCACACACTCAGTCACTCACTCACTCAGTCACTCACTCAGTCACTCACTCAGTCACTCACACGCTCACTCAGGGGGCACAGCAGTGGAACCCAGAGATCACCTGGCAACCACTGCCGGTGCATACCCAGTCCCAGGACACGGACATGGTACTCACTCAGTCACTCAGTCACTCACTCAGTCACTCACTCAGTCACTCACTCAGTCACTCACTCAGTCACTCACTCAGTCAGTCACTCAGTCACTCACTCAGTCACTCACTCAGTCACTCAGGGGGCACAGCAGTGGAACCCAGAGATCACCTGGCAACCACTGCCGGTGCATACCCAGTCCCAGGACACGGACATGGTACTCACTCAGTCACTCACTCGCTCAGTCACTCAGTCAGTCACTCAGTCAGTCACTCAGTCACTCAGTCAGTCACTCAGTCACTCACACGCTCACTCAGTCACTCACTCACACGCTCACTCAGTCACTCAGTCACTCAGTCACATGCTCACTCACTCACTCAGTCACTCACTCAGTCACTCACTCAGTCACTCAGTCACTCACTCACTCACTCAGTCAGTCACTCACTTAGTCATTCACTCAGTCACTCACTCACTCACTCAGTCACTCAGTCAGTCACACACTCAGTCACTCACTCAGTCACACACTCACTCACTCAGTCACTCACTCGCTCAGTCAGTCACACGCTCACTCAGTCACTCACTCAGTCAGTCACTCGCTCACTCAATCACTCACTCAGTCACTCAGTCACTCACACGCTCACTCAGTCACTCAGTCACTCACTCAATCACTCACTCAGTCACTCACTCAGTCGCTCACTCAGTCAGTCACTCAGTCACTCACACGCTCACTCGCTCACTCAGTCACTCACACGCTCACTCAGTCACTCACTCACTCTCACTCACTCGCTCACTCACTCGCTCAGTCACTCACTCAGTCAGTCACACACTCAGTCACTCACTCAGTCAGTCACTCACTCAGTCACTCACACGCTCACTCAGTCACTCACTCACTCAGTCACTCACACGCTCACTCAGTCACTCACTCACACGCTCACTCAGTCACTCACTCAGTCACTCACTCAGTCAGTCACTCAGTCAGTCAGTCACTCAGTCACTCACACGCTCACTCAGTCACACGCTCACTCAGTCACACGCTCACTCACTCAGTCACTCACTCAGTCACTCACTCACACGCTCACTCAGTCACTCACTCAATCACTCACTCAGTCACTCAGTCACTCACTCACACGCTCACTCAGTCACTCAGTCAATCAGTCACTCAGTCACTCAGTCACACGCTCACTCAGTCACTCAGTCACTCACTCTCACTCACTCACTCAGTCACTCACTCAGTCACACGCTCACTCAGTCACTCAATCAGTCACTCACTCAGTCACTCACTCAGTCACACGTTCACTCAGTCAGTCACTCACTCACTCAGTCACTCACACGCTCACTCAGTCACTCAATCACTCACTCTCACTCACTCACTCAATCACTCACTCAGTCAGTCACTCAGTCACTCACACGCTCACTCAGTCACTCACTCACTCACTCAGTCACTCACACGCTCACTCAGTCACACGCTCACTCACTCAGTCAGTCACTCAGTCACTCACACGCTCACTCGCTCAGTCACTCACTCAGTCACTCACTCAGTCACTCACTCAGTCACTCACTCAGTCACTCACACGCTCACTCAGTCACTCAATCACTCACTCAGTCACTCACACGCTCACTCAGTCACACGCTCACTCACTCACTCAGTCAGTCACTCAGTCACTCACACGCTCACTTGCTCAGTCACTCAGTCACTCACACGCTCACTCAGTCACTCACTCACACGCTCACTCAGTCACTCACACGCTCACTCAGTCACTCACGCTCACTCAGTCACTCACTCAGTCACTCACACGCTCACTCAGTCACTCACTCACACGCTCACTCAGTTACTCACTCAGTCACACGTTCACTCAGTCACTCAGTTACTCACTCAATCACTCACTCACTCAGTCACTCACTGAGTCACTCACTCAGTCACTCTCACTCACTCGCTCAGTCACTCACTCAGTCACACGCTCACTCAGTCACTCACTCAATCACTCACTCAGTCACACGCTCACTCACACACTCACTCACTCAGTCACACGCTCACTCACTCACTCAGTCACACGCTCACTCACACACTCACTCACTCTCACTCACTCAGTCACTCACTCAATCACTCACTGTCACTCACTCAGTCACTCACTCAGTCACACGCTCACTCAGTCACTCAGTCAGTCACTCGCTCACTCACTCAATCACTCACTCAGTCACACGCTCACTCAGTCACTCACTCAGTCACTCACACGCTCACTCACTCAGTCACTCAATCACTCACTCTCACTCACTCAGTCAAACGCTCACTCAGTCACTCACTCACACGCTCACTCAGTCACTCACTCAGTCACTCAATCACTCACTCTCACTCACTCAGTCACATGCTCACTCAGTCACTCACTCACACGCTCACTCAGTCACTCACTCAGTCACTCACTCAGTCACTCACTCACTCAGTCACACGCTCATCAGTCAGTCACTCACTCACACGCACGCTTACTCACTCAGTCACACACTCACTCACCCACTCACTCACTCACCCACTCACCCACCAACCCACCCACTCACTCACCCACCCACTCACCCACTCACACACTCACTCACTCACCCACTCACCCACTCACTCACTCACCCACCAACCCACTCACCCACTCACTCACCCACTCACTCACCACCCACTCACTGACTCACCCACCCACTCACCCACCCACCCACTCACCCCCCACCCACCCACCCCAGCTGTTAAGGTTCCCACTGCCGGACTGTCCCAAGTACGAGCGCCTCATGGAGGAGACGCGGCAGAGTGAGGAGTGGAGACACGCGGAGGCTGTGAACAAGGTGGAGACACGGGGAGACACGGGGGGAGACACGGGGAGTCACGGGGAGACACGGGGGGAGACACGGGGGAGACACGGTGAGACGCGGCAGAGTGAGCAGTGGAGACATGCGGAGGCTGTGAACAAGGTGGAGACACGGGGAGACACGGGGAGACACGGGGGGAGACACGGGGAGTCACGGGGAGACACGGGGGGAGACACGGGGGAGACACGGTGAGACGCGGCAGAGTGAGCAGTGGAGACATGCGGAGGCTGTGAACAAGGTGGAGACACGGGGAGACACGGGGGGAGACACTGGGAGTCACAGGGGAGACACGGGGAGACACGTGGGAGACACGGGGAGAGACACGGGGAGACACGGGGGAGACACGGGGAGACACGGGGGAGACACGGGGAGACACGGGGGAGACACGGGGAGAGACACGGGGAGACACGGGGGAGACACGGGGAGACACGGGGAGACACGGGGGGAGACACGGGGAGACACGGTGAGACACGGGGAGACACGGGGGGAGACACGGGGAGACACGGGGAGAGACACGGGGAGACACGGGGAGAGACACGGGGAGAGACACGGGGAGACACGGGGGGAGACACGGGGAGACACGGGGGAGACACGGGGAGACACGGGGGAGACACGGGGAGACACGGGGGAGACACGGGGAGACACGGGGGAGACACGGGGAGACACGGGGAGACACGGGGGGAGACACAGGGAGACACGGGGAGACACGGTGGAGACACGGGGAGACACGGGGGAGACCCGGGGAGAGACACGGGGGGAGACACGGGGAGACGGGGGGAGACACGGGGGGAGACACGGGGAGACACGGGGGAGACACGGGGAGACACGGGGGGAGACACGGGGAGACACGGGGGAGACACGGGGAGAGACACGGGGGGAGACACGGGGAGACGGGGGGAGACACGGGGGGAGACACGGGGAGACACGGGAGAGACACGGGGAGAGACACGGGGGGAGACACGGGGAGACGGGGGGAGACACGGGGGGAGACACGGGGGAGACACGGGGAGACACGGGGGAGACACGGGGAGAGACACGGGGGGAGACACGGGGAGACGGGGGGAGACACGGGGGGAGACACGGGGAGACACGGGGGGAGACACGGGGAGACACGGGGGGAGACACGGGGAGACACGGGGGGAGACACGAGGGGAGACACGGGGGAGACACGGGGGGAGACACGAGGGGAGACACGGGGGAGACACGGGGGAGACACGGGGGAGACACGGGGAGACACGGGGGAGACACGGGGAGAGACACAGGGGGAGACACGGGGAGACGGGGGGAGAGACACGGGGGGAGACACGGGGAGAAACACGGGGAGACACGGGGGGAGACACGGGGAGACACGGGGGAGACACGGGGAGACACGGGGAGACACGGGGGAGACACGGGGAGACACGGGGGAGACACGGGGGAGACACGGGGAGACGGGGGGAGACACGGGGAGACACGGAGAGAGACACGGGGGGAGACACGGGGGGAGACACGGGGAGACACGGGGGGAGACACGGGGAGACACGGGGGGACACGGGGGAGACACGGGGAGACGGGGGGAGACACGGGGAGACACGGGGAGACACGGGGGAGACACGGGGAGACACGGGGGAGACACGGGGAGGTACACGGGGGAGACACGGGGAGACGGGGGGAGACACGGGGGGAGACACGGGGAGACGGGGGGAGACACGGGGGGAGACACGTGGAGACACGGGGGAGACACGGGGAGACACGGGGGGAGACACGAGGGGAGACACGGGGGGAGACACGGGGGAGACACGGGGAGACACGGGGGAGACACGGGGGGAGACACGGGGGGAGACACGGGGAGACGGGAGGAGACACGGGGAGACACGGGGGAGACACGGGGAGACACGGGGAGACACGGGGGAGACACGGGGGGAGACACGGGGAGACGGGGGGAGACACGGGGAGACACGGGGGAGACACGGGGAGACGGGGGGAGACACGGGGAGACACGGGGAGGTTAGGTGATGGGAGACACGGGGAGACACGGGGAGGTTAGGTGATGGGAGACACGGGGAGACACGGGGAGGTACACGGGGGAGACACGGGGAGACACGGGGGGAGACACGGGGGGAGACACGTGGGAGACACGGGGAGACGGGGGGAGACACGGGGAGACACGGGGGAGACACGGGGAGACACGGGGGAGACACGGGGAGACACGGGGGAGACACGGGGAGGTACACGGGGGGAGACACGGGGAGACGGGGGGAGACACGGGGGGAGACACGGGGAGACACGGGGGAGACACGAGGGGAGACACGGGGGGAGACACGGGGGAGACGGGGGGAGACACGGGGGGAGACACGGGGAGACGGGGGGAGACACGGGGAGACACGGGGGAGACACGGGGAGACGGGGGGAGACACGGGGAGACACGGGGGAGACACGGGGAGACACGGGGGAGACACGGGGAGACACGGGGGAGACACGGGGGGAGACACGGGGGGAGACACGGGGAGACGGGGGGAGACACGGGGAGACACGGGGGAGACACGGGGAGATGGGGGGAGACACGGGGAGACACGGGGGAGACGGGGGGAGACGGGGGGAGACACGGGGGAGACACGGGGAGACACGGGGGAGACACGGGGGAGACACGCGGGGAGACACAGGGGAGTCTACCACCCCATGCCCCCCCCCTCCACGTGACCCCCTCCACGTGACCCCCCCCCCACGTGACCCCCCCCCACGTGACCCCCCCCCCCACGTGACCCCCCAGGAATTCCTGCAGTTTGTGGGCGCTGCGTCCGGGTTGAGCGACATGGGTCTAGACAAAGCGTGGCAGCTGTACGACACTCTGTACGTGCAGGTGAGCTACTCACCACTCACTCACCACTCACTCACCACTCTCACTCACCCACTCACTCACTCACTGACCCACTCACCCACTCACCCACTCACCCACCCACTCACCCACCCACTCACCCACTCACTCACCCACTCACTCACATGGGTCTAGACAAAGCGTGGCAGCTGTACGACACTCTGTACGTGCAGGTGAGATGCTCACCACTCACTCACCACTCACTCACCCACTCACTCACCACCCACTCACTCACTCACCACTCACTCACCCACTCACTCACCACTCACTCACCCACTCACCACCCACTCACTCACTCACCACTCACTCACCCACTCACTCACTCACCCACTCACTCACTCACCCACTCACTCACCCACTCACCCACCCACTCACCCACTCACCCACTCACCCACCCACTCACCACCCACTCACTCACATGGGTCTAGACAAAGCGTGGGAGCTGTACGACACTCTGTATGTGCAGGTGAGCTACTCACCACTCACTCACCACTCATTCACCACTCTCACTCACCACTCACTCACTCACTCACCCACTCACTCACCCACTCACCCACCCACACACTCACTCACTCACCCACCCACTCACTCACATGGGTCTAGACAAAGCGTGGCAGCTGTACGACACTCTGTACGTGCAGGTGAGCTACTCACCACTCACTCACCACTCACTCACCACTCACTCACTCACCCACTCACCCACCCACACACTCACTCACCCACCCACTCACTCACATGGGTCTAGACAAAGCGTGGCAGCTGTACGACACTCTGTACGTGCAGGTGAGATGCTCACCACTCACTCACCACTCACTCACCACTCTCTCACCACTCACTCACCACTCACTCACCACTCACTCACCACTCACTCACCCACCCACTCACTCACATGGGTCTAGACAAAGCGTGGCAGCTGTACGACACTCTGTACGTGCAGGTGAGCTACTCACCACTCACTCACCACTCACTCACCACTCACTCACTCACCCACTCACCCACCCACACACTCACTCACTCACCCACCCACTCACTCACATGGGTCTAGACAAAGCGTGGCAGCTGTACGACACTCTGTACGTGCAGGTGAGCTACTCACCACTCACTCACCACTCACTCACCACTCACTCACTCACCCACTCACCCACCCACACACTCACCCACTCACTCACATGGGTCTAGACAAAGCGTGGCAGCTGTACGACACTCTGTACGTGCAGGTGAGATGCTCACCACTCACTCACCACTCACTCACCACTCACTCACCACTCACTCACTCACCACTCACTCACCACTCACTCACCCACCCACTCACATGGGTCTAGACAAAGCGTGGCAGCTGTACGACACTCTGTACGTGCAGGTGAGCTGCTCACCACTCACTCACCACTCACTCACCACTCACTCACCACTCACTCACCCACTCACTCACTCACCCACCCACTCACTCACCCACTCACTCACCACTCACTCACCCACTCACTCACCCACCCACTCACCTACTCACCCACCCACTCACTCACCACTCACTCAACACTCACTCACCACTCACTCAACACTCACTCACTCACCACTCACTCACCACTCACTCACTCACCACTCACTCACCACTCACTCAACACTCACTCAACACTCACTCACCACTCACTCACCACTCACTCACTCACCACTCACTCACCACTCACTCACCACTCACTCAACACTCACTCACCACTCACCCAGTCACTCACTCACCCACTCACTCACTCACTCACCCACTCACTCACCCACTCACTCACTCACCCACTCACTCACCCACCACTCACTCACCACTCACTCACCACTCTCACTCACCACTCACTCACCCACCCACTCACCGACTCACTCACTCACTCACCACTCACTCACTCACCACTCACTCACCACTCACTCACCACTCACTCACCACTCACTCACCACTCACTCAACACTCACTCAACACTCACTAACCACTTACCACTCACTCACCACTCACTCACCACTCACTCAACACTCACTCAACACTCACTCACCACTCACTCACTCACCACTCACTCACCACTCACTCACCACTCACTCAACACTCACTCACCACTCACCCAGTCACTCACTCACCCACTCACTCACTCACTCACCCACTCACTCACCCACTCACTCACTCACCCACTCACTCACCCCACTCACTCACCCACCCACTCACTCACCCACTCACTCACCCACTCACTCACCCACTCACCCACTCACTCACTCACTCACCCACTCACTCACTCACCCATCCACTCACTCACCCACTCACTCACTCACCCACCCACTCACTCACCCACTCACTCACTCACCACTCACTCACCCACCCACTCACCCACTCACTCACCCACTCACTCACATGGGTCTAGACAAAGCGTGGCAGCTGTACGACACTCTGTACGTGCAGGTGAGATGCTCACCACTCACTCACCACTCACTCACCACTCTCTCACCACTCACTCACCACTCACTCACCACTCACTCACCACTCACTCACCCACCCACTCACTCACATGGGTCTAGACAAAGCGTGGCAGCTGTACGACACTCTGTACGTGCAGGTGAGCTACTCACCACTCACTCACCACTCACTCACCACTCACTCACTCACCCACTCACCCACCCACACACTCACTCACTCACTCACATGGGTCTAGACAAAGCGTGGCAGCTGTACGACACTCTGTACGTGCAGGTGAGATGCTCACCACTCACTCACCACTCACTCACCACTCACTCACCACTCACTCACTCACCACTCACTCACCACTCACTCACCCACCCACTCACATGGGTCTAGACAAAGCGTGGCAGCTGTACGACACTCTGTACGTGCAGGTGAGCTACTCACCACTCACTCACCACTCACTCACCACTCTGACTCACCACTCACTCACCCACTCACTCACTCACCCACCCACTCACTCACCCACTCACTCACCACTCACTCACCCACTCACTCACCCACCCACTCACCTACTCACCCACCCACTCACTCACCACTCACTCAACACTCACTCACCACTCACTCACCACTCACTCACTCAACACTCACTCACCACTCACTCAACACTCACTCACTCACCACTCACTCACCACTCACTCACTCACCACTCACTCACCACTCACTCAACACTCACTCAACACTCACTCACCACTCACTCAACACTCACTCACTCACCACTCACTCACCACTCACTCACCACTCACTCAACACTCACTCACCACTCACCCAGTCACTCACTCACCCACTCACTCACTCACTCACCCACTCACTCACCCACTCACTCACTCACCCACTCACTCACCCACCACTCACTCACCACTCACTCACCACTCTCACTCACCACTCACTCACCCACCCACTCACCGACTCACTCACTCACTCACCACTCACTCACTCACCACTCACTCACCACTCACTCACCACTCACTCACCACTCACTCACCACTCACTCACCACTCACTCAACACTCACTCAACACTCACTAACCACTTACCACTCACTCACCACTCACTCACCACTCACTCAACACTCACTCAACACTCACTCACCACTCACTCACTCACCACTCACTCACCACTCACTCACCACTCACTCAACACTCACTCACCACTCACCCAGTCACTCACTCACCCACTCACTCACTCACTCACCCACTCACTCACCCACTCACTCACTCACCCACACACTCACCCCACTCACTCACCCACCCACTCACTCACCCACTCACTCACCCACTCACTCACCCACTCACCCACTCACTCACTCACTCACCCACTCACTCACTCACCCATCCACTCACTCACCCACTCACTCACTCACCCACCCACTCACTCACCCACCCACTCACTCACTCACCACTCACTCACCCACTCACTCACCACTCACTCACCCACTCACTCACATGGGTCTAGACAAAGCGTGGCAGCTGTACGACACTCTGTACGTGCAGGTGAGCTGCTCACCACTCACTCACCACTCACTCACCACTCACTCACCCACCCACTCACTCACCACTCACTCACCACTCTCACTCACCCACCCACTCACTCACCACTCACTCACCACTCTCACTCACTCACCCACTCACTCACTCACCCACTCACTCACCCCACCCACTCACCCACTCACTCACTCACCCACCCACTCACTCACTCACCCACCCACTCACCCACTCACTCACCCACTCACTCACTCACCCACCCACCCACCCACTCACTCACCACTCACTCACCACTCACTCACCACTCACTCACCACTCACTCACTCACCACTCACTCACCACTCTCACTCACCCACCCACTCACTCACTCAGTCACTCACTCACCCACCCACTCACCCACTCACTCACTCACCAACCCACTCACCCACTCACTCACTCACTCACCCACTCACCCACCCACCCACTCACTCACCCACTCACTCACCCACCCACTCACCCACTCACTCACTCAATCACCCACCCACTCACCCACTCACTCACTCAATCACCCACTCACTCACCTACTCACCCACCCACTCACTCACCCACTCACTCACTCACTCACCCACCCACTCACCCACTCACTCACTCACCCACTCACTCACCACTCACTCACCCACTCACTCACATGGGTCTAGACAAAGCGTGGCAGCTGTACGACACTCTGTACGTGCAGGTGAGCTGCTCACCACTCACTCACCACTCACTCACCACTCACTCACTCACCCACTCACCCACTCACTCACCACTCACTCACCACTCACTCACCACTCACTCACCACTCACTCACCCACTCACTCACCACTCACTCTCCACTCTCACTCACCCACCCACTCACTCACTCAGTCACTCACTCACCCACCCACTCACCCACTCACTCACTCACCCACCCACTCACTCACTCACCCACCCACTCACCCACTCACTCACCCACTCACTCACTCACCCACTCACCCACCCACCCACTCACTCACCACTCACTCACCACTCACTCACCACTCACTCACTCACCACTCACTCACCACTCTCACTCACCCACCCACTCACTCAGTCACTCACTCACCCACCCACTCACCCACTCACTCACTCACTCACCAACCCACTCACCCACTCACTCACCCACTCACTCACTCACTCACCCACTCACCCACCCACCCACCCACTCACTCACCCACTCACTCACCCACCCACTCACCCACTCACTCACTCAATCACCCACCCACTCACCCACTCACTCACTCAATCACCCACTCACTCACCTACTCACCCACCCACTCACTCACCCACTCACTCACTCACTCACCCACCCACTCACCCACTCACTCACTCACCCACTCACTCACCCACTCACTCACCCAGTCACTCACTCACTCACCCACTCACTCACTCACCCACTCACCCACTCACTCACCCACTCACTCACCCACCCACTCACTCACTCACTCACCCACTCACCCACCCACTCACTCACTCACTCACCCACTCACTCACCCACTCACTCACCCACTCACTCACTCACCACTCACTCACCACTCTCACTCACCACTCACTCACTCACTCACCCACTCACTCACCTACCCACCCACTCACTCACCCACCCACCCACTCACTCACCCACCCACCCACCCACCCACTCAATCACTCACTCACTCACCACTCACCCACCCACTCACTCACCCACTCACTCACCCACCCACTCACCCACTCACTCACTCAATCACCCACCCACTCACCCACTCACTCACTCAATCACCCACTCACTCACCTACTCACCCACCCACTCACTCACCCACTCACTCACTCACCCACCCACTCACCCACTCACTCACTCACCCACTCACTCACCCACTCACTCACCCACTCACTCACTCACCCACTCACTCACTCACCCACTCACCCACTCACTCACCCACTCACTCACCCACCCACTCACTCACTCACTCACCCACTCACCCACTCACTCACTCACCCACTCACTCACCCACTCACTCACCCACTCACTCACTCACCACTCACTCACCACTCTCACTCACCACTCACTCACTCACTCACCCACTCACTCACCCACCCACCCACTCACTCACCCACCCACCCACTCACTCACCCACCCACCCACTCAATCACTCACTCACTCACCACTCACTCACCACTCACTCACCACTCACTCGCCCACTCACCCACTCACCCACTCACTCACCCACTCACCCACCCACTCACTCACCCACTCACTCACCCACCCACTCACCCACTCACTCACTCACTCACCCACCCACTCACCCACTCACTCACCCACCCACTCACCCACTCACTCACATGGGTCTTGACAAAGCGTGGCAGCTGTACGACACTCTGTACGTGCAGGTGAGCTGCTCACCACTCACTCACCACTCACTCACCACTCACTCACCACTCACTCACCACTCACTCACCACTCACTCACCCACTCACCCACCCACTCACTCACCACTCACTCACCACTCACTCACCACTCACTCACCCACTCACCCACCCACTCACTCACCACTCACTCACTCACTCACCACTCACTCACTCACCCACCCACCCACTCACTCACTCACCACTCACTCACCACTCTCACTCACCACTCACTCACCACTCTCACTCACCACTCACTCACCACTCACTCACTCACCACTCACTCACCACTCTCACTCACCACTCACTCACCACTCACTCACCACTCACTCACCCACTCACTCACCCACTCACCCACTCACTCACCCACTCACTCACCCACCCGCTCACCCACTCACTCACTCTCTCACCCACTCACTCACTCACTCTCTCACTCAATCACCCACTCACCCACTCACTCACTCACTCACCCACTCACTCACCCACCCACTCACCCACCCACTCACCCACTCTCTCACTCACTCACCCACTCACCCACTCACTCACTCACTCACCCACTCACTCACCCACTCACCCACCCACTCACCCACTCACTCACTCACTCACCCACTCACTCACCCACCCACTCACCCACTCACTCACTCAATCACCCACCCACTCACCCACTCACTCACTCACCCACTCACTCACCTACTCACCCACCCACTCAGTCACCCACTCACTCACTCACTCACTTACTCACTCACCCACTCACTCACTCACTCACCCACCCACTCACCCACTCACTCACTCACTCACCCACTCACTCACCCACTCACTCACCCACTCACTCACTCACCCACTCACTCACTCACCCACTCACCCACTCACTCACCCACTCACTCACCCACCCACTCACTCACTCACCCACTCACCCACTCACTCACTCACTCACCCACCCACCCACGCACCCACTCACTCACCCACCCACTCACCCACTCACTCACTCACCACTTTCACTCACCACCTCACTCACTCACTCACCCACCCACTCACCCACTCACTCACTCACTCACTTACTCACTCACCCACTCACTCACTCACTCACCCACCCACTCACCCACTCACTCACTCACTCACCCACTCACTCACCCACTCACTCACCCACTCACTCACTCACTCACCCACTCACCCACTCACTCACCCACTCACTCACCCACCCACTCACTCACTCACCCACTCACCCACCCACCCACTCACTCACTCACCACTCACTCACCACTCACTCACCACTCACTCACCCACTCACTCACCCACTCACCCACTAACCCACCCACCCACTCACTCACCCACTCACTCACCCACCCACCCACTCACTCACTCACCCACTCACTCACTCACTCACCCACTCACCCACTCACTCACCCACTCACTCACTCACTCACCCACTCACTCACTCACCCACCCACTCACCCACCCACTCACCCACTCACTCACTCACCCACTCACTCACTCATTCACCCACTCACTCACTCACCACTCACTCACTCACCCACTCACCACTCACTCACCCACTCACTCACCCACTCACTCACCCACTCACCCACTCACTCACCCACTCACTCACCCACTCACTCACCCACTCTCTCACTCACCCACTCACTCACCCACCCACCCACTCTCTGTGCAGAGTCTCCACAACCTCTTTCTCCCTGTGTCTCCCTGTGTCTCTCTGTGTCTCCCTGTTTCTGTGCAGAGTCTCCACAACCTGTCTCTCCCTGTGTCTCCCTTTGTCTCCCTGTGTCTCCCTGTGTCTCCCTGTGTCTCTCTGTCTCCCTGTGTCTCTGTGCAGAGTCTCCACAACCTGTCTCTCTGTGTCTCCTTGTGTCTCTCTGTGTCTCCCTGTGTCTCTCCGCAGAGTCTCCACAACCTGTCTCTCCCTGTGTCTCCCTGTGTCTCTCTGTGTCTCCCTGTCTCTGTGCAGAGTCTCCACAACCTGTCTCTCCCTGTGTCTCCCTGTGTCTCCCTGTGTCTCCCTGTGTCTCTGTGCAGAGTCTCCACAGCCTGTCTCTCCCTGTGTCTCCCTGTGTCTCTCCGCAGAGTCTCCACAACCTGTGTCTCCCTGTGTCTCCCTGTGTCTCCCTGTGTCTCCCTGCGTCTCTCCGCAGAGTGTCCACAACCTGTCTCTCCTTGTGTCTCCCTGTGTCTCTCTGTGTCTCTCCGTAGAGTCTCCACAACCTGTCTCTCCCTGTGTCTCCCTGTGTCTCTGTGTCTCCCTGTGTCTCTGTGTCTCTGTGCAGAGTCTCCACAACCTATCTCTCCCTTTGTCTCCCTGTGTCTCTCTGTGTCTCCCCGTGTCTCCCTGTGTCTCTCCGCAGAATCTCCACAACCTGTCTCTCCCTGTGTCTCTCTGTGTCTCCCCGTGTCTCCCTGTGTCTCCCTGTGTCTCTCTGCAGAGTGTCCACAACCTGTCTCTCCCCGCCTGGGCTCTCTCTGCTGATGTCCTGCCCAGACTCCACTCTCTCCCTGTGTCTCCCTGTGTCTCCCTGTGTCTCTCCGTGTCTCCCTGTGTCTCCCTGTGTCTCTGTGTCTCCCTGTGTCTCTCCGCAGAGTCTCCACAACCTGTCTCTCCCTGTCTCTCCCCGTGTCTCCCTGTGTCTCCCTGTGTCTCCCTGTGTCTCTCCGCAGAGTGTCCACAACCTGTCTCTCCCCGCCTGGGCTCTCTCTGCTGATGTCCTGCCCAGACTCCACTCTCTCCCTGTGTCTCCCTGTGTCTCCCTGTGTCTCTCCGTGTCTCCCTGTGTCTCTCCGTGTCTCCCTGTGTCTCCCTGTGTCTCTGTGTCTCCCTGTGTCTCTCCGCAGAGTCTCCACAATCTGTCTCTCTCTCTGTCTCTCCCTGTGTCTCTGTGCAGAGTCTCCACAACCTGTGTCTCCCTGTGTCTCCCTGTGTCTCTCCGCAGAGTGTCCACAACCTGTCTCTCCCCGCCTGGGCTCTCTCCGCTGATGTCCTGCCCAGACTCCGCTCTCTCTCCGCGCTCGACCTCCTGTTCATGTTCGGAGGCTTCAAGCCGCAGGAGAAGAGCAGGCTTCAGGGGGGTGAGTAGGCCTCACCATCCCTACCACCATCACCGCCACCACCAACACAATCACTACCATCATCACCATCATCACCGCCACCATCATCACCGCCACCATCACCATCATCACCGCCATCATCACCACCACCATCACCATCATCTCGACCTCCTGTTAATGTTCGGAGGCTTCAAGCCGCAGGAGAAGAGCAGGCTTCAGGGGGGTGAATAGGCCTCACCATCCCTACCACCATCACCGCCACCACCAACACAATCACTACCATCATCACCATCATCACCACCACCATCACCACCACCGCCATCATCACCATCATCTCGACCTCCTGTTCATGTTCGGAGGCTTCAAGCCGCAGGAGAAGAGCAGGCTACAGGGGGGTGAATAGGCCTCGCCATCACTACCATCATCACCATCAACATCATCACTACCACCATCACCGCCATCACCGCCACCAGCACCATCATCATCATCACCGCCACCATCACCATCATCACCGCCACCACCATCATCACCGCCACCATCATCATCATCATCACCGCCACCATCACCACCACCAACAACCATCACTACCATCAACACCATCATCACCGCCATCATCACCATCATCACCCCCATCATCATCACCGCCATCATCACTGCCATCACCACCGCCATCATCACCTCCATCATCATCGCCACTGCCATCATGATGGTGATGGTGGTGTTGGTGGTGATGATGGTGGTGATGATGGTGATGATGGTGATGGTGTTGATGGGGATGATGGTGATAATGGTGGTGTTGGTGGTGATGGTGATGGTTGTGGTGATGGTTGTGGTGATGATGGTTGTGATGATGGTGATGGTGTTGGTGGTGGTGGTGATGGTGATGGTTGTGGTGATGATAGTGGTGATGATGGTGATGGTGTTGGTGGTGGTGGTGATGGTGATGGTTGTGGTGATGATGATGGTGGTGATGGTGGTGATGGTGATGGTGGTGATGATGATGGTGGTGATGATGGTGATGGTGTTGATGGTGATGGTGTTGATGGTGTTGATGGTGATGATGGTGATGGTGTTGATGATGATGGTGGTGATGGTGGTGATGGTGTTGATGGGGATGATGGTGATGGTGTTGATGGTGATGGTGGTGGTGATGGTGTTGATGGTGATGGTGGTGATGGTGGTGACGGTGGTGATGATGTGTGCAGGAAAGTTGGTGGGCTACGTGATGGGGAACCTCACAGCCTCGGCCAATGGGAGCTCTCCGCTGCGATTACAGCTCCTCTCTGCAGTACGCACACAGACACACACACACACACAGACACACACACACACAGACACACACACACACAGACACACACACACACACAGACACACACACACACAGACACACACACACACAGACACACACACACACAGACACACACACAGGCACACAGACACACAGACACACATACACAGACACACATACACAGACACACACACAGACACACAGACTCACATGGGCATTAACTAACACACACGTACATGCAAAAACGTATACGGAAACACGTACACACACCTACATGCATGTGTGAGCGTGTGCAAGTGTGCGTGTGTGTCTGTGTGTGTGTCTGTGTGTGTCTGTGTGTGTGTGTCTGTGTGTGTGTGTTTGTGTGTGTGTCTGTGTGTTTGTGTGTGTGTGTCTGTGTGTGTGTCTGTGTGTCTGTGTGTGTGTCTGTGTGTGTGTGTCTGTGTGTCTTGTGGGAGCGATAGTGTAGCGGTTAGCGCGCTGCGCTATGAACCTGGCGACCCGGGTTCGATTCCCGCTCACGGCCAGCACCAGTGACGATTATCTGAACCGGTCCCGGGCCTCCCCTAGGTCGACTCAGCCTCAAATGAGTACCTGGTACGGTGTGTAAACATCGCGACTGGGGAGACAAAGGCGGTCGGGCGTGGTGCTGGCCACCCACCCCCTCGTGTACCGTTCCGGCCTTCATAGGTGCTCGCTAACAGCACTTGCCCCTACAGTCTGTTAAGGCTATACGGGGGATCTTTGTGTGAGTCTGTCCGGCAAACCAACCCTCTACCTCCTCGTGGTGCCGGACGGGCAACTCTGTCGTGGACAATGCTGTGGGGGGAGGTCCAATTTTGATTGGCTCCTCCCCTCATGGCGTCTGTGACCACCACAGTGGCTAAACCGGGGCTCTGGACGGGTGCGAGGGGTTGGTAACCCCTCCACCTTCAAAAAATTACCACGAAACTACGACTTAAATATGTAACTAATAAGCTTGTGCCGGAGGCCCTGGGGGGACAGTTGTCTATGATGTCTCCTGGCCAAACCCCAATTGGCGGAGCCAGGAGATTGAATCTCTACCCTCGGGGCTCCTCCAGAAACAACGAAAAGCCACTACGGATGGCCACGTGGAATGTTCGAACGCTCACTGCGGAGGAGAGGCTGCCACTCCACTTGTAGGGAGCTGGACCGGTACCGCCTGGATCTCTGTGGCATTCAGGAGGTCCGGTGACCGGTTCTGGCTCCTGCCACCATGAGGGGTGGACAGTCCTCTATTCGGGGCAGCAGACTGCCAAACAACAGGGTGTGGCTCTTCTTTTGAACAAAAGAATGAAAGGAGCGTGGGAGCTTGGCGGTGTGGTGTGAGAAGCTGTAAGCCCCAGGCTACTTTGGGCTCGCCTTCCCATCAATCGGAGGCGAGGATTGGTGGTCGTGGTTACTTATGCCCCCACCGAAGACGAACATCCGTGGAGGGATGCAGGCAAAGCCGATGGGTCAGATGCCTTCTATGACCTCCTGTCACAGGTGCTGGCTAAAGTGGCCCCTTGGGATAGAGTCATCTTGTTGGGTGACTTCAATGCCCGAGTTGGTCATGATGCTGGCACCTGGTCTGGAGTGTTTGGAGGGCATGGGCAAGATCAGCTCAATAACAACGGTAGAAGGCTGCTAGATTTTTGTGCAGCCCATGGGCTTGTCATTACCAACACGCTGTTCCGGCATAGGCACATCCACACAACATCATGGATGCATGCCGTGTCCAAGCAAGAACATCTGCTGGACTACATAGTGACGGACCAGCGGATGCGAGCCCATGTCCTTGACACCAGGACCTACCGTGGAGCTGATCTGCCCTCTGACCATCGACTAGTCATCTGTAAGATGCGCCTGCCATTCTTCCGCTCCGGTGGTGGATGTACACCCAGGACCCCATTCCAACCTAAAGTGGCCTGGTCTCAGTTATCTGATGAAAGTTGCAAGCGAGAATTTCATCATCGCTTGCGGCTGGGGTTGGCATCGTCCCTCACTCCTCCTGATGTCGAGGGTAAATGGGCGAGGTTTAGGACTGTGACTCATGCAGCTGCAATGGCTGCTTTGGGTACGCGGTCCAGACCTCCCCAGAGACCCTGGCTGACAGAGGAGGTGTTCAGGATGTTTGAGAAAAAGCAACAGGCCCACTGTCATCGGCTACAGAATCCCACGTCAGAGAATGAGGAGGCTTTTACCGCAGCCTTCGCTCGGAGGTTCGGAGAGCCGTGAGGCGCTGCAAGGATGGGTGGTGGTCGCAGGTTGCTGAGGAGATGGAGTCTGCCTCAGTGGCCCGTGATCACAAATCTCTATTTAACTCCATCATAAAAGTAACCTGCAGCGCCACACCAATTACCATCATTAGGGGAAAAAACGGTGATCCAATCTCCGACTCCCAGGAACAGGTTTGCAGATTTTGATGAGTATTTCTGTGAAGTCGTGGGGCAGGGGAAATCCCTCAGCCAGGTAAACATCGTGGCACAAAGTGAGGATGACCCTGCTGAGGCTGCGGTGCCTCAAATATTGGAAGAAGTCACCCTCTGTGAGTGGCTGGCTGAGGTGCCATCTGTTGAGGAAGTACTGAAGGCGATCCGGAGTCTGAGACCAGGAAAGGCAGTGGGCAGAGATGATCTCCCAAGCGAAATGCTGAGGGAGGGTGGCGTTTGTGCACAGACTGCCCTATATGACATCATAACAACAGTCTGGACCAATGGACAGGTTCCGCAGGATTGGAAGGATGCCCTGGTGGTCCCCCTCTTTAAGAAGGGGGACCGCACAGACTGTAACAACTACAGGGGCATCTCACTCCTCAGTGTGCCGGGAAAGGTCCTGGCAAGGATTATTCAACATTGCCTTGCCAGGCACGCTGAGGGAGAGGCTTGCGGAGCCCTAATACGGTTTCAGGAAAGGGCGGTCCTGCACAGATGCCATATTTTCTGTCCGTCTGCTACAGCAGAGGTGTAGGGAATTCCAGCAAGACCTACATCTCTGCTTTATTGACCTGGTCAAGGCCTATGATACCATCAGTAGGCCTGGGCTCTGGGTTGTTCTTCATGCTTTTGGAGTCCCTGACCCTCTGCTCACGATCATTAAGGAGCTTCATGATGGTGAGCGGGCCCAGGTAAAACTACGTGGCCGGGAGTCCGAGCCATTCCCTGTTAACCTTGGGGTGCGACAGGGATGTCCTCTGGGTCCCACATTATTTAACATCTATTTTGACCACGTATTTCGTGAAGCCTTCAATAGCTGTACCGGGGGAATCTCCATATGGTACAGATATAATGGGAGGCTGATCGACGCCCGGGTGCGGTCAAAGGATGGCTCCCTATTGCTCAACCACGTTATGTATGCTGATGATTTGGTAATAGCTGCTCATTCAGAGGAGTTGGAGACGCTGCTGCTGAGACTGGAGCGTGCCACTAAGAGGTGGGGCCTTACCATCAGCCCCACCAAAACTAAGCACCTGCCTGGGTATTTTGTACCATCGGACACTCCACCCCCACAACTCCCAATCGGTGATGGGGCAGTTGTGGAGAGAGTGGAGAGTTTCCCATACCTAGGCAGTGTGCTTATGACTGGCTCCAGTTTAACAGCAGAGGTCTCACTCCGAATCAGTCGAGCGGCAATATCTTTTCATCGGTTGTGTAACGCTGTGTGGAAGCTACCTGGTCTGTCGCTCCGCACTAAGCTTCAGGTCTTCTCGGCCACGGTCATTCCCTCCTCTACGATTGCGAAACGTGGACTCCCCTAATGGAACATCTTCGCCGGTTAGAAACATTTAGGCTGGCCTGCCTACGATCCATCCTGGGTTTAACCAGACTGGATTGTGTGAGGAGCTCAAAAATCCTTGAAAGATCTGGGCAAGGTCCCATCGGTGAGCTCCTCCGGCAGGCAAGGCTGCGATTGCTGGGTCATGTAGCCCGCATGCCCAGCCACCGCATGCCGAAATAGCTTTTGTTCGGCCGGATTGAGGGGGCTAAGCGGGCGCGGCACGGGCTAGAGAAGAGATGGAGTGATGTGGTACAGGAGGACGTGGAGCTGAGTGGACTTGCCGATGACTGGTACCAGCGGTGTCAAGATCGGCCTCTGTGGAGGAGGCTCGTGAAGGACGCTACTGGGCAGTTGGAGGCAGTCGCCCTCCAACAACAACGGAGGGCGGAGGAGCAACGCTCACAACAACGAGCGGAGCGCCGGGTGGCTAAAGCACAGCAAGTTGGCACAGTAGGGGGCACAGGTGGTGCATCAGCCAGTCATCTCAGTCAGTCGACCCGTGACACCTGCTGGGTCTGCCCCGTGACCTCCTGCCAGCGGGCGTTCGACACTTCACGTGGCCTCACGGTGCACATAGCCTGGCACAAGCGTCGTGGTGACGTCACCGCCACTTAGTGGCGAATGGCGGCGGCGGTTGTTGTTGTGTCTCTATGTGTGTGTCTGTGTGTGTCTGTGTGTGTATCTGTGTGTGTGTGTCTGTGTGTGTATCTGTGTGTGTATCTGTGTGTGTGTGTGTGTGTGTATCTGTGTGTGTGTCTGTGTGTGTATCTGTGTGTGTATCTGTGTGTGTGTGTGTATCTGTGTGTGTGTGTCTGTGTGTATCTGTGTGTGTGTGTGTAGCTACCTGAGTCACCTGTGTGTGTGTGTCTGTGTGTATGTGTGTGTCTGTGTGTGTGTCTGTGTGTGTGTGTGTATCTGTGTGTGTGTGTAGCTACCTGAGTCACCTGTGTGTCTCTGTGTGTGTGTGTGTGTCTGTGTGTGTGTCTGTGTGTGTATCTGTGTGTCTATATCTGTATGTGTGTGTGTGTCTGTGTGTGTGTCTGTGTGTGTGTCTGTGTGTGTGTCTGTGTGTGTCTGTGTGTGTGTATCTGTGTGTGTGTCTGTGTGTGTGTCTGTGTGTGTGTCTGTGTGTGTGTGTGTCCCAGCACGACACAACGCTGGCGGCTGTGTGTATCTATGTGTGTCTGTGTGTGTGTGTGTCTGTGTGTGTAGCTACCTGAGTCACCTGTGTGTATCTATGTGTATCTGTGTGTGTGTGTATCTGTGTGTGTGTGTCTGTGTGTGTGTGTGTATCTGTGTGTGTGTATCTATGTGTATCTGTGTGTGTGTCTGTGTGTGTGTGTGTCCCAGCACGACACAACGCTGGCGGCTGTGTGTATCTGTGTGTGTCTGTGTGTGTGTGTGTCTGTGTGTGTGTCTGTGTGTGTGTGTGTGTAGCTACCTGAGTCACCTGTGTGTGTGTCTGTGTGTCCCAGCACGACACAACGCTGGCGGCTGTGCTCTCCGCCTTCTCCGCCCTCTCCGGCGACGCCTCCTCACTGCCTCCCTACGCCGCCGCCCTCCTCATCGAACTCCTCGTCCATAGCAACGGGTACCTCGTCGCCGCGGCGACCGCGTGCCTCGTCGTCGTAGCAACCGCGGTGTTTGTCGTAGCAGCACCAGCAGCATCGTCATAGCAACCGCGGTCTTCATCGTCATGGCAACCGCGGTCTTCATCGTCGTAGCAACCGCGGTCTTCATTGTCGTAGCAACCGCGGTCTTCATCGTCGTAGTAACCGCGGTCTTCATCGTCATAGCAACCGCGGTCTTCATCGGCATGGCAACCGCGGTCTTCATCGTCATGGCAACCGCGGTTTTCATCGTCATAACAACCGCGGTCTTCATCGTCATAGCAACCGCGGTTTTCATCATCATAGTAACCGCGGTCTTCATCGTCATAGCAACCGTGGTCTTCATCGTCATAGCAACCGTGGTCTTCATCGTCATAGCAACCGTGGTCTTCATCGTCATAGCAACCGCGGTCTTCATCGTCATAGCAACCGCGGTCTTCATCGTCATAGCAACCGCGGTCTTCATCGTCATAGCAACCGCAGTCTTCATCGTCATAGCAACCGCGGTCTTCATCATCATGGCAACCGCGGTCTTCATCGTTATAGCAACCGCGGTCTTTGCCGTCATAGCAACTGTGGTCTTCATCGTCATAGCAACCGTAGTCTTTGTCGTCATAGCAACCACGGCCATCGTCATAGCAACCGTAGCGTCATCACCATCATCTCCATCACCACCACCACCACATTCACCGCACTTTCATCACATACAGACAAAGATCCCCCGTGTAGCCTCTAACATACTGTAGGGGCAAGTGCTGTTAGCGATCAGCACCCTGTGAAGGCTACCGGCACTGTGGCACACGAGGGGGTGGGTGGCCAGCACCACGCCCGGCCGCCTTTGTCTCCCCTGTGCTAGCGATGTTCACTACACACAGCACCAGGTACACAGTTGAGGCTGAGTCGACCTAGGGGAGGCCCAGGATCGGTTCAGATAATCGTCACTGGCGGTGTTGGCCGTGAGCGGGAATCGAACACGGGTCGCCAGGTTCATAGCGCAGCGTAGCGCTAACCACTACACCCACCGCTCGCTACACAGTGACACACACACACACAGACTCACACAAACAGACAGACTCACATACACTCACACACACAGACTCACTATCACACACACACAGACTCACACACACAGACACACACACACAGACTCACACACACAGACTCACACACACAGACTCACTATCACACACACACAGACTCACACACACACTCACACACACAGACTCATTATCACACACACACACACACAGACTCACACACACAGACTCACTATCACACACAGACTCACTATCACACACACAGACTCACACACACACAGACTCACACACACAGACTCACTCACTCACACACTCACACACACAGACTCACTATCACACACAGACTCACTATCACACACACACAGACTCACACACACAGACTCACACACACACAGACTCACACACACAGACTCACTATCACACACAGACTCACTATCACACACACACACAGACTCACACACACAGACTCACACACACAGACTCACTATCACACACAGACTCACTATCACACACACACACAGACTCACACACACAGACTCACACACACAGACTCACACACACAGACTCACTATCACACACAGACTCACTATCACACACACACAGACTCACACACACAGACTCACACACACAGACTCACACACACAGACTCACTATCACACACAGACTCACTATCACACACACACACAGACTCACACACACAGACTCACACACACAGACTCACTATCACACACACACAGACACACACACACGCACAGACACACACACACAGACTCACACACACACAGACACACTCACACACAGACACAGACTCACACACACACAGACACACACACACAGACTCACACAGACACAGACACACTCACACACAGACACAGACTCACACACACACAGACACACACACACAGACACACACACAGATACACACACACAGATACACACACACAGATACACACACACAGACTCACACACACACAGACACACTCACACACAGACACAGACTCACACACACACAGACACACACACAGATACACACACACAGATACACACACACAGATACACACACACACAGATACACACACAGATACACACAGACACAGACTCACACACACACAGATACACACACACAGACACACACACACACAGATACACACACACAGATACACACACACACAGATACACACACAGACACACACACACAGACAAACACACAGATTCACACACACATACACACACCCCACCTCCCCCCCCCCCTCTCCCCCCCCCCCCCAGCTCTCACTGCGTGGAGCTGTGGTACCGCACCTCTCCGCTGACCCCTCCACTGCCCCTGTCCCTGCCCGGCTGCCCCCACCGCTGCCCTCTGGACGACTTCTCTGGCCTGCTGCTGCCCATCATGCCGGGAGACTGGCGGGCCGAGTGCGGGGGCACGGCGGGCCGCCAGGGCACGGCGGGCACCCTCACTGCTGGTAACATCGTCAACATCAACATCATCATCACCATCACCATCGTCACCATCACCGTCATCACCATCACCCTCACTGCTGGTAACATCGTCAACATCAACATCAACATCACCATCAACATCACCATCGTCACCATCACCCTCACTGCTGGTAACGTCAACATCACCACCATCATCACCATCAACATCACCATCGTCAACATCACCCTCACTGCTGGTAACATCGTCAACATCACCACCATCACCATCATCACCATCACCACCATCGTCACCATCACCCTCACTGCTGGTAACATCAACATCAACATCATCAACATCACCATCGTCACCATCATCACCTTCATCACCATCACCATCATCAACATCAACATCATCAACATCATCAACATCACCATCACCATCATCATCGTCAACATCACCCTCACTGCTGGTAACGTCGTCAACATCGTCAACATCACCACCATCACCATCATCACCATCGTCAACATCACCCTCACTGCTGGTAACGTCGTCAACATCACCATCATCACCATCACCATCGTCAACATCACCATCATCACCATCAACATCACTGCTGGTAACGTCGTCAACATCACCATCATCACCATCAACATCGTCAACATCACCATCATCAACATCAACATCATCAACATCATCACCCTCACTGCTGGTAACATCGTCAACATCACCATCACCATCATCACCATCACCCTCACTGCTGGTAACGTCGTCAACATCATCACCATCACCTTCATCAACATCACCATCACCCTCACCACCATCGTCACCATCACCCTCACTGCTGGTAACGTCGTCAACATCATCACCATCACCCTCACTGCTGGTAACGTCGTCAACATCACCATCATCAACATCACCACCATCACCGTCAACATCACCATCATCACCACCATCACCATCACCACCATCACCCTCACTGCTGGTAACGTCGTCAACATCACCACCATCACCATCACCACCATCACCGTCAACATCATCACCATCACCATCATCACCATCATCATCACCATCACCCTCACTGCTGGTAACGTCGTCAACATCACCATCATCATCACCATCACCCTCACTGCTGGTAACGTCGTCAACATCACCATCATCACCTTCATCAACATCACCATCACCACCATCATCACCATCATCACCCTCACTGCTGGTAACATCGTCACCATCACCACCATCATCACCATCACCACCATCACCACCATCACCATCATCACCATCACCATCATCACCATCACCCTCACCAACGGTAACGTCAACATCACCATCATCACCATCACCCTCACCAACGGTAACATCGTCAACATCACCATCACCATCATCACCATCGTCAACATCACCATCACCGTCATCACCATCACCATCATCACCATCACCCTCACCAACGGTAACGTCACCATCACCGTCACCACCATCACCATCGTCACCATCACCCTCACCGCCGGTAACGTCGTCACCGCCGGTAACATCGTCACCATCACCACCATCATCACCATCACCGCCGGTAACATCGTCACCATCACCATCACCCTCACCATCATCACCATCACCGCCGGTAACGTCACCGCCGGTAACATCGTCACCATCGTCAACATTACCATCATCACCATCACCGTCATCAACATCACCATCGTCACCATCACCCTCACCGCCGGTAACGTCACCATCGTCAACATCGTCGTCACCGTCACCATCACCACCATCACCTTCATCAACATCACCATCGTCAACATCACCCTCACCGCCGGTAACGTCACCATCACCGTCATCAACATCACCGCCGGTAACGTCACCGCTGGTAACATCACCACCACCATCATCACCCTCACCATCGTCAACATCACCATCACCGTCATCACCGTCACCACCATCATCAACATCACCCTCACCGCCGGTAACGTCACCGCCAACATCACCATCAGCATGCTGTGTGTATGCTGTGTGTATGCTGTGTGTGTGTGTGTACTATGCTGTGTGTATGCTGTGTGTGTATGTACTATGCTGTGTGTATGTGTACTATGCTGTGTGTATGCTGTGTGTATGCTGTGTGTGTGTACTATGCTGTGTGTATGCTGTGTGTATGCTGTGTGTGTATGTTGTATGCTGTGTGTGTATGCTGTGTGTATGCTGTGTGTATGCTGTGTGTGTGTACTATGCTGTGTGTATGCTGTGTGTATGCTGTGTGTGTATGCTGTGTGTATGCTGTGTGTGTATGTTGTATGCTGTGTGTGTATGCTGTGTGTATGCTGTGTGTGTATGAACTATGCTGTGTGTATGCTGTGTGTATGTACTATGCTGTGTGTATGCTGTGTGTGCATGTACTATGCTGTGTGTATGCTGTGTGTGTATGTACTATGCTGTGTGTATGCTGTGTGTGTGTACTATGCTGTGTGTATGCTGTGTGTATGTACTATGCTGTGTGTATGCTGTGTGTGTGTGTACTATGCTGTGTGTATGCTGTGTGTGTATGTACTATGCTGTGTGTATGTGTACTATGCTGTGTGTATGCTGTGTGTGTGTACTATGCTGTGTGTATGCTGTGTGTGTATGTACTATGCTGTGTGTATGTGTACTATGCTGTGTGTATGCTGTGTGTATGCTGTGTGTATGCTGTGTGTGTATGCTGTGTGTATGCTGTGTGTGTATGTTGTATGCTGTGTGTGTATGCTGTGTGTATGCTGTGTGTGTATGTACTATGCTGTGTGTATGCTGTGTGTGTATGTACTATGCTGTGTGTATGCTGTGTGTATGCTGTGTGTATGCTGTGTGTGTGTGTACTATGCTGTGTGTATGCTGTTTGTGTGTACTATGCTGTGTGTGTATGTACTATGCTGTGTGTATGCTGTGTGTGCATGTACTATGCTGTGTGTATGCTGTGTGTATGCTGTGTGTATGTACTATGCTGTGTGTATGCTGTGTGTGTATGCTGTGTGTGTGTATGCTGTGTGTATGCTGTGTGTATGCTGTGTGTGTATGCTGTGTGTATGTACTATGCTGTGTGTATGCTGTGTGTATGCTGTGTGTATGTACTATGCTGTGTGCATGCTGTGTGCATGCTGTGTGCATGCTGTGTGTGTATGCTGTGTGCATGCTGTGTGTGTATGCTGTGTGTGTATGCTGTGTGTGTATGTACTATGCTGTGTGTATGCTGTGTGTATGCTGTGTGTATGTACTATGCTGTGTGTATGCTGTTTGTGTATGCTGTGTGTATACTGTGTGTATGCTGTGTGTGTGTGTATACTGTGTGTATGCTGTGTGTGTATGCTGTGTGTATGCTGTGTGTGTATGCTGTGTGTATGCTGTGTGTATGCTGTGTGTATGCTGTGTGTATGCTGTGTGTATGCTGTGTGTGTATGCTGTGTGTATGTTGTATGTACTATGCTGTGTGTATGCTGTGTGTATGCTGTGTGTGTATGTACTATGCTGTGTGTGTATGTACTATGTTGTGTATATGCTGTGTGTATGCTGTGTGTGTATGTACTATGCTGTGTGTATGATGTGTGTATGCTGTATGTGTGTATGCTGTGTTTGTATGTACTATGCTGTGTGTATGTTGTGTGTATGCTGTGTGTATGCTGTGTGTATGCTGTGTGTGTATGCTGTGTGTATGCTGTGTGTATGTACTATGTTGTGTGTATGCTGTGTGTATGCTGTGTGTGTATGCTGTGTGTGTATACTGTGTGTATGATGTGTGTGTATGTACTATGCTGTGTGTGTATGTACTATGCTGTGTGTATGCTGTGTGTATGCTGTGTGTGTATGTACTATGCTGTGTGTATGCTGTGTGTATGCTGTGTGTATATGCTGTGTGTGTATGCTGTGTGTATGATGTGTGTGTATGTACTATGCTGTGTGTATGCTGTGTGTGTATGCTGTGTGTATGATGTGTGTGTATGTACTATGTTGTGTGTATGCTGTGTGTATGCTGTGTGTGTATGCTGTGTGTATGCTGTGTGTGTATGTTGTATGCTGTGTGTATGCTGTGTGTGTATGCTGTGTGTATGCTGTGTGTGTATGTACTATGCTGTGTGTATGCTGTGTGTGTGTATGCTGTGTGTATGCTGTGTGTATGTACTATGCTGTGTGTATGCTGTGTGTATGCTGTGTGTGTATGCTGTGTGTGTATGTACTATGCTGTGTGTATGCTGTTTGTGTGTACTATGCTGTGTGTGTATGTACTATGCTGTGTGTATGCTGTGTGTGCATGTACTATGCTGTGTGTATGCTGTGTGTATGCTGTGTGTATGTACTATGCTGTGTGTATGCTGTGTGTATGCTGTGTGTGTGTATGCTGTGTGTATGCTGTGTGTGTATGCTGTGTGTATGTACTATGCTGTGTGTATGCTGTGTGTGTATGTACTATGCTGTGTGTATGCTGTGTGTGTATGCTGTGTGTATGCTGTGTGTATGTACTATGCTGTGTGCATGCTGTGTGCATGCTGTGTGCATGCTGTGTGTATGCTGTGTGTGTATGTACTATGCTGTGTGTATGCTGTGTGTATGTACTATGCTGTGTGTATGCTGTTTGTGTATGCTGTGTGTATACTGTGTGTATGCTGTGTGTGTGTATACTGTGTGTATGCTGTGTGTGTATGCTGTGTGTATGCTGTGTGTATGCTGTGTGTATGCTGTGTGTATGCTGTGTGTATGCTGTGTGTGTATGCTGTGTGTATGTTGTATGTACTATGCTGTGTGTATGCTGTGTGTATGCTGTGTGTGTGTATGTACTATGCTGTGTGTGTGTATGTACTATGCTGTGTGTGTATGTACTATGTTGTGTATATGCTGTGTGTATGCTGTGTTTGTATGTACTATGCTGTGTGTATGATGTGTGTATGCTGTGTGTGTGTATGCTGTGTTTGTATGTACTATGCTGTGTGTATGTTGTGTGTATGCTGTGTGTATGCTGTGTGTGTATGCTGTGTGTATGCTGTGTGTATGTACTATGTTGTGTGTATGCTGTGTGTGTATGCTGTGTGTGTATACTGTGTGTATGATGTGTGTGTGTATGTACTATGCTGTGTGTGTATGTACTATGCTGTGTGTATGCTGTGTGTATGCTGTGTGTATGCTGTGTGTGTATGTACTATGCTGTGTGTATGCTGTGTGTATGCTGTGTGTGTATGCTGTGTGTGTATGCTGTGTGTATGATGTGTGTGTATGTACTATGCTGTGTGTATGCTGTGTGTATGATGTGTGTGTATGTACTATGTTGTGTGTATGCTGTGTGTGTATGCTGTGTGTATGCTGTGTGTATGCTGTGTGTGTATGCTGTGTGTGTATGCTGTGTGTATGATGTGTGTGTATGTACTATGTTGTGTGTATGCTGTTAGCAGGGCTGCTGTTGACCCTGCTGGGCACTGTGTCGCTGCTGCTGGTGCTGGTGGTGCTTTGGAGGCAGCGACGGAGCAACAGAGACGCAGTCTACAGCCAGCTCATGTTGGGGGACTCCTGATCACTCACTCACACTCACTGTTACACTCACTGTTACACTCACACACTCACACACTCACTGTTACACTCACTGTTACACTCACTCACACACTCACTCACCCACTCACTCACTCACACACTCACTCACTGTTACACTCACACACTCACACACTCACTCACCCACTCACTCACTCACACACTTACACAGTCTACAGCCAGCTCATGTTGGGGGACTCCTGATCACTCACTCACACTCACTGTTACACTCACTGTTACACACACTCACTCACTGTTACACCCACTCACTCACTCGCTCACCCACTCACTCACACACTCACTCACTGTTACACTCACACACTCACTGTTACACTCACTGTTACACTCACTCACTCACCCACTCACTCACCCACTCACTCACTCACACACTCACTCGCTCACCCACTCGCTCACCCACTCACTTACCCACTCGCTCACCCACTTACCCATCCACTCGCTCGCTCACCCACTCGCTCACCCACTCACTCACCCATTCACCCACCCATTCACTCACCCTCCCACCCACACACCCACCCGCTCACTCACCCACCCACCCACCCACTCGCTCGCTCACCCACTCACCCATCCACTCGCTCACCCACCCCACAGTGGTGATGGTGGTGTAGTTTCAGGTTGACTACTCTTCATAAGCAAGCGGCCTCTGATGGGCTTGCTTCGATATTTTCTAGTTAAACGCAGCAGCAGCAGCAAAATCTCACCACCAAAATCCGGTGCCGGGCTAAGCTAGTGCGGAGCCCTAGATACATAAATAAAAACACGTTGATTTTAAAACGCACGCAATTTTTTTAACTCACACAGTCAAGTAAATTGTGATTATTTTTTTTCATTTGCTATACAGCCCAGATAATACGACACATCGCTACCCTTAAACACCCCCAGCGATTCATAGACGTTGAAGGCGCTGTAGTACTATAGTCACAGAGCTAGTGCAGACTCACTGAACCGGAATTGATGGCTTTACAGCGTCTAGCAACACCCAGCGATTCATAGAATTTGAAGGCGGTGTAGTACTATAGTCACAGAGCTAGTGCAGAATCACTGAACCAGAATTGATGGCTTTAAAGCGTCTAGCAACACCCAGCGATTGATAGAAGTTGAAGGTTGGTGTAGTACTATAGTCACAGAGCTAGTGCAGAATCACTGAAACCGGAATTGATGGCTTTAAAAACGTCTAGCAACACCCAGCGGTTCATAGAAGTTGAAGGCGGTGTAGTACTATAGTCACTGAGCTAGTGCAGAATCACTGAAACCGGAATTGATGGCTTTAAAGCGTCTAGCAACACCCAGCCATTCATAGAAGTTGAAGGTTGGTGTAGTACTATAGTCACAGAGCTAGTGCAGACTCACTGAAACCAGAATTGATGGCTTTAAAGCGTCTAGCAACACCCAGCGATTCATAGAAGTTGAAGGCAGTGTAGTACTATAGTCACTGAGCTAGTGCAGAATCACTGAAACCGGAATTGATGGCTTTAAAGCGTCTAGCAACACCCAGCCATTCATAGAAGTTGAAGGTTGGTGTAGTACTATAGTCACAGAGCTAGTGCAGACTCACTGAAACCGGAATTGATGGCTTTAAAGCATCTAGCAACACCCAGCGATTCATAGAAGTTGAAGGCGGTGTAGTACTATAGTCACAGAGCTAGTGCAGACTCACTGAAACCAGAATTGATGGCTTTAAAGCGTCTAGCAACACCCAGCGGTTCATAGAAGTTGAAGGTTGGTGTAGTACTATAGTCACTGAGCTAGTGCAGACTCACTGAACCAGAATTGATGGCTTTAAAAACGTTTAGCAACACCCAGCGCTTTATAGAAGTTGAAGGCGGTGTAGTACTATAGTCACAGAGCTAGTGCAGACTCACTGAAACCAGAATTGATGGCTTTAAAGCGTCTAGCAACACCCAGCGATTCATAGAAGTTGAAGGCGGTGTAGTACTATAGTCACTGAGCTAGTGCAGACTCACTGAACCGGAATTGATGGCTTTAAAACGTCTAGCAACACCCACTGATTCATAGAAGTTGAAGGCGGTGTAGTACTATAGTCACAGAGCTAGTGCAGTCTCGCTGAAACCAGAATTGATGGCTTTAAAAACGTCTAGCAACACCCAGCGATTCATAGAAGTTGAAGGCGGTGTAGTACTATAGTCACAGAGCTAGTGCAGACTCACTGAAACCAGAATTGATGGCTTTAAAAACGTCTAGCAACACCCAGCGGTTCATAGAAGTTGAAGGCGGTGTAGTACTATAGTCACAGAGCTAGTGCAGACTCACTGAAACCAGAATTGATGGCTTTAAAGCGTCTAGCAACACCCAGCGGTTCATAGAAGTTGAAGGCGCTGTAGTACTATAGTCACAGAGCTAGTGCAGACTCACTGAAACCAGAATTGATGGCTACTTTTGCCCCGGGGAAATTGCATCATGGCTGATATCATTCGCAGGTATCGTTTATGTTGTTGTTGTTGTTGTTTGGGGCAGTGGGGCGGTGTGTGTGTGTGTGTTAGATCGCCTAAACAAACACAAATACGTACATAGACAAGCACGTTGTTGTGTCGTCAAAGCCGCCCACCACCACCACCCAGCCTGTCCGGTCGGGGGGTGGGGTTGAGTGTCACGTCAACAGAACGTGGACAATTGGCTACTAGTGTAGTGTATAGTGTAGTGTATAGTAGTGTAGTGTAGTTTATAGTATAGTAGTGTATAGTATAGTAGTGTATAGTATAGTAGTGTAGTGTATAGTAGTGTATAGTGTAGTGTATAGTAGTGTAGTGTATAGTAGTGTAGTGTATAGTAGTGTAGTGTATAGTGTAGTGTATAGTGTAATAGTGTAGTGTATAGTGTAGTAGTGTAGTGTATAGTGTAGTTTATAGTAGTGTAGTGTATAGTGTAGCGTATTGTCGTGTTGTGTAGTTTATAGTGTAGTGTATTGTAGTGTATAGTGGTGTGTAGTGTATAGTGTCATGTATACTGTAGTGTATAGTGTAGTGTATAGAGTAGTGTATAGTTTTGTGTAGTGTATAGTGTAGTGTAGTAGTCTATAGTGTAGTAGTGTATAGTGTAGTGTAGTAGTGTATAGTAGTGTAGTAGTGTATAGTGTAGTATATAGTGTAGTGTATAATGTAGTGTATAGTGTAGTGTATAGTAGTGTAGTGTATAGTTGTGTGTAGTGTAGTGTATAGAGTAGTTCGTGAAGCCTTTGATGGCTGTACCAGAGGAATTTCCATCTGGTACAGATACAATGGGAGGCTGATCGATGCCTGGGTGCGGTCAAGGGATGGCTCCCTATTGCTCAACCACGTTATGTATGCTGATGATTTGGTAATAGCTGCTCATTCAGAGGAGGAGTTGGAGACGCTGCTGCTGAGACTGGAGCGTGCCACTAAGAGGTGGGGCCTTACCATCAGCCCCACCAAAACTAAGCACCTGCCTGGGTATTTTGTACCATCGGACACTCCACCCCCACAACTCCCAATCGGTGATGGGGCAGTTGTGGAGAGAGTGGAGAGTTTCCCATACCTGGGCAGTGTGCTTATGACCGGCTACGATTTGACAGCAGAGGTCTCACTCAGAATCAGTCGAGCGGCAATATCTTTTCATCGGTTGCGTAACGCTGTGTGGAAGCTACCTGGTCTGTCGCTCCGCACTAAGCTTCAGGTCTTCTCGGCCACGGTCATTCCCTCCCTTCTCTATGCTTGAGAAACGTGGACCCCCCTAATTGAACATCTTCGCCGGTTAGAAACATTTAGGCTGGCCTGCCTACGATCCATCCTGGGTTTAACCAGGCTGGATTGTGTGAGGAGCTCACAAATCCTTGAAAGATCTGCACAAAGTCCCATCGGTGAGCTCCTCCGGCAGGCAAGGCTGCGATGGCTGGGTCACGTAGCCCGCATGCCCAGCCACCGCATGCCGAAACAGCTTTTGTTCGGCCGGATGGAGAGGGCTAAACGGGCGCGGCACGGGCTAGAGAAGAGATGGAGTGATGTGGTACAGGAGGACGTGGAGCTGAGTGGACTTGCCGATGACTGGTACCAGCGGTGTCAAGATCGGCCTCTGTGGAGGAGGCTCGTGAAGGACGCTACTGGGCAGTTGGAGGCAGTCGCTCTCCAACAACAACGGAAGGCGGAGGAGCGACGCTCACAACAACGAGCGGAGCGCCGGGTGGCTAAAGCACAGCAGGTTGGCACAGTAGGGGGCACAGGTGGTGCATCAGCCAGTCATCTCAGTCAGTCGACCCGTGGCACCTGGGTCTGTCCCGTGACCTGTCAGCGGGCGTTCGACACTTCACGTGGCCTCAAGGTGCACATGGCCTGGCACAAGCGTCGTGGTGACGTCACCGCCACTTAGTGGCGAATGGCCGTAGTGTATAGTGTAGTAGTGTAGTGTATAGTGTAGTAGTGTAGTTGTGTATAGTAGTGTGTAGTGTATTGAGTAGTGTAGTAGTGTATAGAGTAGTGTATGTAGTAGTGTAGCAGTGTAGTAGTGTATAGTGCAGTAGTGTAATGTAGTAGTGTAAAGTGTAGTGTATAGAGTAGTGTAGTAGTGTATAGTGTAGTGTGGCAGTGTATATTGTAGTTTAGTAGTGTATAGAGTAGTGTAGTGTATAGTAGTGTATAGAGTAGTGTATGGTGTAGTAGTGTATAGTAGTGTACATAGTAGTGTATGGTGTAGTGTATAGTGTAGTGTATAGTATAGTGTATAGTGTAGTGTATATAGTAGTGTATGGTGTAGTGTATAGTGTAGTAGTGTATAGTTTAGTGTAGTAGCACAGCAGCAAACACCCGGGTGTTGTGTGCTGGAGTGTACACCCACGGCAAGTTCACAACCCGAGTAAAGTTTCTGTTAAAGCCACGAGCCCCGCTGGGCTGCGCTGGGTGGTGGAGGGCTTTCAAACGACAGAACATTTTAATATTTTGATTTAAAGCTTTCGTGACTGCAGTAATTCATATTCTTAGCTCTTTCGGTAAAGTCACGTTGAAGTGAAACAATAAAATTATAAAAAATATAAAACAATAAAAATTCTCACGACGTTTCGACCATAACAAAAACGGTCGTCATCAGGTGTGTCGGTTTGAATAAATTATTTTATTGTTTCCCTTCAACGTGACTTTACCGAAAGAGCTAAGATTATAACATTTTAATATTTAGTTTTACGCGATCTCAAAACAAAAACACCGCCTCTGATGGATGTAATTGTTTTTCTTTGTTATTTTTGTTCGAGAAAGCTTTTCACGGTTATTGCCAAAACAATGTATGGGAGAGGTGGTCTCTGGTCTAGTTGCTTCGAATCTCGTTTTAAGTAGGCTTAAAATATCCATCCAGCAGTGGATAGACCCTGGTGGTGGTGGTGATGGTGGTGGTGATGATGGTGGTGGTGTTGATGGTGGTGATGATGATGGTGTTGTTGATGGTGTTGATGGTGTTGGTGTTGATGATGGTGTTGTTGATGGTGTTGATGTTGGTGTTGATGATGGTGTTGTTGATGATGGTGTTGATGGTGATGATGGTGTTGATGGTGGTGTTGATGGTGATGATGGTGTTGATGATGGTGTTGTTGATGGTGTTGCTGGTGTTGTTGATGGTGATGATGATGGTGTTGATGATGATGCAGGTGATGGTGTTGATGTTGATGATGGTGTTGATGGTGATGATGGTGATGATGTTGTTGATGATGATGGTGATGATGTTGTTAATGCTGATGATGTTGGTGTTGTTGGTGATGGTGGTGATGGTGATGATGTTGGTGTTGGTGATGATGATGATGATGCAGGTGATGTTGTTGCTCTTTCTCGTCTCCCAGTATCGCTGATTTGATGTCGTTGATCAAAGTCGTCGTGCCTGTGATTGACGTCACTGATTGACGTGACTAAGTGACATGACACTAATTGACGTTACTGACGTGACGTGCAGACACTAATTGACGTGACGACACTGATTGACATGACGAAACTAATTGACATGACACTAATTGATACTGAATAAATCGCACTTTGTCAAAATCTTGTCTGCTCGCAATGACGTCACACACATCCAGGAAGGCTTGAGCAACAAATGACGTCCCCACTGGCTGGAAGGATGCCAACATCCTGGTGTCTATACAGATGACGTCACCCTTGGTGTTTACAACGGAAGCGTCCGCAATAGTTCCGGGATGATGTCATCCAAGTGTTTATTTATGACGTAATTTTCTCGGGGGAGATCGGTGATGTCATTTGTCTTCCCCTCAAGTCGACGTCACTTCCTCACCTCACTTATGACCTCATTTGTACGCGCCGACGTCACTAATGCAGAAAACGTCACCGATGTCAATCCTCCGATGACGTCACAACTCCCTAACTTCGCCCTTGACGTCACTTTTCCCAATTTATCTACCGCCAACGTCAAACCTTTCTCGCTGACGTCACCCCTCGCACACCGCCAACGTCACTCCCTCACCCGGTGATGTCACGGCGCTCCCTCGCGGTGACGTCACTCGTCCATCCTCACTCGCTGTGACGTCACTCTATCCCCCTCACCCGGTAACGTGCCTCCTCCACCAGGGACGTCACTTCTCCACCCCCTCCGCCAGTGACGTCACTTGTTCACGCCTCGCCCGATGACGTCACGCGCCTGTGGCCTTAAACAAGATGGAGGTCGCGCGTTAGGCCGGTAGGAGACTTCAAATCAAACATCGCCATCACAACAACAACAACCACAACCACAACAACAATAACAACACTAACAACAACAATAACAACAACAATTGTAGGAATCTTCGTGATCGTTGACACGCTTCTGTCGTCACCAACTCATCCCAGCGACGAGAATCGATTCACGCCGCTCGCTTCACGTCAGCTCTCCTCACACCCTGGTGAGTGCTGATTGTTACTGATTGTTGCTGATTGTTACTGATTGTTACTGGCCTCACACCCTGGTGAGTGCTGATTGTTACTGATTGTTACTGGCCTCACGTCGTGGTGAGTGCTGATTGTTACTGGCCTCACACCCTGGTGAGTGCTGATTGTTACTGATTGTTACTGGCCTCACGTCGTGGTGAGTGCTGATTGTTACTGGCCTCACACCCTGGTGAGTGCTGATTGTTACTGATTGTTACTGATTATTACTGATTGTTGCTGATTGTTACTGGCCTCACGTCGTGGTGAGTGCTGATTGTTACTGGCCTCACACCCTGGTGAGTGCTGATTGTTACTGATTGTTACTGATTGTTGCTGATTGTTACTGGCCTCACGTCGTGGTGAGTGCTGATTGTTACTGATTGTTCCTGATTGTTACTGGCCTCACGTCGTGGTGAGTGCTGATTGTTACTGATTGTTACTGGCCTCACGTCGTGGTGAGTGCTGATTGTTACTGATTGTTACTGGCCTCACGTGATGGTGAGTGCTGATTGTTACTGGCCTCACGTCGTGGTGAGTGCTGATTGTTACTGATTGTTACTGGCCTCACACCCTGGTGAGTGCTGATTGTTACTGATTGTTACTGGCCTCACGTCGTGGTGAGTGCTGATTGTTACTGGCCTCACACCCTGGTGAGTGCTGATTGTTACTGATTGTTACTGATTATTACTGATTGTTGCTGATTGTTACTGGCCTCACGTCGTGGTGAGTGCTGATTGTTACTGGCCTCACACCCTGGTGAGTGCTGATTGTTACTGATTGTTACTGATTGTTGCTGATTGTTACTGGCCTCACGTCGTGGTGAGTGCTGATTGTTACTGATTGTTCCTGATTGTTACTGGCCTCACGTCGTGGTGAGTGCTGATTGTTACTGATTGTTACTGGCCTCACGTCGTGGTGAGTGCTGATTGTTACTGATTGTTACTGGCCTCACGTGATGGTGAGTGCTGATTGTTACTGGCCTCACGTCGTGGTGAGTGCTGATTGTTACTGATTGTTACTGGCCTCACACCCTGGTGAGTGCTGATTGTTACTGATTGTTACTGGCCTCACGTCGTGGTGAGTGCTGATTGTTACTGATTGTTACTGGCCTCACACAGTGGTGAGTGCTGATTGTTACTGATTGTTACTGGCCTCACGTCGTGGTGAGTGCTGATTGTTACTGATTGTTACTGGCCTCACGTGATGGTGAGTGCTGATTGTTACTGATTGTTACTGGCCTCACGTGATGGTGAGTGCTGATTGTTTCTGATTGTTACTGGCCTCACGTGATGGTGAGTGCTGATTGTTACTGATTGTTACTGGCCTCACGTCGTGGTGAGTGCTGATTGTTACTGATTGTTACTGGCCTCACGTCGTGGTGAGTGCTGATTGTTACTGATTGTTACTGGCCTCACATGGTGGTGAGTGCTGATTGTTACTGGCCTCACGCTGCAGTGAGTGCTGATTGCTACTGATTGTTACTGATTGTTACTGGCCTCACACCCTGGTGAGTGCTGATTGTTACTGATTGTTGCTGATTGTTACTGGCCTCACGTCGTGGTGAGTGCTGATTGTTACTGATTGTTACTGGCCCCACGTTGTGGTGAGTGCTGATTGTTACTGGCCTCACACCGTGGTGAGTGCTGATTGAGGTGGTGAGTGTGTGGTGAGTAGTAGGTGATGGTGAGTGTGTGGTGAGTAGTAGGTGATGGTGAGTGACGTGGTGAGTGTGTGGTGAGTAGTAGGTGATGGTGAGTAACGTGGTGAGTGTGTGGTGAGTAGTAGGTGATGGTGAGTGTGTGGTGAGTAGTAGGTGATGGTGAGTGACGTGGTGAGTGTGTGGTGAGTAGTAGGTGATGGTGAGTGACGTGGTGAGTGTGTGGTGAGTAGTAGGTGATGGTGAGTGTGTGGTGAGTAGTAGGTGATGGTGAGTGACGTGGTGAGTGTGTGGTGAGTAGTAGGTGATGGTGAGTGACGTGGTGAGTGTGTGGTGAGTAGTAGGTGATGGTGAGTGACGTGGTGAGTGTGTTGTGAGTATTAGGTGATGGTGAGTAACGTGGTGAGTGTGTGGTGAGTAGTAGGTGATGGTGAGTGTGTGGTGAGTAGTAGGTGATGGTGAGTGACGTGGTGAGTGTGTGGTGAGTAGTAGGTGATGGTGAGTAACGTGGTGAGTGTGTGGTGAGTAGTAGGTGATGGTGAGTGTGTGGTGAGTAGTAGGTGATGGTGAGTGACGTGGTGAGTGTGTGGTGAGTAGTAGGTGATGGTGAGTGACGTGGTGAGTAGTAGGTGATGGTGAGTGACGTGGTGAGTGTGTGGTGAGTAGTAGGTGATGGTGAGTGACGTGGTGAGTGTGTGGTAGCTGATGGTGAGTGATATGGTGAGTGTGTGGTGAGTAGTAGGTTATGGTGAGTGACGTGGTGAGTGTGTGGTGAGTAGTAGGTGATGGTGAGTGACGTGGTGAGTGTGTGGTGAGTAGTAGGTGATGGTGAGTGACGTGGTGAGTGTGTGGTGAGTAGTAGGTGATGGTGAGTGACGTGGTGAGTGTGTGGTGAGTAGTAGGTGATGGTGAGTGACGTGGTGAGTGTGTGGTGAGTAGTTGGTGATGGTGAGTGACGTGGTGAGTGTGTGGTGAGTAGTAGGTGATGGTGAGTGTGTGGTGAGTAGTAGGTGATGGTGAGTGACGTGGTGAGTGTGTGGTGAGTAGTAGGTGATGGTGAGTGTGTGGTGAGTAGTAGGTGATGGTGAGTGACGTGGTGAGTGTGTGGTGAGTAGTAGGTGATGGTGAGTGTGTGGTGAGTGTGTGGTGAGTCGTAGGTGATGGTGAGTGTGTGGTGAGTAGTAGGTGATGGTGAGTGTGTGGTGAGTGTGTGGTGAGTCGTAGGTGATGGTGAGTAACGTGGTGAGTGTGTGGTGAGTAGTAGGTGATGGTGAGTGATGTGGTGAGTGTGTGGTGAGTCGTAGGTGATGGTGAGTGTCTGGTGAGTAGTAGGTGATGGTGAGTGTGTGGTGAGTAGTAGGTGATGGTGAGTGTGTGGTGAGTAGTAGGTGATGGTGAGTAACGTGGTGAGTGTGTGGTGAGTAGTAGTTGATGGTGAGTGTGTGGTGAGTAGTAGGTGATGGTGAGTGACGTGGTGAGTGTGTGGTGAGTAGTAGGTGATGGTGAGTGACGTGGTGAGTGTGTGGTGAGTAGTAGGTGATGGTGAGTGACGTGGTGATGAGGTGGTGAGGAGGTGGTGAGTAGTAGGTGATGGTGAGTGACGTGGTGAGTGTGTGGTGAGTAGTAGGTGATGGTGAGTAACGTGGTGAGTGTGTGGTGAGTAGTAGGTGATGGTGAGTGTGTGGTGAGTAGTAGGTGATGGTGAGTGACGTGGTGAGTGTGTGGTGAGTAGTAGGTGATGGGGAGTGTGTGGTGAGTAGTAGGTGATGGTGAGTGACGTGGTGAGTAGTAGGTGATGGTGAGTGACGTGGTGAGTGTGTGGTGAGTAGTAGGTGATGGTGAGTGTGTGGTGAGTAGTATGTGATGGTAAGTAACGTGGTGAGTGTGTGGTGAGTAGTAGGTGATGGTGAGTGTGTGGTGAGTAGTAGGTGATGGGGAGTGTGTGGTGAGTAGTAGGTGATGGTGAGTGTGTGGTGAGTAGTATGTGATGGTGAGTGACGTGGTGAGTGTGTGGTGAGTAGTTGGTGATGGTGAGTGACGTGGTGAGTAGTAGGTGATGGTGTGTAACGTGGTGTGTGTGGTGAGTAGTAGGTGATGGTGAGTGACGTGGTGAGTGTGTGGTGAGTAGTAGGTCGTGGTGAGTGACGTGGTGAGTGTGTGGTGAGTAGTAGGTGATGGTGAGTGACGTGGTGAGTGTGGTGAGTAGTAGGTGATGGTGAGTGACGTGGTGAGTAGTAGGTGATGGTGAGTGTGTGGTGAGTAGTAGGTGATGGTGAGTGTGTGGTGAGTAGTAGGTGATGGTGTGTAACGTGGTGTGTGTGGTGAGTAGTAGGTGATGGTGAGTAATGTGGTGAGTGTGTGGTGTGTAGTAGGTGATGGTGAGTGACGTGGTGAGTGTGTGGTGAGTGTGTGGTGAGTAGTAGGTGATGGTGAGTGACGTGGTGAGTGTGTGGTGAGTAGTATGTGATGGTGAGTGTGTGGTGAGTAGTAGGTGATGGTGAGTGTGTGGTGAGTAGTAGGTGATGGTGAGTGCCGTGGTGAGTGTGTGGTGAGTAGTATGTGATGGTGAGTAACGTGGTGTGTGTGGTGAGTAGTAGGTGATGGTGAGTGACGTGGTGAGTGTGTGGTGAGTAGTAGGTGATGGTGAGTGTGTGGTGAGTAGTAGGTGATGGTGAGTAACGTGGTGAGTGTGTGGTGAGTAGTATGTGATGGTGTGTAACGTGGTGTGTGTGGTGAGTAGTATGTGATGGTGAGTGTGTGGTGAGTAGTAGGTGATGGTGTGTAACGTGGTGAGTGTGTGGTGAGTAGTAGGTGATGGTGAGTGTGTGGTGAGTAGTAGGTGATGGTGTGTAACGTGGTGTGTGTGGTGAGTAGTAGGTGATGGTGAGTGTGTGGTGAGTAGTAGGTGATGGTGAGTAACGTGGTGAGTAGTAGGTGATGGTGTGTAACGTGGTGTGTGTGGTGAGTAGTATGTGATGGTGTGTAACGTGGTGAGTGTGTGGTGAGTAGTAGGTGATGGTGAGTGTGTGGTGAGTAGTAGGTGATGGTGAGTGACGTGGTGAGTGTGTGGTGAGTAGTAGGTGATGGTGAGTGTGTGGTGAGTAGTAGGTGATGGGGAGTGTGTGGTGAGTAGTTGGTGATGGTGAGTGTGTGGTGAGTGTGTGGTGAGTGTGTGGTGAGTAGTAGGTGATGGGGAGTGTGTGGTGAGTAGTAGGTGATGGTGAGTGACGTGGTGAGTGTGTGGTGAGTAGTATGTGATGGTGAGTGTGTGGTGTGTAGTAGGTGATGGTGAGTGACGTGGTGAGTGTGTGGTGAGTGTGTGGTGAGTAGTAGGTGATGGTGAGTGACGTGGTGAGTGTGTGGTGAGTAGTAGGTGATGGTGTGTAACGTGGTGTGTGTAGTGAGTAGTAGGTGATGGTGAGTGTGTGGTGAGTAGTAGGTGATGGTGAGTGACATGGTGAGTAGTAGGTGATGGTGAGTGTGTGGTGAGTAGTAGGTGATGGTGAGTAACGTAGTGTGTGTGGTGAGTAGTAGGTGATGGTGAGTGTGTGGTGAGTAGTAGGTGATGGTGAGTGTGTGGTGAGTAGTAGGTGATGGTGAGTGTGTGGTGAGTAGTAGGTGATGGTGAGTGTGTGGTGAGTAGTAGGTGATGGTGAGTAACGTGGTGAGTGTGTGGTGAGTAGTAGGTGATGGTGAGTGTGTGGTGAGTAGTAGGTGATGGTGAGTGTGTGGTGAGTAGTATGTGATGGTGAGTGTGTGGTGAGTAGTAGGTGATGGGGAGTGTGTGGTGAGTAGTAGGTGATGGTGAGTGACGTGGTGAGTGTGGTGAGTAGTAGGTGATGGTGAGTGTGTGGTGAGTAGTATGTGATGGTGAGTGTGTGGTGAGTAGTATGTGATGGTGTGTAACGTGGTGTGTGTGGTGAGTAGTAGGTGATGGTGAGTGTGTGGTGAGTAGGTGATGGTGAGTGTGTGGTGAGTAGTAGGTGATGGTGAGTGTGTGGTGAGTAGTAGGTGATGGTGAGTAACGTGGTGAGTAGTATGTGATGGTGAGTGACGTGGTGTGTGTGGTGAGTAGTAGATGATGGTGAGTGTGTGGTGAGTAGTAGGTGATGGTGAGTGTGTGGTGAGTAGTAGGTGATGGTGAGTGACGTGGTGAGTGTGTGGTGAGTAGTAGGTGATGGTGAGTGTGTGGTGAGTAGTAGGTGATGGTGAGTGTGTGGTGAGTAGTTGGTGATGGTGTGTAACGTGGTGAGTAGTAGGTGATGGTGAGTGACGTGGTGAGTGTGTGGTGAGTAGTATGTGATGGTGAGTGACGTGGTGTGTGTGTGGTGAGTAGTAGGTGATGGTGAGTGACGTGGTGAGTAGTAGGTGATGGTGAGTGTGTGGTGAGTAGTTGGTGATGGTGTGTAACGTGGTGAGTAGTAGGTGATGGTGAGTGACGTGGTGAGTGTGTGGTGAGTAGTATGTGATGGTGAGTGACGTGGTGAGTGTGTGGTGAGTAGTAGGTGATGGTGAGTGACGTGGTGAGTAGTAGGTGATGGTGTGTAACGTGGTGTGTAGTAGGTGATGGTGAGTAACGTGGTGAGTAGTAGGTGATGGTGAGTGACGTGGTGTGTGTGGTGAGTAGTAGGTGATGGTGAGTGTGTGGTGAGTAGTAGGTGATGGTGAGTGACGTGGTGTGTGTGGTGAGTAGTAGGTGATGGTGAGTGTGTGGTGAGTAGTAGGTGATGGTGAGTGACGTGGTGTGTGTGGTGAGTAGTAGGTGATGGTGAGTGTGTGGTGAGTAGTATGTGATGGTGAGTGACGTGGTGAGTAGTAGGTGATGGTGAGTAACGTGGTGTGTGTGGTGTGTAGTAGATGATGGTGAGTGTGTGGTGAGTAGTAGGTGATGGTGAGTGTGTGGTGAGTAGTAGGTGATGGTGAGTGTGTGGTGAGTAGTATGTGATGGTGAGTGACGTGGTGTGTGTGGTGAGGAGGTGGTGAGGAGGTGGTGAGGAGGTGGTGAGGAGCAATGGCTCAAGCAAAGCCGCCATGCCCTCGACTTATCGACTACATCATCATAGTGGGTGCCAGGTGAGGACATCACCAACATCACCAACACTAACATCACCAACACCACCATCATTAACATCATCACTAACATCACCAACATCACCTTCACTAACACCAACATCACTAACATCATCATAGTGGGTGCCAGGTGAGGACATCACCAACATCACCAACATCACCATCATCACTAACATCACCAACATCACCATCACCAACACCACCACTAACACCAACATCACCTTCACTAACACCAACATCACCATCATCACCATCACCAACACCACCACTAACACCAACATCACTTTCACTAACACCAACATCACCATCAACACCACTAACACCAACATCACCTTCACTAACATCACATATCTAACATCACCATCACCAACACCCACTAACACCAACATCACCTTCACTAACATCACATATCTAACATCACCATCACCAACACCCACTAACACCAACATCACCTTCACTAACACCAACATCACTAACATCACCATCAACACCATCATCACTATCACCACCACTATCACTAACATCATCATAGTGGGTGCCAGGTGAGGACATCACCAACATCACCATCACTAACACCAACATCACCAACATCACCATCATCACTAACACCAACATCACCTTCACTAACATCATCATCACCAACATCACCACTAACACCATCATCACTATCACCACCACTATCACTAACATCATCATAGTGGGTGCCAGGTGAGGACATCACCAACATCACCTTCACTAACACCAACATCACTAACATCACCATCACCAACACCACCACTAACACCAACATCACCTTCACTAACACCAACATCACTAACATCACCATCACCAACACCACCACTAACACCAACATCACCTTCACTAACACCAACATCACTAACATCACCATCACCAACACCACCACTAACACCAACATCACTTTCACTAACACCAACATCACCATCATCACCATCACCAACACCACCACTAACACCAACATCACTTTCACTAACACCAACATCACTAACATCACCATCACCAACACCACCACTAACACCAACATCACTTTCACTAACACCAACATCACTAACATCACCATCACCAACACCCACTAACACCAACATCACTTTCACTAACACCAACATCACCATCATCACTAACATCACCATCACCAACACCACCACTAACACCAACATCACTTTCACTAACACCAACATCACCATCATCACTAACATCACCATCACCACCATCATCACTATCACCACCACTATCACTAACATCATCATAGTGGGTGCCAGGTGAGGACATCACCAACATCACCATCACCATCATCACCACCATCACCACCACCATCATCACTAACATCACCATCATCACCATCACTAACATGACCATCACTAACATGACCATCACTAACATCACCACCATCACTAACATCACTAACATCACCATCATCACCATCACTTACATCATCATCACCAACATCACTTTCAATAACATCACCACCATCACCACCACCATCATCACTAACATCACCATCACTAACATCACCACCATCACTAACATCACTAACATCACCATCACCATCATCACCATCACTATCATCATCATCATCATCACCATCACTAACATAATCACTAACATCACCATCACCAACATCACCAACATCACCATCACTAATATCTCCATCACTAACATCACTAACATCACCATCACTAACATCATCACCACCATCACTAACATCACCACCATCACTAACATCACTAACATCACCATCACCATCATCACCATCACTATCATCATCATCATCATCACCATCACTAACATCATCACTAACATCACCATCACCAACATCACCATCATCACCATCATCACGATCACTAACATCACCATCACTAACATCACCATCATCACCATCATCACCATCACTAACATCACCATCACTAACATCACCATCACTAACATCACCATCATTAACATCACCATCATCACCATCACTAACATCATCATCACCAACATCACTTTCACTAACATCACCACCATCACACCACCATCATCACTAACATCACCACCATCACCACCATCACTTACATCACCATCACCAACATCACCATCATCACCATCACTAACATCATCACTAACATCACCATCACTAACATCACCACCACTATCACTAACATCATCATAGTGGGTGCCAGGTGAGGACATCACCACCACCATCATCACCATCACCACAGACTCACCACACAGAGACCTACAGACTCACCACACAGAGACCCACAGACTCACCACACAGAGACCCACAGATTCACCACACAGAGACCCACAGACTCACCACACAGAGACCTACAGACTCACCACACAGAGACCCACAGACTCACCACACAGACTCACCACACAGAGACCCACAGACTCACCACACAGAGACCCACAGACTCACCACACAGAGACCCACAGATTCACCACACAGAGACCCACAGACTCACCACACAGAGACCCACAGACTCATCACACAGAGACCCACAGACTCACCACACAGAGACCCACAGGCTCACCACACAGAGACCCACAGACTCAGCACACAGAGACCCACAGACTCACCACACAGAGACCCACAGAATCACCACACAGAGACCCACAGACTCACCACACAGAGACCCACAGACTCAGCACACAGAGACCCACAGACTCACCACACAGAGACCCACAGACTCACCACACAGAGACCCACAGACTCACCACACAGAGACACACAGACTCACCACACAGAGACACACAGACTCACCACACAGAGACCCATAGACTCATCACACAGAGACCCACAGACTCACCACACAGAGACCCACAGACTCACCACACAGAGACCCACAGACTCACCACACAGAGACCCACACACTCACCACACAGAGACCCACAGACTCACCACACAGAGACCCACAGACTCATCACACAGAGACCCACAGACTCATCACACAGAGACCCACAGACTCACCACCACACAGAGACTCACAGACTGACCACGCAGAGACCCACAGACTCACCACACAGAGACCCACAGACTCACCACACAGAGACCCACAGACTCACCACACAGAGACCCACAGACTCACCACACAGAGACCCACAGACTCACCACACAGAGACCCACAGACTCACCACACAGATACCCACAGACTCACCACCACACAGAGACCCACAGACTCACCACACAGAGACCCACAGACTCACCACACAGACTCACCACACAGAGACCCACAGACTCACCACACAGAGACCCACAGACTCACCACACAGAGACCCACAGACTCACCACACAGAGACACCCACAGACTCACCACACAGAGACCCACAGACTCACCACACAGAGACCCACAGACTCACCACACAGAGACCCACAGACTCACCACACAGAGACCCACAGACTCACCACACAGAGACCCACAGACTCACCACACAGAGACACCCACAGACTCACCACACAGAGACCCACAGACTCACCACACAGAGACCCACAGACTCACCACACAGAGACCCACAGACTCACCACACAGATACCCACAAACTCACCACACAGAGACCCACAGACTCATCACACAGAGACCCACAGACTCACCACACAGAGACCCACAGACTCACCACACAGAGACCCACAGACTCACCACACAGAGACCCACAGACTCACCACACAGAGACCCACAGACTCACCACACAGAGACCCACAGACTCACCACACAGAGACCCACAGACTCACCACACAGAGACCCACAGACTCACCACACAGAGACCCACAGACTCACCACACAGAGACCCACAGACTCACCACACAGATACCCACAGACTCACCACCACACAGAGACCCACAGACTCACCACACAGACTCACCACACAGAGACCCACAGACTCACCACACAGACTCACCACACAGAGACCCACAGACTCACCACACAGAGACCCACAGACTCACCACACAAAGACCCACAGACTCACCACACAGACTCACCACACAGAGACCCACAGACTCACCACACAGAGACCCACAGACTCACCACACAGAGACCCACAGACTCACCACACAGAGACCCACAGACTCACCACACAGAGACCCACAGACTCACCACACAGAGACCCACAGACTCACCACACAGATACCCACAGACTCACCACCACACAGAGACCCACAGACTCACCACACAGACTCACCACACAGAGACCCACAGACTCACCACACAGAGACCCACAGACTCACCACACAGACTCACCACACAGAGACCCACAGACTCACCACACAGACTCACCACACAGAGACCCACAGACTCACCACACAGAGACCCACAGACTCACTACACAGAGACCCACAGACTCACCACACAGAGACACACAGACTCACCACACAGAGACACACTGACTCACCACACAGAGACCCACAGACTCACCACACAGAGACCCACAGACTCACCACACAGAGACCCACAGACTCACCACACAGAGACCCACAGACTCACCACACAGAGACCCACAGACTCACCACACAGAGACCCACAGACTCATCACACAGAGACCCACAGACTCACCACACAGAGACCCACAGACTCAGCACACAGAGACCCACAGACTCACCACACAGAGACCCACAGACTCACTACACAGAGACCCACAGACTCACCACACAGAGACACACAGACTCACCACACAGAGACACACTGACTCACCACACAGAGACCCACAGACTCACCACACAGAGACCCACAGACTCACCACACAGAGACCCACAGACTCACCACACAGAGACCCACAGACTCACCACACAGAGACCCACAGACTCACCACACAGAGACCCACAGACTCACCACACAGAGACCCACAGACTCATCACACAGAGACCCACAGACTCACCACACAGAGACCCACAGACTCACCACACAGAGACCCACAGACTCACCACACAGAGACCCACAGACTCACCACACAGAGACCCACAGTCTCACCACACAGAGACCCACAGACTCACCACACAGAGACCCACAGACTCACCACACAGAGACACCCACAGACTCATCACACAGAGACCCATAGACTCACCACACAGAGACCCACAGACTCACCACACAGAGACCCACAGATTCACCACACAGAGACCCACAGACTCACCACACAGAGACCCACAGACTCACCACACAGAGACCCACAGACTCACCACACAGAGACCCACAGACTCACCACACAGAGACCCACAGACTCACCACACAGAGACCCACAGATTCACCACACAGAGACCCACAGACTCACCACACAGAGACCCACAGACTCACCACACAGAGACACCCACAGACTCACCACACAGAGACCCACAGACTCACCACACAGAGACACCCACAGACTCACCACACAGAGACCCACAGACTCACCACACAGAGACCCACAGACTCACCACACAGAGACCCACAGACTCACCACACAGAGACCCACAGACTCACCACACAGAGACCCACAGACTCACCACACAGAGACCCACAGACTCACCACACAGAGACCCACAGACTCACCATCACACAGAGACCCACAGATTCACCACACAGAGACCCACAGACTCACCACACAGAGACCCACAGACTCACCACACAGAGACCCACAGATTCACCACACAGAGACCCACAGACTCACCACACAGAGACCCACAGACTCACCACACAGAGACACCCACAGACTCACCACACAGAGACCCACAGACTCACCACACAGAGACACCCACAGACTCACCACACAGAGACCCACAGACTCACCACACAGAGACCCACAGACTCACCACACAGAGACCCACAGACTCACCACACAGAGACCCACAGACTCACCACACAGAGACCCACAGACTCACCACACAGAGACCCACAGACTCACCACACAGAGACCCACAGACTCACCACACAGAGACCCACAGACTCACCACACAGAGACCCACAGACTCACCATCACACAGAGACCCACAGATTCACCACACAGAGACCCACAGACTCACCACACAGAGACCCACAGACTCACCACACAGAGACCCACAGATTCACCACACAGAGACCCACAGACTCACCACACAGAGACCCACAGACTCACCACACAGAGACACCCACAGACTCACCACACAGAGACCCACAGACTCACCACACAGAGACACCCACAGACTCACCACACAGAGACCCACAGACTCACCACACAGAGACCCACAGACTCACCACACAGAGACCCACAGACTCACCACACAGAGACCCACAGACTCAGCACACAGAGACCCACAGACTCACCACACAGAGACCCACAGACTCACCACACAGAGACCCACAGACTCACCACACAGAGACCCACAGACTCACCACACAGAGACCCACAGACTCACCACACAGAGACCCACAGACTCACCACACAGAGAGCCACAGACTCACCACACAGAGACCCACAGACTCACCACACAGAGACCCACAGACTCACCACACAGAGACCCACAGACTCACCACACAGAGACCCACAGACTCACCACACAGAGACCCACAGACTCACCACACAGAGACCCACAGACTCACCACACAGAGACCCACAGACTCACCACACAGAGACCCACTGACTCACCACACAGAGACCCACAGACTCACCACACAGAGACCCACAGACTCACCACACAGAGACCCACAGACTCACCACACAGAGACCCACAGACTCATCACACAGAGACCCACAGATTCACCACACAGAGACCCACAGACTCACCACACAGAGACCCACAGACTCACCACACAGACTCACCACACAGAGACCCACAGACTCACCACACAGAGACCCACAGACTCACCACACAGAGACCCACAGACTCACCACACAGAGACCCACAGACTCACCACACAGACTCACCACACAGAGACCCACAGACTCACCATACAGAGACCCACAGACTCACCACACAGAGACCCACAGACTCACCACACAGAGTCACCACACAGAGACCCACAGACTCACCACACAGAGACCCACAGACTCACCACACAGAGACCCACATACTCATTACAGAGACCCACAGACTCACCACACAGAGACCCACAGACTCACCACACAGAGACCCACAGACTCACCACACAGAGACCCACAGACTCACCACACAGAGACCCACAGACTCACCACACAGAGACCCACAGACTCATCACACAGAGACCCACAGACTCATCACACAGAGACCCACAGACTCACCACACAGAGACCCACAGACTCAACACACAGAGACCCACAGACTCACCACACAGAGACCCACAGACTCACCACACAGAGACCCACAGACTCACCACACAGAGACCCACAGACTCACCACACAGAGACCCACAGACTCACCACACAGAGACCCACAGACTCACCACACAGAGACCCACATACTCATTACAGAGACCCACAGACTCACCACACAGAGACCCACAGACTCACCACACAGAGACCCACAGACTCACCACACAGAGACCCACAGACTCACCACACAGAGACCCACAGACTCACCACACAGAGACCCACAGACTCATCACACAGAGACCCACAGACTCATCACACAGAGACCCACAGACTCACCACACAGAGACCCACAGACTCAACACACAGAGACCCACAGACTCACCACACAGAGACCCACAGACTCACCACACAGAGACCCACAGACTCACCACACAGAGACCCACAGACTCACCACACAGAGACCCACAGACTCACCACACAGAGACCCACAGACTCACCACACAGAGACCCACAGACTCACCACACAGAGACCCACAGACTCATCACACAGAGACCCACAGACTCACCACACAGAGACCCACAGACTCACCACACAGAGACCCACAGACTCACCACACAGAGACCCACAGACTCACCACACAGAGACCCACAGACTCACCACACAGAGACCCACAGACTCACCACACAGAGACCCACAGACTCACCACACAGAGACCCACTGACTCACCACACAGAGACCCACAGACTCACCACACAGAGACCCACAGACTCACCACACAGAGACCCACAGACTCACTACACAGAGACCCACAGACTCACCACCGCGCCTCCCATCACCGCGGCTGCCCTACGCGCTGATGTCAAACCGGTTCAACCCCTTTCCTCCCCCCACCTCCCCCCACCTCCCCCCACCTCCCCCCACCTCCCCCCACCTCCCCCCACCTCCTGCCCCCCACCAGACACCCGCGATGTGACGGGGCCCCCCAGAGCCCCGAGCTGCTCCGACGCTTCCCGGCCTCCGACCACTCCGGCTTCCCTCTGCCCCGAGACTCGGTGTGCTTCTGTCAGCCCGAGGGCTGTACCGTGAGCGTCCGCAGAGGCCGAGGCGGCGGTGGCGGAGGGGGGGTCGGTGGGGGGGCCGTGGGGGGAGGGGCCGGGGGGGCCGGGGGGGCCGGGGGGGCCGGGGGGGGCGGACTGCTGCGGACCGACTCGAGTTTCACGTTCACGCTCACGGACAAGGACTCCGGGACCGTGAGATACGGGGTCTGTGCAAACTTCTACCGTCCGTTCCCCGCTACGGTGAGACACAGAGAGAGAGATACACAGAGAGAGAGAGAGATACACACACAGAGATACACACAGAGAGACACACAGATATACACACAGAGAGACACACAGAGATACACACAGAGATACACAGAGATACACACACAGATACACACAGAGATACACAGAGATACACACAGAGAGATACGGGGTCTGTGCAAACTTCTACCGTCCGTTCCCCGCTACGGTGAGACACACAGAGAGAGATACAGAGAGATATACACAGAGATACACACAGAGAGAGACACACAGAGATACACACAGAGATACACACAGAGATACACACAGAGATACACACAGAGATACACACAGAGATACACACAGAGATACACAGAGAGATACACACAGAGATCCGGGGTCTGTGCAAACTTCTACCGTCCGTTCCCAGCTACGGTGAGACACACAGAGAGAGATACAGAGAGATACACACAGAGATACGGGGTCTGTGCAAACTTCTACCGTCCGTTCCCCGCTACGGTGAGACACACAGAGAGAGAGATACACAGAGAGAGAGAGAGATACACACACAGAGATACACACAGAGAGACACACAGATATACACACAGAGAGACACACAGAGATACACACAGAGATACACAGAGATACACACACAGATACACACAGAGATACGGGGTCTGTGCAAACTTCTACCGTCCGTTCCCCGCTACGGTGAGACACACAGAGAGAGATACAGAGATACAGAGAGAGAGATACACACAGACATACACAGAGAGATACAGAGAGAGATACACACAGAGAGACACACAGAGATACGGGGTCTGTGCAAACTTCTACCGTCCGTTCCCAGCTACGGTGAGACACACAGAGACAGGGAGATACACAGAGAGATATACACAGAGATACACACAGAGAGATACACAGAGATACACACAGAGATACAGAGAGATACACACAGAGATACAGAAAGAGATACACACAGAGATACACACAGAGATACACACAGAGATACACACAGAGAGATACGGGGTCTGTGCAAACTTCTACCGTCCGTTCCCCGCTACGGTGAGACACACAGGGAGATATACAGAGATACACACAGAGATACACAGATAGATACACACAGAGATACAGAGAGATACACAGAGAGATACACACAGAGATACACACAGTGAGAGAGATACACACAGAGAGATACGGGGTCTGTGCAAACTTCTACCGTCCGTTCCCAGCTACGGTGAGACACACAGAGAGAGATACACACAGAGAGATACACACAGAGATACACACAGAGATACGGGGTCTGTGCAAACTTCTACCGTCCGTTCCCCGCTACGGTGAGACACACAGAGAGAGATACAGAGAGATATACACAGATACACAGAGATACACACGGAGATACACACAGAGATACACACAGAGAGATACACACAGATACACACAGAGATACAGAGAGATACACACAGAGATACACACAGATACACACAGAGATACAGAGAGATACACACAGAGATACACACAGAGATACACACAGAGAGATACACACAGAGAGATACACACAGAGATACAGAGAGATACACACAGAGATACAGAGAGATACACACAGAGATACAGAAAGAGATACACACAGAGATACAGAGAGATACACACAGATACACACACAGAGAGATACACAGAGAGATACACACAGAGATACACACAGAGATACACAGAGAGAGATACACACAGAGATACAGAGAGATACACACAGAGATACAGAGAGAGATACAGAGAGAGATACACACAGAGATACAGAGAGATACACACAGAGAGAGATACACAGAGAGAGAGATACACACAGAGAGATACGGGGTCTGTGCAAACTTCTATCGTCCGTTCCCCGCTACGGTGAGATACACAGAGAGACACACAGAGAGAGATACACACAGAGAGATACAGAGAGATACACACAGAGATACAGAGAGATACACACAGAGATACACACAGAGAGATACACACAGAGATACAGAGAGAGATACACACAGATACACAGAGAGAGATACACACAGAGATACACACAGAGATACACAGAGAGAGATACCCAGATACACACAGAGAGATACACACAGAGACACACACAGAGACACACACACAGAGACACACACAGAGACACACACACAGAGACACACACAGAGATACACACAGAGATATACACAGAGATACACACAGAGATATACACAGAGATACACACAGAGATATACACAGAGATACACACAGAGATATACACAGAGATACACACAGAGATACACACAGAGATACACACAGAGATACACACAGATATACACACAGAGAGATACACACAGAGATACACACAGAGATACACACAGAGAGATACACACAGAGATACGGGGTCTGTGCAAACTTCTACCGTCCGTTCCCCGCTACGGTGAGACACACGGAGATATACAGAGAGATGTACACAGAGAGATACACACAGAGATACAGAGAGATACACACAGAGAGAGACACACAGAGATACACAGAGAGAGAGATACAGAGAGAGATACAGAGAGAGATACAGACAGAGATACACACAGAGATACAGACAGAGATACACACAGAGATACAGAGAGATACACACAGAGAGAGACACACAGAGATACACAGAGAGAGAGATACAGAGAGAGATACAGAGAGAGATACAGAGAGAGATACAGACAGAGATACACACAGAGATACACACACAGAGATACACACAGAGATACACACAGAGAGACACACAGAGAGATACACACAGAGATATACACAGAGATACACACAGAGATATACACAGAGATACACACAGAGATATACACAGAGATACACACAGAGATTCACACAGAGATACACACAGAGATACACACAGATATACACACAGAGAGATACACACAGAGATACACACAGAGATACACACAGAGAGATACACACAGAGATACGGGGTCTGTGCAAACTTCTACCGTCCGTTCCCCGCTACGGTGAGACACACGGAGATATACAGAGAGATGTACACAGAGAGATACACACAGAGATACAGAGAGATACACACAGAGAGAGACACACAGAGATACACAGAGAGAGAGATACAGAGAGAGATACAGAGAGAGATACAGACAGAGATACACACAGAGATACAGACAGAGATACACACAGAGATACAGAGAGATACACACAGAGAGAGACACACAGAGATACACAGAGAGAGAGATACAGAGAGAGATACAGAGAGAGATACAGAGAGAGATACACACATAGATACACACAGAGATACACACACAGAGATACACACAGAGATACACACAGAGAGACACACAGAGAGATACACACAGAGAGACACACACAGAGATACACACAGAGAGATACACACAGAGATACACACAGAGAGATACACAGAGATACACACAGAGATACACACAGAGATACACACAGTGAGAGAGATACACACAGAGATACACACAGAGAGACACACAGAGATACACACATAGAGATACACACAGAGAGATACACACAGAGAGATACACACAGAGATACACACATAGAGATACACACATAGAGATACACACATAGAGATACACACATAGAGATACACACACAGAGATACACACAGAGATACACACAGATACACCCGTTGATATGGTTGATGTTGTGGTTGATGTGGTTGTTGCTGTAGTTGTGGTTGTGGTTGTTGTTGCTATGGTTGTAGTGGTTGATGTGGTTGTGGTTGTTGTTGTTGTGGTTGTTGCTGCTATGGTTGTAGTGGTTGTGGTTGATGTTGTGGTTGTTGTGGTTGTTGTTGCTATGGTTGTGGTGGTTGTTGTTGTGGTTGTTGTTGCTATGGTTGTTGTGGTTGTGGTTGTTGTTGCTATGGTTGTAGTGGTTGTAGTGGTTGTTGTTGTTGTGGTTGTTGTGGTTGATGTTGTGGTTGTGGTTGATGTTGTGGTTATTTCAGAACCGTAACAAAGAGAAGGCAACAGCAGAGGGAGGTGGAGGAGGAGCGGAGGCACGGGGCACAGCACAGGTAGATCACGTGGTGGTGGTGGTGGTGATGGTGATGATGGTGGTGGTGGTGATGGTGGTGGTGATGATGGTGGTGGTGATGATGGTGGTGGTGGTGATGATGATGGTGGTGATGATGGTGGTGGTGATGGTGGTGATGGTGGTGGTGATGATGATGGTGGTGTTGGTGGTGGTGGTGATGGTGGTGGTGATGGTGGTGGTGATGGTGGGGGTGGTGGTGGTGGTGGTGAAGATGATGGTGGTGGTGGTGATGATGGTGGTGATGATGGTGGTGGTGATGGTGGTGGTGATGGTGGGGGTGGTGGGGGTGGTGGGGGTGGTGGTGGTGGTGGTGATGGTGGTGGTGGTGGTGATGGTGGTGGTGGTGATGGTGGTGGTGATGATGGTGGTGGTGATGGTGGGGGTGCTGGTGGTGGTGATGGTGGTGGTGATGATGGTGGTGGTGATGGTGGTAATGGTGGTGGTGATGATGATGATGATGGTGGTGTTGGTGGTGGTGGTGATGGTGGTGGTGATGGTGGTGGTGATGGTGGTGGTGATGGTGGGGGTGGTGGTGGTGGTGGTGAAGATGATGGTGGTGGTGGTGATGATGGTGGTGATGGTGGTGGTGATGGTGGGGGTGGTGGGAGTGGTGGTGGTGATGGTGGTGGTGGTGGTGATGGTGGTGGTGGTGGTGGTGATGGTGGTGGTGGTGGTGGTGATGATGGTGGTGGTGATGGTGGGGGTGCTGGTGGTGGTGATGGTGGTGGTGGTGATGTGTAGACAGGTGGTGGTGGTGATGGTGGTGATGGTGGTGATGGTGGTGGTGATGGTGGTGATGGTGGTGGTGATGATGGTGGTGGTGGTGATGGTGGTGGTGGTGATGGTGGTGATGGTGGTGGTGGTGGTGATGGTGGTGGTGGTGATGGTGGTGATGGTGGTGATGGTGGTGATGGTGGTGGTGGTGATGGTGGTGGTGGTGGTGGTGATGATGGTGGTGGTGGTGGTGATGGTGGTGGTGGTGGTGATGTGTAGACAGGTGATGGTGGTGGTGGTGGTGATGGTGGTGGTGGTGGTGATGGTGGTGGTGGTGGTGGTGATGGTGGTGGTGGTGGTGATGGTGGTGATGGTGGTGGTGATGATGGTGGTGGTGATGGTGGGGGTGCTGGTGGTGGTGATGGTGGTGGTGGTGATGGTGGTGGTGGTGGTGGTGATGGTGGTGATGGTGGTGGTGATGATGGTGGTGGTGGTGATGGTGGTGGTGGTGGTGATGGTGGTGGTGGTGATGGTGGTGGTGGTGGTGATGGTGGTGATGGTGGTGATGGTGGTGATGATGGTGGTGATGATGGTGGTGGTGATGGTGGTGGTGATGGTGGTGGTGATGGTGGTGGTGGTGGTGGTGATGGTGGTGGAGGTGGTGGTGGTAGTGATGGTGGTGATGGTGGTGGTGGTGATGATGGTGGTGATGGTGGTGGTGGTGGTGATGATGGTGGTGGTGATGGTGGTGGTGGTGGTAGTGATGGTGGTGGTGGTGATGATGATGGTGGTGATGATGGTGATGATGGTGGTGATGGTGGTGGTGGTGATGGTGGTGGTGGTGGTGATGGTGGTGATGGTGATGGTGGTGGTGGTGATGGTGGTGGTGGTGGTGATGATGGTGGTGGTGGTGATGGTGGTGATGGTGTTGGTGGTGATGGTGGTGGTGGTGGTGATGGTGGTGATGGTGGTGATGGTGATGTATAGGTAGGTGATGATGGTGGTGGTGATGGTGATGATGGTGGTGGTGATGGTGGTGATGATGGTGGTGGTGATGGTGATGATGGTGGTGGTGGTGGTGGTGATGGTGGTGATGGTGGTGGTGGTGGTGGTGATGGTCGTGATGGTGGTGGTGATGGTGGTGGTGGTGATGGTGGTGATGGTGGTGGTGGTGGTGGTGATGGTGGTGGTGGTGATGATGGTGGTGGTGATGGTGGTGGTGATGGTGGTGGTGATGGTGGTGATGGTGATGTATAGGCAGGTGATGATGGTGGTGATGGTGGTGATGGTGGTGGTGATGGTGATGATGATGGTGGTGATGAGGGTGGTGGTGATGGTGGTGATGGTGATGATGATGATGGTGGTGATGGTGGTGATGGTGGTGATGGTGATGGTGGTGATGGTGATGATGGTGATGGTGGTGATGGTGTATAGACTGGTGGTAGTGATGATGGTGGTGATGGTGGTGGTGATGGTAATGTGTAGGAAGGTGATGGTGGTGATGGTGATGGTGGTGATGATGGTGGTGATGGTGATGTGTAGGCAGGTGATGGTGGTGATGGTGATGATGGTGGTGATGGTGATGGTGGTGATGGTGGTGGTGGTGGTGGTGATGATGGTGGTGATGGTGGTGGTGATAGTGGTGGTGATGGTGGTGGTGATGGTGGTGGTGATAGTGGTGGTGATGGTGGTGGTGATGGTGGTGATGGTGATGGTGATGATGTGTAGGCAGGTGATGGTGATGATGGTGGTGATGGTGGTGGTGATGGTGGTGGTGATGGTGATGGTGTGTAGGCAGGTGATGGTTGTGGTGGTGGTGATGGTGGTGATGGTGATGTATAGGCAGGTGATGGTGGTGATGGTGGTGATGGTGGTGGTGATGGTGGTGATGGTGGTGGTGATGATGGTGGTGGTGGTGATGGTGGTGGTGGTGATGGTGGTGGTGATGGTGGTGATGGTGGTGATGGTGGTGGTGGTGATGGTGGTGGTGGTGGTGGTGATGATGGTGGTGGTGGTGGTGATGGTGGTGGTGGTGGTGATGTGTAGACAGGTGATGGTGGTGGTGGTGATGGTGGTGGTGGTGGTGATGGTGGTGGTGATGGTGGTGGTGGTGGTGATGGTGGTGATGGTGGTGGTGATGATGGTGGTGGTGATGGTGGGGGTGCTGGTGGTGGTGATGGTGGTGGTGGTGATGGTGGTGGTGGTGGTGATGGTGGTGATGGTGGTGGTGGTGGTGATGGTGGTGGTGGTGATGATGGTGGTGGTGGTGATGGTGGTGGTGGTGATGGTGGTGGTGGTGATGGTGGTGGTGGTGGTGATGATGGTGGTGATGATGGTGGTGATGATGGTGGTGGTGATGGTGGTGGTGATGGTGGTGGTGATGGTGGTGGTGGTGGTGATGGTGGTGGAGGTGGTGGTGGTAGTGATGGTGGTGATGGTGGTGGTGGTGATGATGGTGGTGATGGTGGTGGTGGTGGTGGTGATGATGATGGTGGTGATGATGGTGATGATGGTGGTGATGGTGGTGGTGGTGATGGTGGTGGTGGTGGTGATGGTGGTGATGGTGGTGGTGGTGATGGTGGTGGTGGTGGTGGTGGTGATGATGGTGGTGGTGGTGGTGATGGTGGTGGTGGTGGTGATGGTGGTGGTGGTGGTGGTGATGATGGTGGTGGTGGTGGTGATGGTGGTGGTGGTGGTGATGTGTAGACAGGTGATGGTGGTGGTGGTGGTGATGGTGGTGGTGGTGGTGATGGTGGTGGTGGTGGTGGTGATGGTGGTGGTGGTGGTGATGGTGGTGATGGTGGTGGTGATGATGGTGGTGGTGATGGTGGGGGTGCTGGTGGTGGTGATGGTGGTGGTGGTGATGGTGGTGGTGGTGATGGTGGTGATGGTGGTGGTGGTGATGGTGGTGGTGGTGATGGTGGTGATGGTGGTGATGGTGGTGGTGATGATGGTGGTGGTGATGGTGGTGGTGATGGTGGTGGTGATGGTGGTGGTGATGGTGGTGGAGGTGGTGGTGGTAGTGATGGTGGTGATGGTGGTGGTGGTGATGATGGTGGTGATGGTGGTGGTGGTGGTGATGATGGTGGTGGTGATGGTGGTGGTGGTGGTAGTGATGGTGGTGGTGATGATGATGGTGGTGATGATGGTGATGATGGTGGTGATGGTGGTGGTGGTGATGGTGGTGATGGTGGTGGTGGTGGTGGTGATGATGGTGGTGGTGGTGATGGTGGTGATGGTGTTGGTGGTGATGGTGGTGATGGTGGTGGTGGTGATGGTGGTGATGGTGATGTATAGGTAGGTGATGATGGTGGTGGTGATGGTGATGATGGTGGTGGTGGTGGTGATGGTGGTGATGATGGTGGTGGTGATGATGGTGATGATGGTGGTGGTGGTGGTGATGGTGGTGATGGTGGTGGTGGTGGTGATGGTCGTGATGGTGGTGGTGATGGTGGTGGTGGTGATGGTGGTGATGGTGGTGATGGTGGTGGTGGTGATGTATAGGCAGGTGATGATGGTGGTGATGGTGGTGATGGTGGTGGTGATGGTGATGATGATGGTGGTGATGAGGGTGGTGGTGATGGTGGTGATGGTGATGATGATGATGGTGGTGATGGTGGTGATGGTGGTGATGGTGGTGATGGTGATGATGGTGATGGTGGTGATGGTGTATAGACTGGTGGTAGTGATGATGGTGGTGATGGTGGTGGTGATGGTAATGTGTAGGAAGGTGATGGTGGTGATGGTGATGGTGGTGATGATGGTGGTGATGGTGATGTGTAGGCAGGTGATGGTGGTGATGGTGATGATGGTGGTGATGGTGGTGGTGGTGGTGGTGATGATGGTGGTGATGGTGGTGGTGATAGTGGTGGTGATGGTGGTGGTGGTGGTGATGGTGGTGGTGATAGTGGTGGTGATGGTGGTGATGGTGATGGTGATGATGTGTAGGCAGGTGATAGTGATGATGGTGGTGATGGTGGTGGTGATGGTGATGGTGTGTAGGCAGGTGATGGTGGTGGTGGTGGTGGTGATGGTGGTGATGGTGATGGTGGTGATGGTGATGTGTAGGCAGGTCATGGTGGTGATGGTGGTGATGGTGATGGTGGTGATGGTGATGTGTAGGCAGGTCATGGTGGTGATGGTGGTGATGGTGATGGTGGTGATGGTGATGTGTAGGCAGGTCATGGTGGTGATGGTGGTGATGGTGATGGTGGTGATGGTGATGTGTAGGCAGGTCATGGTGGTGATGGTGGTGATGGTGATGTGTAGGCAGGTCATGGTGGTGATGGTGGTGATGGTGGTGATGGTGATGGTGGTGATGTATAGGCAGGTGATGGCGGTGATGGCGGTGATGGTGGTGATGATGGTGGTGATGTGTAGGCAGGTGATGGTGATGGTGGTGATGGTGGTGGTGATGGTGGTGGTGATGTGTAGGCAGGTGATGGTGGTGATGGTGGTGATGGTGATGGTGGTGGTGATGGCGGTGATGGCGGTGATGGTGGTGATGATGGTGGTGATGTGTAGGCAGGTGATGGTGATGGTGGTGATGGTGGTGATGGTGGTGGTGATGGTGGTGGTGGTGGTGGTGATGATGGTGGTGATGGTGGTGGTGATAGTGGTGGTGATGGTGGTGGTGATGGTGGTGGTGATAGTGGTGGTGATGGTGGTGGTGATGGTGGTGATGGTGATGGTGATGATGTGTAGGCAGGTGATGGTGATGATGGTGGTGATGGTGGTGGTGATGGTGGTGGTGATGGTGATGGTGTGTAGGCAGGTGATGGTGGTGATGGTGATGTGTAGGCAGGTCATTGTGGTGATGGTGGTGATGGTGGTGGTGGTGATGGTGGTGATGTATAGGCAGGTGATGGCGGTGATGGCGGTGATGGTGGTGATGATGGTGGTGATGTGTAGGCAGGTGATGGTGGTGATGGTGGTGGTGAGAACGTGAGAAGATCTCCGGCCAAGACTCAAGCACGTCCACGCAGGTCTGTGACAGGCTAGGTGCACGGTGAGACAAGAGGCCCTGTGAGTTCCCACCTTCCCACCCACTCATGGTGTCTCCCACCCACCCACCCACTCGCCGTGTCTCCCACCCACCCACCCACCCACCGTGTCTCCCACCCACCCACCCACCGTGTCTCCCACCCACCCACCCACCGTGTCTCCCACCCACCCACCCACCCACCGTGTCTCCCACCCACCCACCCACTCACTGTGTCTCCCACCCACCCACCGTGTCTCCCACCCACCCACCCTCCGTGTCTCCCACCCACCCACCCACCGTGTCTCCCACCCACCCACCCACCCACCGTGTCTCCCACCCACCCACCCACCCACCGTGTCTCCCACCCACCCACCCACCCACCGTGTCTCCCACCCACTATGTCTCCCACCCACCCACCCACTGTGTCTCCCACCCACCCACCCTCCCACCGTGTCTCCCACCCACCCACCCTCCCACCGTGTCTCCCACCCACCCACCCTCCCACCGTGTCTCCCACCCACCCACCCTCCCACCGTGTCTCCCACCCACCCACCCTCCCACCGTGTCTCCCACCCACCCACCCTCCCACCGTGTCTCCCACCCACCCACCCTCCCACCGTGTCTCCCACCCACCCACCCTCCCACCGTGTCTCCCACCCACCCTCCCACCGTGTCTCCCACCCACCCTCCCACCGTGTCTCCCACCCACCCACCATGTCTCCCACCCACCCACCCACTCACTGTGTCTCCCACCCACCCACCGTGTCTCCCACCCACCCACCCACCGTGTCTCCCACCCACCCACCCACCCACCCACCGTGTCTCCCACCCACCCACCCACCCACCCACCGTGTCTCCCACCCACCCACCGTGTCTCCCACCCACCCACCCACCCACCCACCGTGTCTCCCACCCACCCACCCACCGTGTCTCCCACCCACTGTGTCTCCCACCCACCCACCCACTGTGTCTCCCACCCACCCACCCACCGTGTCTCCCACCCACCCACCCACTCACTGTGTCTCCCACCCACCCACCGTGTCTCCCACCCACCCACCCACCGTGTCTCCCACCCACTGTGTCTCCCACCCACCCACCCACTGTGTCTCCCACCCACCCACCCACCCACCGTATCTCCCACCCACCCACCCACCGTGTCTCCCACCCACCCACCCACCGTGTCTCCCACCCACTCACCGTGTCTCCCACCCACCCACTCACCGTGTCTCCCACCCACCCACCCACCGTGTCTCCCACCCACCGTGTCTCCCAGGAGCGTGACTGGCACGCACTCCCTCACCTCCCTCTGCATCATCTCCCACCACCCGTTCCTCACCGCCTTCCGGGAGATGTTGTTCATCCTGAAGCGTCTCCCACCCACCCACTCACCCACTCACCGTGTCTCCCACCCACCCACCCACCATGTCTCCCACCCACCGTGTCTCCCTGGAGCGTGACTGGCACGCACTCCCTCACCTCACTCTGCATCATCTCCCACCACCCGTTCCTCACCGCCTTCCGGGAGATGTTGTTCATCCTGAAGCGTCTCCCACCCACCCACCCACCGTGTCTCCCAGGAGCGTGACTGGCACGCACTCCCTCACCTCACTCTGCATCATCTCCCACCACCCGTTCCTCACCGCCTTCCGGGAGATGTTGTTCATCCTGAAGCGTCTCCCACCCACCCACCCACCCACTCACCGTGTCTCCCACCCACCCACCCACCCACTCACCGTGTCTCCCACCCACCCACCGTGTCTCCCAGGAGCGTGACTGGCACGCACTCCCTCACCTCTCTCTGCATCATCTCCCACCACCCGTTCCTCACCGCCTTCCGGGAGATGTTGTTCATCCTGAAGCGTCTCCCACCCACCCAGCCACTCACCCACCCACCCACCATGTCTCCCACCCACCCACCCACCGTGTCTCCCAGGAGCGTGACTGGCACGCACTCCCTCACCTCTCTCTGCATCATCTCCCACCACCCGTTCCTCACCGCCTTCCGGGAGATGTTGTTCATCCTGAAGCGTCTCCCACCCACCCACCCACCCTCCCACCGTGTCTCCCAGGAGCGTGACTGGCACGCACTCCCTCACCTCTCTCTGCATCATCTCCCACCACCCGTTCCTCACCGCCTTCCGGGAGATGTTGTTCATCCTGAAGCGTCTCCCACCCACCCACCGTGTCTCCCAGGAGCGTGACTGGCACGCACTCCCTCACCTCTCTCTGCATCATCTCCCACCACCCGTTCCTCACCGCCTTCCGGGAGATGTTGTTCATCCTGAAGCGTCTCCCACCCACCCACCCACCCACTCACCCACCCACCCACCCACCATGTCTCCCACCCACCCACCGTGTCTCCCAGGAGCGTGACTGGCACGCACTCCCTCACCTCTCTCTGCATCATCTCCCACCACCCGTTCCTCACCGCCTTCCGGGAGATGTTGTTCATCCTGAAGCGTCTCCCACCCACCCACCCACCCACTCACCGTGTCTCCCACCCACCCACTCACCGTGTCTCCCACCCACCCACCCACCATGTCTCCCACCCACCGTGTCTCCCAGGAGCGTGACTGGCACGCACTCCCTCACCTCTCTCTGCATCATCTCCCACCACCCGTTCCTCACCGCCTTCCGGGAGATGTTGTTCATCCTGAAGCGTCTCCCACCCACCCACCCACCCACCCACCCACTCACCCACCCACCATGTCTCCCACCCACCCACCCACGGTGTCTCCCAGGAGCGTGACTGGCACGCACTCCCTCACCTCTCTCTGCATCATCTCCCACCACCCGTTCCTCACCGCCTTCCGGGAGATGTTGTTCATCCTGAAGCGTCTCCCACCCACCCACCATGTCTCCCACCCACCCACCATGTCTCCCACCCACCGTGTCTCCCAGGAGCGTGACTGGCACGCACTCCCTCACCTCTCTCTGCATCATCTCCCACCACCCGTTCCTCACCGCCTTCCGGGAGATGTTGTTCATCCTGAAGCGTCTCCCACCCACCCACCCACCCACTCACCGTGTCTCCCACCCACCCACCCTCCCACCGTGTCTCCCAGGAGCGTGACTGGCACGCACTCCCTCACCTCTCTCTGCATCATCTCCCACCACCCGTTCCTCACCGCCTTCCAGGAGATGTTGTTCATCCTGAAGCGTCTCCCACCCACCCACACACCCACCCACCGTGTCTCCCACCCACCCACCCACTCACCGTGTCTCCCACCCACCCACCCACCCACCGTGTCTCCCAGGAGCGTGACTGGCACGCACTCCCTCACCTCTCTCTGCATCATCTCCCACCACCCGTTCCTCACCGCCTTCCGGGAGATGTTGTTCATCCTGAAGCGTCTCCCACCCACCCACTCACCCAATAACCGTGTCTCCCACCCACCCACCCACCATGTCTCCCACCCACGGTGTCTCCCAGGAGCGTGACTGGCACGCACTCCCTCACCTCCCTCTGCATCATCTCCCACCACCCGTTCCTCACCGCCTTCCGGGAGATGTTGTTCATCCTGAAGCGTCTCCCACCCACCCACCATGTCTCCCACCCACCCACTCACCCACCCACCGTGTCTCCCAGGAGCGTGACTGGCACGCACTCCCTCACCTCTCTCTGCATCATCTCCCACCACCCGTTCCTCACCGCCTTCCGGGAGATGTTGTTCATCCTGAAGCGTCTCCCACCCACCCACTCACCGTGTCTCCCACCCACCCACCCACCCACCGTGTCTCCCAGGAGCGTGACTGGCACGCACTCCCTCACCTCTCTCTGCATCATCTCCCACCACCCGTTCCTCACCGCCTTCCGGGAGATGTTGTTCATCCTGAAGCGTCTCCCACCCACCCACCCACCCACTCACCGTGTCTCCCACCCACCCACCCACTCACCGTGTCTCCCACCCACCCACCATGTCTCCCACCCACCATGTCTCCCAGGAGCGTGACTGGCACACACTCCCTCACCTCTCTCTGCATCATCTCCCACCACCCGTTCCTCACCGCCTTCCGGGAGATGTTGTTCATCCTGAAGCGTCTCCCACCCACCCACTCACCCACCCACCCACTCACCGTGTCTCCCACCCACCCACCCACCCTCCCACCGTGTCTCCCAGGAGCGTGACTGGCACGCACTCCCTCACCTCTCTCTGCATCATCTCCCACCACCCGTTCCTCACCGCCTTCCGGGAGATGTTGTTCATCCTGAAGCGTCTCCCACCCACCCACTCACCCACCCACCCACTCACCGTGTCTCCCACCCACCCACCCACCCACCCACCGTGTCTCCCAGGAGCGTGACTGGCACGCACTCCCTCACCTCTCTCTGCATCATCTCCCACCACCCGTTCCTCACCGCCTTCCGGGAGATGTTGTTCATCCTGAAGCGTCTCCCACCCACCCACCATGTCTCCCACCCACCCACCCACCCACTCACCGTGTCTCCCACCCACCCACCCACCCACCCTCCCACCGTGTCTCCCAGGAGCGTGACTGGCACGCACTCCCTCACCTCTCTCTGCATCATCTCCCACCACCCGTTCCTCACCGCCTTCCAGGAGATGTTGTTCATCCTGAAGCGTCTCCCACCCACCCACCCACCCACTCACCCACTCACCGTGTCTCCCACCCACCCACTCACCCACCCACCGTGTCTCCCAGGAGCGTGACTGGCACGCACTCCCTCACCTCCCTCTGCATCATCTCCCACCACCCGTTCCTCACCGCCTTCCGGGAGATGTTGTTCATCCTGAAGCGTCTCCCACCCACCCACTCACCCACTCAACGTGTCTCCCACCCACCCACCCACCATGTCTCCCAGGAGCGTGACTGGCACGCACTCCCTCACCTCTCTCTGCATCATCTCCCACCACCCATTCCTCACCGCCTTCCGGGAGATGTTGTTCATCCTGAAGCGTCTACCACCCACCCACCCACTCACCGTGTCTCCCACCCACCCACCCACCCTCCCACCGTGTCTCCCAGGAGCGTGACTGGCACGCACTCCCTCACCTCACTCTGCATCATCTCCCCCCACCCGTTCCTCACCGCCTTCCGGGAGATGTTGTTCATCCTGAAGCGTCTCCCACCCACCCACCCACCATGTCTCCCACCCACCCACCCACCATGTCTCCCACCCACCGTGTCTCCCAGGAGCGTGACTGGCACGCACTCCCTCACCTCTCTCTGCATCATCTCCCACCACCCGTTCCTCACCGCCTTCCGGGAGATATTGTTCATCCTGAAGCGTCTCCCACCCACCCACTCACCGTGTCTCCCACCCACTCACCCACTCACCGTGTCTCCCACCCACCGTGTCTCCCAGGAGCGTGACTGGCACGCACTCCCTCACCTCTCTCTGCATCATCTCCCACCCCCCGTTCCTCACCGCCTTCCGGGAGATGTTGTTCATCCTGAAGCGTCTCCCACCCACCCACCCACTCACCGTGTCTCCCACCCACCCACCCACCGTGTCTCCCAGGAGCGTGACTGGCACGCACTCCCTCACCTCTCTCTGCATCATCTCCCACCACCCGTTCCTCACCGCCTTCCGGGAGATGTTGTTCATCCTGAAGCATCTCCCACCCACCCACCCACTCACCGTGTCTCCCACCCACCCACCCACCCACCGTGTCCTCCCAGGAGCGTGACTGGCACGCACTCCCTCACCTCTCTCTGCATCATCTCCCACCTCCCGTTCCTCACCGCCTTCCGGGAGATGTTGTTCATCCTGAAGCGTCTCCCACCCACCCACTCACCCACTCACCGTGTCTCCCACCCACTCACTGTGTCTCCCCCCCACCCACCCACCGTGTCTCCCAGGAGCGTGACTGGCACGCACTCCCTCACCTCTCTCTGCATCATCTCCCACCACCCGTTCCTCACCGCCTTCCGGGAGATGTTGTTCATCCTGAAGCGACTCCCACCCACCCACCCACCCTCCCACCGTGTCTCCCAGGAGCGTGACTGGCACGCACTCCCTCACCTCTCTCTGCATCATCTCCCACCAACCGTTCCTCACCGCCTTCCGGGAGATGTTGTTCATCCTGAAGCGTCTCCCACCCCACCCACCCACTCACCCACCCACCCACCATGTCTCCCACCCACCCACCCACCGTGTCTCCCAGGAGCGTGACTGGCACGCACTCCCTCACCTCTCTCTGCATCATCTCCCACCACCCGTTCCTCACCACTTCCGGGAGATGTTGTTCATCCTGAAGCGTCTCCCACCCACCCACCCACCCACTCACCGTGTCTCCCACCCACCCACCCACCCACCATGTCTCCCACCCACCCACCCACTCACCATGTCTCCCACCCACCCACCGTGTCTCCCAGGAGCGTGACTGGCACGCACTCCCTCACCTCTCTCTGCATCATCTCCCACCACCCGTTCCTCACCGCCTTCCGGGAGATGTTGTTCATCCTGAAGCGTCTCCCACCCACCCACCATGTCTCCCACCCACCCACCCATGTCTCCCACCCACCGTGTCTCCCAGGAGCGTGACTGGCACGCACCTCCCTCACCTCTCTCTGCATCATCTCCCACCACCCGTTCCTCACCGCCTTCCGGGAGATGTTGTTCATCCTGAAGCGTCTCCCACCCACCCACCACCCACTCACCCACCCACCCACCATGTCTCCCACCCACCCACCCACCGTGTCTCCCAGGAGCGTGACTGGAACGCACTCCCTCACCTCTCTCTGCATCATCTCCCACCAACCGTTCCTCACCGCCTTCCGGGAGATGTTGTTCATCCTGAAGCGTCTCCCACCCACCCACCCACCCTCCCACCGTGTCTCCCAGGAGCGTGACTGGCACGCACTCCCTCACCTCTCTCTGCATCATCTCCCACCACCCGTTCCTCACCGCCTTCCGGGAGATGTTGTTCATCCTGAAGCGTCTCCCACCCACCCACCATGTCTCCCACCCACCCACCATGTCTCCCACCCACCGTGTCTCCCAGGAGCGTGACTGGCACGCACTCCCTCACCTCTCTCTGCATCATCTCCCACCACCCGTTCCTCACCGCCTTCCGGGAGATGTTGTTCATCCTGAAGCGTCTCCCACCCACCCACCCACCCACTCACCGTGTCTCCCACCCACCCACCCACTATGTCTCCCACCCACCCACCCACCCACCGTGTCTCCCAGGAGCGTGACTGGCACGCACTCCCTCACCTCTCTCTGCATCATCTCCCACCACCCGTTCCTCACCGCCTTCCGGGAGATGTTGTTCATCCTGAAGCGTCTCCCACCCACCCACCATGTCTCCCACCCACCCACCATGTCTCCCACCCACCGTGTCTCCCAGGAGCGTGACTGGCACGCACATCCCTCACCTCACTCTGCATCATCTCCCACCACCCGTTCCTCACCGCCTTCCGGGAGATGTTGTTCATCCTGAAGCGTCTCCCACCCACCCACCCACTCACCGTGTCTCCCACCCACCCACCCACCATGTCTCCCCACCCACCGTGTCTCCCAGGAGCGTGACTGGCACGCACTCCCTCACCTCTCTCTGCATCATCTCCCACCACCCGTTCCTCACCGCCTTCCGGGAGATGTTGTTCATCCTGAGCGTCTCCCACCCACCCACCCACCCACCGTGTCTCCCACCCACCCACCCACCCACCGTGTCTCCCAGGAGCGTGACTGGCACGCACTCCCTCACCTCTCTCTGCATCATCTCCCACCACCCGTTCCTCACCGCCTTCCGGGAGATGTTGTTCATCCTGAAGCGTCTCCCACCCACCCACCCACCCACTCACCGTGTCTCCCACCCACCCACCCACCATGTCTCCCACCCACCCACCCACCGTGTCTCCCAGGAGCGTGACTGGCACGCACTCCCTCACCTCTCTCTGCATCATCTCCCACCACCCGTTCCTCACCGCCTTCCGGGAGATGTTGTTCATCCTGAAGCGTCTCCCACCCACCCACCATGTCTCCCACCCACCCACCATGTCTCCCACCCACCGTGTCTCCCAGGAGCGTGACTGGCACGCACTCCCTCACCTCACTCTGCTTCATCTCCCACCACCCGTTCCTCACCGCCTTCCGGGAGATGTTGTTCATCCTGAAGCGTCTCCCACCCACCCACCCACCCACCGTGTCTCCCACCCACCCACCCACCGTGTCTCCCAGGAGCGTGACTGGCACGCACTCCCTCACCTCTCTCTGCATCATCTCCCACCACCCGTTCCTCACCGCCTTCCGGGAGATGTTGTTCATCCTGAAGCGTCTCCCACCCACCCACCCACCCACTCACCGTGTCTCCCACCCACCCACTCACCGTGTCTCCCACCCACCCACCGTGTCTCCCAGGAGCGTGACTGGCACGCACTCCCTCACCTCTCTCTGCATCATCTCCCACCACCCGTTCCTCACCGCCTTCCGGGAGATGTTGTTCATCCTGAAGCGTCTCCCACCCACCCACCCACTCACCGTGTCTCCCACCCACCCACCCACCATGTCTCCCACCCACCCACCGTGTCTCCCAGGAGCGTGACTGGCACGCACTCCCTCACCTCTCTCTGCATCATCTCCCACCACCCGTTCCTCACCGCCTTCCGGGAGATGTTGTTCATCCTGAAGCGTCTCCCACCCACCCACTCACCGTGTCTCCCACCCACCCACCCACCATGTCTCCCACCCACCGTGTCTCCCAGGAGCGTGACTGGCACGCACTCCCTCACCTCTCTCTGCATCATCTCCCACCACCCGTTCCTCACCGCCTTCCGGGAGATGTTGTTCATCCTGAAGCGTCTCCCACCCACCCACCCACTCACCCACCCACCCACCATGTCTCCCACCCACCCACCCACCGTGTCTCCCAGGAGCGTGACTGGCACGCACTCCCTCACCTCTCTCTGCATCATCTCCCACCACCCGTTCCTCACCGCCTTCCGGGAGATGTTGTTCATCCTGAAGCGTCTGATGGACGCCTGCGGCCTACGCACTGACGGAGCCACGCGGCGGCTCGCTCAGGCGCGCGTACTCGCACACAGGTACCAAGTCACATACTCACTCACCTACTCACTCACCTACTCACCTACTCACTCAGCTACTCACTCACCTACTCACCTACTCACTCACCTACTCACCTACTCACTCACCTACTCACCTACTCACTCACCTACTCACTCACATACTCACCTACTCACTCACATACTCACCTACTCACTCACCTACTCACCTACTCACTCACATACTCACATACTCACTCACCTACTCACTCACCTACTCACTCACCTACTCACTCACCTACTCACCTACTCACTCACCTACTCACATACTCACTCACCTACTCACTCACCTACTCACTCACCTACTCACCTACTCACATACTCGCACACAGGTACCAACTCACATACTCACCTACTCACTCACCTACTCACTCACTTCATCACCTACTCACTCACCTACTCACCTACTCACCTACTCACTCACCTACTCACTCACCTACTCACCTACTCACTCAGCTACTCACCTACTCACTCACCTACTCACCTACTCACTCACCTACTCACATACTCACTCACCTACTCACATACTCACTCACCTACTCACCTACTCACTCACCTACTCACCTACTCACTCAGCTACTCACCTACTCACTCACCTACTCACCTACTCACTCACCTACTCACATACTCACTCACCTACTCACCTACTCACTCACCTACTCACCTACTCACTCACCTACTCACATACTCACTCACCTACTCACATACTCACTCACCTACTCACCTACTCACTCACCTACTCACCTACTCACTCACCTACTCACCTACTCACTCACCTACTCACATACTCACTCACCTACTCACCTACTCACTCACCTACTCACCTACTCACTCACCTACTCACATACTCACTCACCTACTCACCTACTCACTCACCTACTCACCTACTCACTCACCTACTCACATACTCACTCACCTACTCACATACTCACTCACCTACTCACCTACTCACTCACCTACTCACCTACTCACTCATCTACTCACCTACTCACTCACCTACTCACCTACTCACTCACCTACTCACTCACCTACTCACCCACTCACCTACTCACCTACTCGCACACAGGTACCAACTCACATACTCACATACTCACCTACTCACTCAGCTACTCACCTACTCACATACTCACCTACTCACTCAGCTACTCACCTACTCACCTACTCACCCACTCACTCACCTACTCACTCACCTACTCACTCACCTACTCACTCACCTACTCACATACTCACCTACTCACTCACCTACTCACTCACCTACTCACATACTCACCTACTCACTCACCTACTCACCTACTCACCTACTCACTCACCTACTCACTCACCAACTCACATACTCACTCACCTACTCACCTACTCACTCACCTACTCACTCACCTACTCACCTACTCACTACTCACTCACCTACTCACTCACCTACTCACTCACCTACTCACCTACTCACTCACCTACTCACCTACTCACTCACTCACCTACTCACTCACCTACTCATCTACTCACCTACTCGCACACAGGTACCAACTCACATACTCACTCACCTACTCACCTACTCACTCACCTACTCACTCACCTACTCACTCACCTACTCACTCACCTACTCACCTCCTCACCTACTCACATACTCACATACTCACTCACCTACTCACTCACCTACTCACTCACCTACTCACTCACCTACTCACTCACCTACTCACTCACCTACTCACTCACCTACTCACCTCCTCACCTACTCACATACTCACATACTCACTCACCTACTCACTCACCTACTCACTCACCTACTCACCTACTCACTCACCTACTCACTCACCTACTCACCTACTCACTCACCTACTCACTCACCTACTCACCTACTCGCACACAGGTACCAACTCACCTACTCACTCACCTACTCACTCACATACTCACCTACTCACCTACTCACTCACCTACTCGCACACAGGTACCTCCTCACCTACTCACCTACTCACATACTCACCTACTCACATACTCACTCAGCTACTCACCTACTCACTCACCTACTCACCTACTCACATACTCACCTACTCACCTACTCACATACTCACTCACCTACTCACCTACTCACTCACCTACTCACCTACTCACATACTCACCTACTCACCTACTCACTCACCTACTCACTCACCTACTCACATACTCACCTACTCACCTACTCACTCACCTACTCACCTACTCACCTACTCACTCACCTACTCACCTACTCACCTACTCACTCACCTACTCACATACTCACCTACTCACTCACCTACTCACCTACTCACCCACTCACCTACTCACTCACCTACTCACCTATTCACTCACCTACTCACCTACTCACCTACTCACTCACCTACTCACTCACCTACTCACCTACTCACTCACCTATTCACCTACTCACTCACCTACTCACTCACCCACTCACTCACCCACCCACCCACTCACTCACTCACCCACCCACTCACCCACCCACTCACTCACCCACTCACCCACCCACTCACCCACCCACTCACCCACCCACCCACTCACCCACTCACCCACTCACTCACTCACCCACCCACTCACCCACTCACCCACTCACTCACCCACCCACTCACCCACCCACTCACCCACTCACTCACTCACTCACCCACCCACCCACCCACTCACCCACCCACTCACCCACCCACTCACCCACTCACCCACCCACTCACCCACCCACCTTCCCACCCACCCACTCACCCACCCACTCACCCACCCACCCACCCACTCACCCACCCACCCACCCACCCACTCACCCACTCACCCACCCACTCACCCACCCACCCACCCACTCACCCACCCACCTCTCCGCCCCCGTCCGCAGAGAAGCCGTCTGGCGTCTGCTCACCACCACCACCACCTCCACCACCTCCACCACCTCCACCACCTCCACCACCTCGGCGTCCACCACCTCCGCGTCTCTTCGCCGAGACGTGGACGAGCTGGAGGCCTGGGTGGAGCGCCTCCTCCGTGCCCCGGTCCCGACGGCCGGAGTCGCCCGCCTGGAGCTGCTGGCCATGCCACCTGAGCTGCAGGTGGCATCGCCCATCGTGATGGCCTCGCCGGACGCGGGGCGACTCTCGCTGGTCGACTACCCGCTCCACCTGCCTCTCGAGCTGCTCGGGGTCGACCTGTGCCTCCACGTGCTGTGCTGCATCGTGCTGGAGCACAAGGTGGGGGAGGGGGGGGTGACTACGGTGGGGGGTGGGGGTGACTAGGGGGGTGACTAGGGGGGGTGACTACGGTGGGGGTGGGGGTGACTAGGGGGGTGGTGACTAGGGTGGGGGTGACTACGGTGGGGTGTGGGGGTGACTAGGGGGGTGACTAGGGGGGTGACTAGGGGGGTGACTAGGGTGGGGGTGGGGGTGACTAGGGGGGTGACTAGGGGGGTGACTAGGGGGGTGACTAGGGAGTGACTAGGGGGGTGACTAGGGGTGACTAGGGGGGGTGACTGTGGGGGTGACTAGTGGGGGGGTGACTAGGGGGGTGACTAGGGGGGTGACTAGGGGGGTGACTAGGGGGGGTGACTGTGGGGGTGACTAGCGGGGGGGTGACTAGGGGGGTGACTAGGGGGGTGACTAGGAGTGACTAGGGGGGTGACTAGGGGTGACTAGGGGGGGTGACTGTGGGGGTGACTAGCGGGGGGGTGACTAGGGGGGTGACTAGGGGGTGACTAGGGGGTGACTAAGGGGGTGACTAGGGGGGTGACCAGGGGGTGACTACGGGGGGATTGACTATGGGGGGTGACTAGGGAGTGACTAGGGGGGTGACTGGGGGGGGTGAACGGGGGGGGTGACTAGTGGGGTGACTAAACGGTAACCAGTCTCTCTCTCCCCCCCACTCTCCCCCCCACTCTCCCCCCCACTCTCCCCCCACTCTCCCCCCCACTCTCCCCCCCCACTCTCCCCCCCACTCTCCCCCCCAACTCTCCCCCCCAACTCTCCCCCCCAACTCTCCCCCCCAACTCTCCCCCTCACTCTCCCCCCCACTCTCCCCCCCACTCTCCCCCCCACTCTCCCCCCACTCTCCCCCCACTCTCCCCCCCCTCTCCCCCCCACTCCCCCCCACTCCCCCCCACTCCCCCCCACTCTCCCCCACTCTCCCCCCACTCCCCCCCCACTCCCCCCCACTCCCCCCACTCTCCCCCCACTCTCCCCACTCTCCCCCCACACTCCCCCCACTCTCCCCCCACACTCCCCCCGCTCACCCCACTCTCCCCCCGCTCTCCCCCCACTCTCCCCCCACTCTCCCCCCACTCTCCCCCCCACTCTCCCCACTCTCCCCCCACACCCCCACCACTCTCCCCCCACACCCCCACCACTCTCCCCCCACACCCCCCCACTCCCCCACTACTCTCCCCCCACACCCCCACCACTCTCCCCCCACTCCCCCCACTCTCCCCCCACTCTCCCCCCCACTCTCTCCCCCACTCTCCCCCACACCCCCACCACTCTCCCCCCACACCCCCACCACTCTCCCCCCACTCCCCCCACTCTCCCCCCACTCTCCCCCCCACTCTCCCCCCCTCTCTCCCCCCACTCTCTCCCCACTCCCCCCACTCTCCCCCACACCCCCACCACTCTCCCCCCACACCCCCACCACTCTCCCCCCACACCCCCCACTCCCCCCACTCCCCCACCACTCTCCCCCCACACCCCCCACTCCCCCCCCACACCCCCCACTCCCCTACTACTCTCCCCCCCACTCCCCCACTACTCTCCCCCCACACCCCCACCACTCTCCCCCCACTCCCCCCACTCTCCCCCCACTCTCTCCCCACTCCCCACGACTCTCCCCCCACACCCCCACCACTCTCCCCCCCCTCTCCCCCCCACTCCCCCCACTCCCCCCCACTCACCCCCCACTCCCCCCACTCTCCCCCCACTCTCCCCCACTCTCCCCCCACTCTCCCACTCTCCCCCCACTCTCCCCCCACTCTCCCCCCACTCTCCCCCCACTCTCCCCCCACACTCCCCCCACTCTCCCCCCCACACTCCCCCCGCTCTCCCCACTCTCCCCCCGCTCTCCCCCCACTCTCCCCCACTCTCCCCCCACTCTCCCCCCACTCTCCCCCCCACTCTCCCCACTCTCCCCCCACACCCCCACCACTCTCCCCCCACACCCCCACCACTCTCCCCCCACACCCCCCCACTCCCCCACTACTCTCCCCCCACACCCCCACCACTCTCCCCCCACTCCCCCCACTCTCCCCCCACTCTCCCCCCCACTCTCCCCCCTCTCTCCCCCCCACTCTCCCCCACTCCCCCCACTCTCCCCCACACCCCCACCACTCTCCCCCCACACCCCCACCACTCTCCCCCCACACCCCCCCACTCCCCCCACTCCCCCACCACTCTCCCCCCACACCCCCACCACTCTCCCCCCACACCCCCCCACTCCCCCACTACTCTCCCCCCACACCCCCACCACTCTCCCCCCACTCCCCCCACTCTCCCCCCACTCCCCCACTCCCCCACTCCCCCACGACTCTCCCCCCACACCCCCACCACTCTCCCCCCCCTCTCCCCCCCACTCCCCCCCCCCCCCCCCCACTCCCCCCCCTCTCCCCCCCACTCATCCCCCACTCCCCCCACTCTCCCCCCACTCCCCCACTCTCCCCCCACTCTCCCCCCACTCTCCCCCCACTCTCCCCCACACCCCCACCACTCTCCCCCCACACCCCCACCACTCTCCCCCCACTCCCCCCACTCTCCCCCCACTCTCCCCCCCCACTCTCCCCCCACTCTCCCCCCACTCTCCCCCCACTCCCCCCACTCCCCTACTACTCTCCCCCCCACTCCCCCACTACTCTCCCCCCACACCCCCACCACTCTCCCCCCACACCCCCACCACTCTCCCCCCACTCCCCCCACTCTCCCCCACTCTCCCCCCACTCCCCCACGACTCTCCCCCCACACCCCCACCACTCTCCCCCCACACCCCCACCACTCTCCCCCCACACCCCCCCACTCCCCCCACTCCCCCACCACTCTCCCCCCACACCCCCACCATCTCCCCCCACACCCCCCCACTCCCCCACTACTCTCCCCCCACACCCCCACCACTCTCCCCCCACTCCCCCACTCTCCCCCCACTCCCCCCACTCCCCCACTCCCCACGACTCTCCCCCCACACCCCCACCACTCTCCCCCCCCTCTCCCCCCCACTCCCCCCACTCCCCCCACTCCCCCCCCTCTCCCCCCACTCATCCCCCACTCCCCCCACTCTCCCCCCACTCCCCCCACTCTCCCCCCCACTCTCCCCCCACTCTCCCCCCACTCTCCCCCCCACTCTCCCCCACACCCCCACCACTCTCCCCCCACACCCCCACCACTCTCCCCCCCACTCCCCCCACTCTCCCCCACTCTCCCCCCCACTCTCCCCCCTCTCTCCCCCCACTCTCCCCCCACTCCCCCCACTCCCCTACTACTCTCCCCCCCACTCCCCCACTACTCTCCCCCCACACCCCCACCACTCTCCCCCCACACCCCCACCACTCTCCCCCCACTCCCCCCACTCTCCCCCCACTCTCCCCCCACTCCCCCACGACTCTCCCCCCACACCCCCACCACTCTCCCCCCCCTCTCCCCCCCACTCCCCCCCACTCCCCCCACTCATCCCCCACTCCCCCCACTCTCCCCCCACTCTCCCCCACTCTCCCCCCACTCTCCCCACTCTCCCCCCACTCTCCCCCCACTCTCCCCCCACTCTCCCCCCACTCTCCCCCCACTCCCCCCCCACTCCCCCCCCCCACTCTCCCCCCCCCCACTCCCCCCCCCACCCCCCAGGTGGTGTTCCAGTCGAGAGACTACAATGCCCTCTCAATGAGCGTCATGGCGATGGTGGCCATGCTGTACCCACTGGAGTATATGTTCCCTATCATCCCACTGCTACCCACGTGCATGGCCTCCGCTGAGCAGGTGATGGTGGTGGTGGTGGTGATGGTGGTGATGGTGGTGGTGGTGATGGTGGTGATGGTGGTGGTGGTGATAGTGGTGGTGGTGGTGGTGATGGTGGTGGTGATGGTGGTGATGGTGGCCATGCTGTACCCACTGGAGTATATGTTCCCTATCATCCCACTGCTACCCACGTGCATGGCCTCCGCTGAGCAGGTGATGGTGGTGGTGGTGATGGTGGTGGTGATGATGGTGGTGGTGGTGATGGTGGTGGTGGTGATGGTGGTGGTGGTGATGGTGGTGGTGGTGGTGATGGTGGTGGTGATGGTGATGGTGGCCATGCTGTACCCACTAGAGTATATGTTTCCTATCATCCCACTGCTACCCACGTGCATGGCCTCCGCTGAGCAGGTGGTGGTGGTGGTGGTGATGGTGGTGGTGGTGGTGGTGATTGTGGTGATGGTGATGGTGGTGATGGTGGTGGTGATGGTGGTGATGGTGGCCATGCTGTACCCACTGGAGTATATGTTTCCTATCATTCCACTTCTACCCACGTGCATGGCCTCCGCTGAGCAGGTGATGGTAGTGGTGGTGGTGGTGGTGGTGATTGTGGTGATGGTGGTGGTGGTTATGGTGGTGGTGGTGGTGGTGATGGTGGTGGTGATGTAAGCCATGCTGTACCCACTGGAGTATATGTTTCCTATCATTCCACTGCTACCCACGTGCATGGCCTCCGCTGAGCAGGTGATGGTGGTGGTGGTAGTGATGGTAGTGGTGGTGGTGATGGTGGTGATGGTGGTGGTGATGGTGGTGATGGTGGTGGTGATGGTGATGGTGGTGGTGGTGGTGATGGTGGTGATGGTGGTGGTGATGGTGGTGATGGTGGTGGTGATGGTGGTGGGGGTGATGGTGGCCATGCTGTACCCACTGGAGTATATGTTTCCTATCATCCCATTGCTACCCACGTGCATGGCCTCCGCTGAGCAGGTGATGGTGGTGGTGGTGATGGTGGTAGTGATGGTAGTGGTGGTGGTGATGGTGGTGATGGTGGTGGTGATGGTGGTGATGGTGGTGGTGATGGTGGTGGTGATGGTGGTGGTGGTGGTGGTGATGGTGGTGGTGGTGATGGTGGTGGTGATGGTGGTGATGGTGGTGGTGGTGATGGTGGCCATGCTGTAGCCACTGGAGTATATGTTTCCTATCATCCCACTGCTACCCACGTGCATGGCCTCCGCTGAGCAGGTGATGGTGGTGGTGGTGGTGATGGTGGTGGTGATGGTGGTGATGGTGGTGGTGGTGGTGATGGTGGTGGTGGTGGTGGTGATGGTGGTGGTGGTGATGGTGGTGATAGTGGTGATAGTGGTGATGGTGGTGGTGGTGATGATGATGATGGTGGTGGTGATGGTGGGGATGGTGGTGATGGTGGTGGTGGTGGTGATGGTGGTGGTGATGGTGGTGGTGGTGATGGTGGTGGTGATGGTGGTGGTGATGGTGGTGGTGATGGTGGTGGTGGTGATGGTGGTGGTGGTGATGGTGGTGGTGGTGATGGTGGTGGTGATGGTGGTGATGGTGGTGGTGATGGTGGGGGTGGTGATGGTGATGGTGGTGATGGTGGCCATGCTGTACCCACTGGAGTATATGTTTCCTATCATCCCACTGCTACCCACGTGCATGGCCTCCGCTGAGCAGGTGATGGTGGTGGTGATGGTGGTGGTGGTGGTGATGGTGGTGGTGATGGTGGTGGTGGTGATGGTGGTGATGGTGGTGATGGTGGTGGTGGTGGTGATGGTGGTGGTGGTGGTGATGGTGGTGGTGATGGTGGTGGTGGTGGTGATGGTGGTGATGGTGGCCATGCTGTACCCACTGGAGTATATGTTTCCTATCATCCCACTGCTACCCACGTGCATGGCCTCCGCTGAGCAGGTGATGGTGGTGGTGGTGATGGTGGTGATGGTGATGGTGGTGATGGTGGTGGTGATGGTGGTGGTGGTGATGGTGGTGGTGGTGATGGTGGTGATGGTGGTGGTGACGTTGATGATGATGATGGTGTTGACGATGATGGTGTTGATGATGGTGTTGATGATGTTGTTGATGATGATGATGGTGTTGATGTTGTTGATGATGTTGATGATGATGTTGATGTTGTTGACGATGATGATGTTGATGATGATGTTGATGATGTTGATGACGTTGACGATGATGATGATGTTGTTGATGATGATGTTGACGTTGTTGACGATGATGGTGTTGATGATGATGTTGATGATGACGTTGACGATGTTGACGATGTTGACGACGTGCACAGCTCCTCCTGGCCCCCACGCCGTACATCATCGGAGTGCCGGCCTCCTTCTTCCTCTTCAAGGCGGGGTTCCATCTCCCGGACGACGTCTGGCTAGTCGACCTGGACACTAGCAAGGTGAGTGGCGCTCACCCACTCGCTCACCCACTCGCTCGCTCACCACTCACTCACTCGCTCGCTCACCCACTCACTCACCCACTCGCTCGCTCACCCACTCGCTCACTCGCTCGCTCACCCACTCACTCACCCACTCACTCACCCACTCGCTCGCTCACCCACTCGCTCACTCGCTCGCTCACCCACTCACTCGCTCGCTCACCCGCTCGCTCACCCACTCGCTCACTCACCCACTCGCTCACCCACTCACTCACTCGCTCACCCACTCACTCACCCACTCACTCACCCACTCGCTCACCCACTCGCTCGCTCACCCACTCGCTCACCCGCTCGCTCACCCACTCGCTCACCCACTCGCTCACCCACTCGCTCACTCACCCACTCACTCACCCACTCGCTCACCCACTCGCTCACCCACTCACTCACTCACCCACTCACTCACCCACTCGCTCACCCACTCACTCGCTCACCCACTCGCTCACCCACTCGCTCGCTCACCCACTCACCCGCTCGCTCGCTCACCCACTCGCTCGCTCACCCACTCACCCGCTCGCTCACCCACTCGCTCGCTCACCCACTCACCCACTCGCTCACCCACTCGCTCGCTCACCCACCCGCTCGCTCGCTCATCCACTCGCTCACTCACTCACTCGCTCGCTCACTTACCCGCTCGCTCGCTCACCACTCACTCACCCACTCGCTCACCCACTCGCTCACCCACTCGCTCACCCACTCGCTCGCTCACCCACTCGCTCGCCCACTCGCTCACCCACCCGCTCGCTCACCCGCTCGCTCACCCCCCCACTCACCCACCCCTCACCCTCACCGTGTGAGCTGCAGGTGATAACTCCCAAGGGAGCTGACTCCATCCCCCCTCTCCCTGAGCCTGAAGCCACTCACCTCAAGACTAACCTCAAGCAGGTGAGCACCGCTCACCACTACTCACCACCACTACTCACCACTACTCACCACTACTCACCCCCACTCACCACTACTCACCACTACTCACCACCACTCACCACCACTCACCACTACTCACCACTACTCACCACCACTCACCACTACTCACCACTACTCACCCCCACTCACCACCACTCACCACTACTCACCACCACTCACCACTACTCACCACTACTCACCACCACTCACCACTACTCACCACTACTCACCACTACTCACCACCACTCACCACTACTCACCACTACTCACCACCACTCACCACTACTCACCACTACTCACCACTACTCACCACCACTCACCACTACTCACCACCCCTCACCACTACTCGCCACCCCTCACCACTACTCACCCCCACTCACCACTACTCAGCACTACTCACCACCACTCACCACTCCTCACCACTACTCACCCCCACTCACCACTACTCAGCACTACTCACCACTACTCACCACCACTCACCACTACTCACCACTACTCACCACCACTCACCACTACTCACCACTACTCAGCACTACTCACCACTACTCACCACCACTCACCACTACTCACCACTACTCACCACCACTCACCACTACTCACCACCACTCACCACCACTCACCACCACTCACCACTACTCACCACTACACTCACCACTACTCACCACCACTCACCACCACTCACCACTACTCACCACTACTCACCACTACTCACCACCACTCACCACCACTCACCACTACTCACCACCACTCACCACCACTCACCACCACTCACCACTACTCACCACTACTCACCACCACTCACCACTACTCACCACTACTCACCACTACACTCACCACTACTCACCACCACTCACCACCACTCACCACTACTCACCACTACTCACCACCACTCACCACTACTCACCACTCACCACTACTCACCACTACTCACCACCACTCACCACTACTCACCACTACTCACCACTACACTCACCACTACTCACCACCACTCACCCCCACTCACCACTACTCACCACTCACCACTACTCACCACTACTCACCACCACTCACCACCACTCACCACTACTCACCACTACACTCACCACCACTCACCACCACTCACCACCACTCACCACTACTCACCACTCACCACTACTCACCACTACTCACCACCACTCACCACTCACCACTACTCACCACTACTCACCACTACTCACCACTACTCACCACTACTCACCACTCACCACTACTCACCACTACTCACCACCACTCACCACTACTCACCACTACTCACCACTACTCACCACCCCCTTCACCCCCTTCACCCCCCTCTGCTGACTCCTCCCCCTTTCACCCACCCCTCTCCTCCCCCCTCTCACCCCTCCCCCCTCTCACCCCTCCCCCCTCTCCCCCCTCCTCCCTCCCTCTTCAACCCCCACCCCTCCCCCCCCACCCCCCACCCCCCTCCCCCCTCCCCCCAGGCCCTGGCCAGCATGAGCCTCAACACTCAGCCAATCCTCAACCTCGACCGTTTCCATGACAACAACAACGCGGGTGGGGGGGGCTCCCCCGGGGGGGGGGGCGCCGAGGCCCCCCTGCTGGGCCCCCCCCGTCTCCGTGACGACGCCTCGGCCCCCCCCTCGGCGCTCTGCAAGGAGTCGAACTCCCTCATATACGGAAACGACACGGACTCTGTTGACGTGGCTACCAGGTCCCTTGCACGCTCACCACTCACCACTCACCACGCTCACCACTCACCACTCAACACTCACTCACCACTCACTCACTCACCCACTCACTCACTCACTCACCCACTCACTCACCACTCACTCACCACACTCACCACTCCCTCATATACGGAAACGACACGGACTCTGTTGACGTGGCTACCAGGTCACTAGCAGGCTCACCACTCACTCACCACTCACTCACTCACTCACCCACTCACTCACTCACCACTCACCACTCACTCACCACTCACTCACCACTCACTCACTCACTCACCACTCACTCACCACTCACTCACCACTCACTCACCACTCACTCACCACACTCACCACTCCCTCATATACGGAAACGACACGGACTCTGTTGACGTGGCTACCAGGTCACTGGCAGGCTCACCACTCACCACTCACTCACCACTCACCACTCACTCACCACTCACTCACCACTCACTCACTCACTCACCACTCACTCACCACTCCCTCATATACGGAAACGACACGGACTCTGTTGACGTGGCTACCAGGTCACTGGCAGGCTCACCACTCACCACTCACTCACCACTCACTCACCACTCACTCACCACTCACTCACCACTCACTCACTCACCACTCACTCACCACTCACTCACCCACTCACCCACTCACCACTCACTCACCACTCACTCACCACTCACCACTCACTCACCACTCACTCACCACTCACTCACCACTCACTCACCTCACTCACTCACTCACCACTCACTCACCACTCACTCACCACTCACTCACTCACCACTCACTCACCACTCACTCACCACTCACTCACTCACCACTCACTCACCCACTCACTCACTCACCACTCCCTCATATACGGAAACGACACGGACTCTGTTGACGTGGCTACCAGGTCACTGGCAGGCTCACCACTCACCACTCACTCACCACTCACTCACCACTCACTCACCACTCACTCATATACGGAAACGACACGGACTCTGTTGACGTGGCTACCAGGTCCCTTGCACGCTCACCACTCACCACTCACCACGCTCACCACTCACCACTCAACACTCACCACTCACCACTCACTCACCACTCACTCACCACTCACCCAGGTACTCACCCACTCACTCACTCACTCACCACTCACTCACTCACCACTCACTCACCACACTCACCACTCCCTCATATACGGAAACGACACGGACTCTGTTGACGTGGCTACCAGGTCCCTTGCACGCTCACCACTCACCACTCACCACGCTCACCACTCACCACTCAACACTCACCACTCACCACTCACTCACCACTCACTCACCACTCACCCAGGTACTCACCCACTCACTCACTCACTCACCACTCACTCACTCACCACTCACTCACCACACTCACCACTCCCTCATATACGGAAACGACACGGACTCTGTTGACGTGGCTACCAGGTCACTAGCAGGCTCACCACTCACCACTCACCACGCTCACCACTCACCACTCACTCACCACTCACTCACCACTCACTCACCACTCACTCACCACTCACTCACCACTCACCACGCTCACCACTCACTCACCACTCACTCACCACTCACTCACTCACCACTCCCTCATATACGGAAACGACACGGACTCTGTTGACGTGGCTACCAGGTCACTAGCAGGCTCACCACTCACTCACCACTCACTCACCACTCACTCACCACTCACTCACTCACCACTCACTCACCACTCACTCACCACTCACTCACTCACCACTCACTCACCACTCACCACTCACTCACCACTCACCACTCACTCACCACTCACTCACCACTCACCACTCACTCACCCACTCACTCACTCACTCACCACTCACTCACCACTCACTCACCACTCACTCACTCACCACTCACTCACCACTCCCTCATATACGGAAACGACACGGACTCTGTTGACGTGGCTACCAGGTCCCTGGCATGCTCACCACTCACTCACCACTCACCACTCACTCACCACACTCACCACTCCCTCATATACGGAAACGACACGGACTCTGTTGACGTGGCTACCAGGTCCCTTGCACGCTCACCACTCACCACTCACTCACCACTCACTCACCACTCACTCACCACTCACTCACCACTCACTCACCACTCACTCACCACTCACTCACCACCCACTCACCCACTCACTCACCACTCACTCACCACTCACCACTCACTCACCACTCCCTCATATACGGAAACGACACGGACTCTGTTGACGTGGCTACCAGGTCCCTGGCAGGCTCACCACTCACTCACCACTCACCACTCACTCACTCACTCACCACTCACCACTCACTCACCACTCACTCACTCACCACTCACTCACCCACTCACTCACCACTCACTCACCACTCACCACTCACTCACTCACCACTCACTCACTCACTCACCACTCACTCACTCACCACTCACTCACTCACCACTCACTCACCACTCACTCACCACTCACTCACCACTCACTCACCACTCACTCACTCACCACTCACTCACTCACCACTCACTCACCACTCACTCACCCACTCACTCACCACTCACTCACCACTCACTCACCACTCCCTCATATACGGAAACGACACGGACTCTGTTGACGTGGCTACCAGGTCACTAGCACGCTCACCACTCACTCACCACTCACTCACTCACTCACCCACTCACTCACCACTCACTCACCACTCACTCACTCACTCACCACTCACTCACTCACCACTCACCACTCACTCACTCACCACTCACTCACCACTCACTCACCACTCACTCACCACTCACTCACCACACTCACCACTCCCTCATATACGGAAACGACACGGACTCTGTTGACGTGGCTACCAGGTCACTAGCACGCTCACCACTCACTCACCACTCACTCACTCACTCACTCACCCACTCACTCACCACTCACTCACCACTCACTCACTCACCACTCACTCACTCACCACTCACCACTCACTCACTCACCACTCACTCACCACTCACTCACCACTCACTCACCACTCACTCACCACACTCACCACTCCCTCATATACGGAAACGACACGGACTCTGTTGACGTGGCTACCAGGTCACTGGCAGGCTCACCACTCACCACTCACTCACCACTCACTCACCACTCACTCACCACTCACCACTCACTCACCACTCACTCACTCACTCACCACTCACTCACCACTCACCACTCACTCACTCACTCACCACTCACCACTCACTCACCACTCACTCACCACTCCCTCATATACGGAAACGACACGGACTCTGTTGACGTGGCTACCAGGTCACTAGCACGCTCACCACTCACTCACCACTCACTCACCACTCACTCACCACTCACTCACCACCCACTCACCACTCACTCACTCACTCACCACTCACTCACCACTCACTCATATACGGAAACGACACGGACTCTGTTGACGTGGCTACCAGGTCACTAGCACGCTCACCACTCACTCACCACTCACTCACCACTCACTCACCACTCACTCACCACCCACTCACCACTCACTCACTCACTCACCACTCACTCACCACTCCCTCATATACGGAAACGACACGGACTCTGTTGACGTGGCTACCAGGTCACTGGCACGCTCACCACTCACTCACCACTCACTCACCACTCACTCACCACTCACTCACCACTCACTCACCACTCACTCACCACACTCACCACTCCCTCATATACGGAAACGACACGGACTCTGTTGACGTGGCTACCAGGTCACTGGCAGGCTCACCACTCACTCACCACTCACTCACCACTCACTCACCACTCACTCACCACTCACTCACTCACTCACCACTCACTCACCTCACTCACTCACTCACCACTCACTCACCACTCACTCACTCACCACTCACCACTCACTCACCACTCCCTCATATACGGAAACGACACAGACTCTGTTGACGTGGCTACCAGGTCACTGGCAGGCTCACCACTCACTCACCACTCACTCACCACTCACTCACCACTCACTCACCACTCACTCACCCCTCACCACTCACTCACTCACCACTCACCACTCACTCACCACTCACCACTCACTCACTCACCACTCACCACTCACTCACCACTCACTCACTCACTCACCACTCACTCACCACTCCCTCATATACGGAAACGACACGGACTCTGTTGACGTGGCTACCAGGTCACTGGCAGGCTCACCACTCACCACTCACTCACCACTCACTCACCACTCACTCACTCACCACTCACTCACCACTCACTCACCACTCACCACTCACTCACTCACTCACCACTCACTCACCACTCCCTCATATACGGAAACGACACAGACTCTGTTGACGTGGCTACCAGGTCACTGGCAGGCTCACCACTCACCACTCACTCACCACTCACTCACCACTCACTCACTCACCACTCACTCACCACTCACTCACCACTCACTCACTCACTCACCACTCACTCACCACTCCCTCATATACGGAAACGACACGGACTCTGTTGACGTGGCTACCAGGTCCCTGGCAGGCTCACCACTCACCACTCACTCACCACTCACTCACCACTCACTCACTCACCACTCACTCACCACTCACTCACCACTCACCACTCACTCACTCACTCACCACTCACTCACCACTCCCTCATATACGGAAACGACACGGACTCTGTTGACGTGGCTACCAGGTCACTGGCAGGCTCACCACTCACCACTCACTCACCACTCACTCACCACTCACTCACCACTCACTCACCACTCACCACTCACTCACTCACCACTCACCACTCACTCACCACTCACCACTCACTCACTCACCACTCACCACTCACTCACCACTCACTCACTCACCACTCACTCACCACTCCCTCATATACGGAAACGACACGGACTCTGTTGACGTGGCTACCAGGTCACTGGCAGGCTCACCACTCACCACTCACTCACCACTCACTCACCACTCACTCACTCACCACTCACTCACCACTCACTCACCACTCACCACTCACTCACTCACTC